CAAGCCACCTTCAAATCAACAGAAACGCAAGAAGAAGAGAAAGGTTGGTACAATTTAAATGTATGGGAAAGTATAGGAACTGTTAAATGCAAGAGTAATTTTGTAAGGTATTTTCTGAGCAGATCTTGCATGGTGTGAAACCTGCATTAGTCTAGTTTTGGGGCATTTTGTTTAATTCATTTTTAGTCCAGGTTTAGACAAGTTTAGTCCTGGTTTATTCCCTGTTTTAGTACTAAGAATTGTTTCTAAAGTCCCTAGTTAATCTACATTAATATCAGTGCTCTGGTCCTGGTTCAGACCTTTTGTAGTCCTAGTTTGCTCCATGTCTAGACCAGGTTTAGGTAAAGTTATAGTACATAGAATTTAGACTCACTATAAACTTGGATTGGTCTAGGTTTAGGCCAGTTTCAGTCCTGGTTTAGTCCATGTGTAGACTAGGTTTAGCCCATGTCTAGCCCAGGGTTAGTCCATGTCTAGGCCAGGGTTAGTCCATGTCTAGGCCAGGTTTAGATAAGTTTGGTGTTTAATGAGATTTCATCTTGATTAGACAGACTACATGCTATACTCCTGGATTGGTCTAGGTTTTAGTCCTATTGTCGTCCTGGTTTAGTCAATTTTTTAGACCTGTGGATTGTTTTCATTGTTTCCATTTCCATCCTGGTTTTAACCTGGGATAGTCTAGGTTTTGTTTTGCCACTGATTTATGACCCTGGTTTAGTCAATTTGTAGTCCAGGTTTAGATCACACCCAGACAATTTTAGTCCTGGTTTAGTTTTAGTTTAGTCCTTGATTATAGCCCTGGGCTAAGTTCTTAAGTCCAATTTTCTGAGCCTGGTTAAGTCCATTTGTTTGTCCTGGTTTAGTCCTTCTTAAGATTTTTTTCTCCAACAATGTGCTAACATTTTAAGTATTTGAAAGTTGAATGGAATATTTGACGAATTGCTCATTTAAAAGGAATTAGAAAAGGCGTGCTTAGATGCATTCGTAGTTCTCATACCACACTGTTATTAACACAATGGACCTAAACAGGTTTTTGTCATCTTGCATACAGCTATTAGAATGTATTGCACATTTAGTCCTGTTGTAGTCCTGGATTAGTTTTGTGTTAGACCTGGTGTAGTTCTGTTATAGCCCTTGATTAGTCATTATTCTTAGTTTAGGCCCTTTTTGGTTCTGCATTAGACCTGGTTTAGTAGTGTTTTAGTCTTAATTTGGTCCTGCTTTTGTTCTGGTTTAGACCTGGTATATTACTGGTTTACACCCCAATTAGTCCTGGGTTAATCCTGGCTGTTTTGCAAAGCATTATTTTCTGTTTTATTTGCTCATTATTTTTAATCTTTTGTGTAAACCATTTGAATGTCAGTTTGCCATGCTTGAAACCATGTGTCCTGATTGTGCAAATGCACTGTTGACTTATCAAGAAAAACTTGTACCTCAGTCAGTAGCACAAGCTGAACTATTCTAGCCGTGAATGATATTGAAAAACTAAATCTACAAGACAGTTCACAGTGCTCCCTGGAGCATTTGAGAGAAGAATGAAATGAACTGATAAACTAGTACAAGAATCCCATATATTTCAAAACATTAAGTTATCTGCAGAAGGGCCTTAGATTGCCTAAATAACTGCAGCCTAATAAATAATAAATAAAAACCCTAATAAATAACTGCAGCCTTTTAGCAGTTCAGTGTCTTTTTTCCAGTGTTGCAGCGTAGCATGCAGGAGAATTGAAATATATAAGACAACTACTATAACTATAAATATTTTAAATTGCCTTAATTTACTTGTCAAACATTTGTCAAAATGAAAACTTCCGACTCAACCAGGACCAAAACTAAACTCATAAAATCATGATCAGGAAAGTCATGAGTAAAAATCTACCTTTTCTTAAATTTTACAAAAACATTTACATTTACATTTATATTTACATTTACAAAACATTTAAAAACATTTGCATTTCTGTCTGATGGCACATTTGTGTCGTAGAGATTTAATATTCTTTTATACTTGTTTTTTCCATATTTATTGAAATTTTTGACACTATACGTTCACTATACTATACTATACGTTTACTTTTGAAATATTTTCTGTCAGATGGAAAAAAATGTTTTAATTGTTTTCTCGAGATATTGATATTCGATATATTCAATTCAAGTATATTTATAATATAGCACTTTGCGAATAATTGCACCCAACAAAATCAGTCCTTTAAATCTTTGCTTGTTTTTTCTCGTGTCTAGCATCTGTTCTCTGGCTGTGGCCCTAACTTGCACTGGACAGATGGACTTTACGAGTGTGAAAGCAAAAGTCCAAACACATGTCCATTTTGCTATTGTAGTATATACGACTGTGCTACTGTTGTTTTAGCAAGGCCCTTTGGTTTAGTGCAGCTGTCAGGACGCATGCAGCAGTGACAGACGCAAAGATAGACTGTTTAGGAAATAAACAGCTTAGACTGATCTGTGTCATGGTTATATTTTGGATTTAGATATTAGGTTTGTTATGGGTTGTGTTTTGAAATTAAAACACAAAAAGGGAGGACATCTGACACACAGGGACATTTCAGTTGTTTCTTATAGAGTGTTTCCTATAGATTTTGTTATTATTATACTTTTTTCTCATTCAATCTGAGGAATATAAATGTTCCCTAATGCCTGTATTTCTATTTTAAACAGTAATTTTTGACCATTGTATATTTTTTAAGTTTTAAGTTAATGATCATACAATGAGCAACTAATTTTGTTATGGCAATATATAGTTGAGTTTATTTCAGACTATGGGGGACTATTTTAGTCTATGGGAACTATCATTTTCTCACAATACACTATGCGTTGTTTCATTCACACATGCAACATATATTTAAGTTGTCTCTTTCTGCAGAGCTCAAAACACTAACGTACATATTGTGATGTCATTAGGTGGTTAGCCGCTTTTACTTACTCTGCTCTTTTCAGTGGTCAAATTGCCAGTAAAGATACCATTGGTTTGCCACATTCTGATTGTTTACTATGAGACACTGCAGTCATTTATCCCTGGAATCTTTGGTATCAGCCATTACATAACGGTAATGGTTATTAATTTGCAACATGCGAAACAAGTGCTTAAACTTTGCTTTCAGCTGAAGCCGATATTGAACAAGAGTGTGTGTATGTGTGTGTTTGACCCATTGACCTGACCTTTGACCTGAAACAGTAACACGTCTCTAGAGGTAAGGTGTTGAGAAGTCAATGAGGCAAAGATCACCTGACTTAGCCTACGATCTCTCCCAGCCAAGTATTGCAGAGTAAACGATTTTACTCCTAAAGATTAGCTGCACTTGTATAATGGAAATTGCTTTAAATTAGCTACAACTTTTGGATTGTATTTAATTGGTCAACCCTCTATTTTAGTGTAATTCGTTCGTTCACACAAATTGTCTATTTTCAAATACTCTGAAAACCATATCTTTGCTTTGACAGGTTTCATCAATGACACATTATCTGTAATTATGCTTACACCACAAATCATAGCTCAGTTCATTGCCAAATTGTCTGATAGATATATATATGCTCTATTTTGTAATAAACTTGATAACTTTAAAATAGCCCGAAGTCTTGTCTGGTACCTGTGAAGCAGAAGAGAGACCGTTTCAGTCCAGGTTTCAGCCTGTTCAATCCTGTTTTCTCCTGTAGTCTCGATTCAGTCCTGGTTTAATCCTGGTCTAGTCCTGGTTCAGTATGGGTTCAGTCCTGGTTCAGTGATTTTGTCCTAATTTAGTTTTGATTCAGCCCTATTTCAGTTCCGCTTCAGTCCTGACCTAGTCCTGGTTCAATCCTAGTTCAGTCCCAGTCTAACCCTGGTCTAGTCCTGGTTCAGTCCTGGTTCAGTCCTGGTCCAGTCCTAATTTTGTCCTGATGTAGTTCTGATTTAGCTCTATTTCAATTCTGCTTCAGTCCTGGTCTAGTCCTGATCTAGTTCTGGTTCAGTCCTGGTTCAGCCCTCGTTCCTAAGATTAAATGGAAAAACACTGTCGAACTTGTCATTCTAACTCACAAAGTATACAAAGATTTATGGACAGCTTCAACTATTTTCTCACAGAAGCCAGTTTTTATCTGTACGAGAGGCTTGAACTGACCTGCAGTGTTTTTGTTGTATAAGTATTAAGGCTCCCCACAGGCTATATTGTTTAAGAATTCCAAGAACAACTTAATTATCGAACTGAGACAGGTTAGAGAAGACAGGTAGAGATAGATCCTCTGTGTTTGACCAATCCTTCAGTGCCCCGTGGCTTGAATCTATCAGGAGTGGTAGACCAGATCAGAACCAGGATCTTCGTCAGGAGAACTAAGATGGAGAGTAGCCTACCCTGCATGTTTTATCTCGATGGGGAGAAAAAGACTATATAAAAAGTATATAGTGGTGTCACCTCTCCCCTGATCTCACATGTAACTTGGCCACGTGCTTGCTTTCATTGAGAGAAATGGGTTTAATGACGAATATTTTAGTAGTCAAGTAGTCAAACGAAATTTAAATACATTATAAACCAAATAAATGCTGATTATTTTCTTATTGTCTTTATTGTCACTATCTTTTCAGGTGACTTTGTTCACTAATGTTCCTATGGGGTAAATAAGTAACTACACCACTTTGCAGAGGTTAAATTAGTTCTCTTTTTACCTTGGTTCCTTGATCTTTTGACTGTGTCCAGGTTGTAAAAATGCTATACTGTCCACTGGTTTCTCATCCATATCTTTAAAGGTCCCATATTACACAAATTACATTTAGTTATAATGTTGTTACCTCATCAAAAACATGCCAGGAGTTCTGTGAGTTGTGTTTTGTTTCATTCCCACATGTGTACTGGGTTTGTGTGTTAAATGTGTGAATGAAACAAAACTCTAGCTATGCTTTGATGATGAAACAACATAACATAGATCAGAAAATACAGAAATATAGGATTTAAAGTATCTCTCTATTTGTTCATAATTTTAACAATTTTGTGTCTGCATGTTTTATTTTGTAGCGCGAAGAGACATTGAAACAGAAGAAGGAGCTCACACAAGAACTGTCCACTCTCCGAGATGAACTGGGTAAGTTATTTTAAACCAACTAGCATCATGATTTAGGTGTTTAGTTGTCTATCTAAAGAATTTATTAAACCTCTTTATCGAAACCTGGATTTATTTACAGATAAATAAGACTGTATAAATAAAAGATGCTGTACCTGATTTTTACTGTCTTAATGATGTGAAAAACAGACAGCAGCAAAGCATCTTGGTCTATGTAGTTCTAGGTAGTTGCATGGTTTGTATTTGCATCTGAACCATGAGGTTAACTGCCATTCAAATGGTACTGTGAGAGAGGTCTATGAGAATTTAAGACTGGTTCAACCAAGGTTTAGTCCTGCGTTATCCCTGGTCCAATCCTGGTTCTCTCATGGCTTTGGTCCTGGCTGCTAAATCCTAATTTATTTTTCTGGTTTAGTCTTGGCTTCAGTCCTGGTTTAGTCCTGCTTCAGTCCTTGTTAGTCCTAGTTTAGTCTTGGCTTTGGTACTGGATCAGTCCTGGTTCTGTCCCGGGTTAAGCCTAGTTTAGTCCAACTTCAGTCCTGATTTAGCCCTTGCTAGTCCTGGTTTATCTTTGGCTTTAGTCCTGTTTCAGTCCCGGTCTTCCTCTTCACGAGCTCTAACCTGCCTCTGTCTGCCTTCCAGTGTTTTGCTTTTACGATCTTTACTTTTATCACCACAGGAAACTCAAACAGCTCTGTCATTTGTGTCTACAATGTAATTAGAACTCAATTTACAAAATGAAACGTTGTTTGTCTATAAAACTTTGGGTGTGCACATTTTTGAAACATCCCCATTTCATCATAGCTTTATGGTTTGATTCACATATTAAACTAAATCCAACTTTTCTGGTGGAGGGACGTTTGATATTGTGATATTATTGTTTTTGCTTAATGTGTTCAACAGTATGGCAAATTACATACTGGTCCAGTCCATGGAGATCAAGAATGTATGCTTTTCACTGTATTTTCTAATAATAAAAACACAAGATATATGAAAGAGAGATTTGCAAGTAGTATAAACCATTTATAAGCTCAGAATTATTATTTTCAGAATTATGAAAAATTTTGATCTTTGCCATAACGATTACCAATGCAAAACAAAATATTATGTCTTTGAATGATGTCCCGTGCTGTAGATTTGGCCATGTTGATGTATTTCCATAAACAAATCATGTCTGCACACTCTGTCTAGGACTCCGTGGACAAACAAATCCAGTATAATGCATTTCAATGGGATCTGAAGGAGTGCAATTCTAAACAATATGTATAAATAGTTATAACAGTGTCAAACTATTGTTGTGGGATGTAAAAGTATTTCTTGAGCATTTGGTTATGAAGTGATTGTATAGCATGGGTTTCAGAAGATATCACAACAAGGCCAATAATATTTAAAGGTTCACTGTGTAACTTTTCTGGTGGAGGGTCTGCCATCTGCTTGTGACCATGAAGATGTTTTTTTTTTTTTTTCTGAAATGTCCCTGTATGGCATGAAACATATCTGTCTTAGCATTTAATCAATAACATGGGTTTTTATTGACCTAAAAACTTGCATTCTTACTGTGAGTGGGCTCACCTCTCCACAGATCTGACTAGTAATCTGACCCTATCGTGTCACCTGCTGTCTTTGTATAGATAAATACTTTGGAACATTCCAGGCAACAACAAGAGAGAGAGAGAGAAGCTATTACAGACCCTCCACCAGGAAAGTTACACAGTGCATCTTACATGCAGATGGGGGCAGCTACAATGAATAATGTAAAAATGCCTAATATAGTTCTTGGGTCCAGTCGCAAAAAGAAATAATCAGGTTCAACATTTGTGCAGTTACCTTCTGGATATTTCATGTCAAAGTACAAAAAAAAAACTCTAAAAAACAATTGATTTTTGCCCCTTTTATCATTTGTCATTGTGGTAAAAGTAATAGTAGTAGCAGTAGTAGTAGCAGTAGTGTGATACTAAATTGTAGCAACCGCTGTCAGCTTAATCCTTTACATATTTTAGTCTTTAGAAATTAGAATTTGAGAAAACAGATCTCTGTACATGAAAATGTACATTGACTCCAGTGACGTGTGACTGCTGTGTTAAACTCAGATTAGAATGATTAGGAGCTTTGTTCACTGTCACAGCTCTGTCCTGAAGCGTGTTTGAGAGCGGCCATTTTCTTGTCACTTCTCACTGTTGAGGATTAGTGTGTTTTTACAGAGAGGAGACAGAGACGCCAAAATATGCACCAGAGAAATAACACTGCTACAAATATCATCAAGTCAATTATACAAGTGCGCAGATGTTTCCACCATCCCATTATTAAAGGTGCACTATGGAATTTTTCTGGGGGATCAATGTCTTCTCTCTACGGGTATGCTATTGCTTTGTCTAAAAGGTTTCATAGTTTGGCATTAAATTGATCTATATCCATGGAGATGGTATGTATAATAATAAAGTTACAGGTCAAGTTACAGGTTTTTGTAATGTTACTCTATTTAAATAACGTTTAGATTGAATTGTGACCTCACTGTCCATACCAAGGTTTTATTTTGGAAACACAGGAATCTACATCTGTGCCCTACATACCACCTGATAGTGTTCAATTTAACTTAAATATAGCTTGTTTAAACTTAGACAGGGGAGCTATAAGACTTCACACTCAATACAAAAGCATGTGAAACTGTAGACGGACATTAAAACACAGTCCTGGTTTAGTATTGGTTTAGTCCTGATTAAGTCCTAGTTTAGTTCTGGTTCAAGCCTGTTTTTTAGCGCTGTTCAGTCCTTGTTTAATCCTGGTTTGATACTCACTCACATAAAACCAATGACCAATATGGGGCGATGATGATTCTTGGTGAAGTCATAGTTTGGGGTGGACCCTGTTTAGTTCTTGTTTGTCTTTGTTCAGTCCTTGTTCTGGTTTATTGCTTACAAGCTTGTTTCTTTCACACTTATTTAAATTGCCTAATGAATGTAGAATGTATTGTACTGCTAAGCTGTGTCCATTTCAGGGCCATAGCTGCTGGTAGTCCTTAAGACTTGTCCTAAGATCTGGTTTAGTCCTGGTTTAGACCTATACATAGACATGGTTTAGTCCTAGTTCTTAAATGATTTGGGTATTGTGTTTGGTGACTTTTCCTTTTTCAGAACTTTAGCATTATTGTTATTGTAGTGTCAGGGAAAATTTTTATCTTCTTAGTTAATGTAAAAAATATATATATAATAGTCACTCGTCACATACAAAAAATAAAATAGCTTGAGAATACCATATTGTTTTTCAAATAGTTTGCAAGTGATTTGTGATAGGTGGTATGCAGAAGAAATTCATAGGAGATATTTTTATTAAGAATGCAATTCACTTTGACTGGGTTGGTTCTGGTCAAGTCTTAGTTTAGTCCAGTAGCAGCATTTAGTCTATATATTGCAATTTTGTACTAGATATAAAAATGGTTTGCTCTTTCACTTTCTCCCCCTCCTCTCTCCCTCCCTCGCTCTTCTCTTTAAAGCATTACTGTCCATTTGACCTTTAGCTCTTTACACACAAGACAGAGGAATGCAAACTATGGTCACCACCCGGTGTTTGCACAGACTCACAGCTGTATGAAAACCTCTTTATTCTTTTGACTCAGGCCAAACCTGTGCCTCCGCTCTCTCCTTTAAAAACTCCCAAATAGTTTCACTGTGAAGCTGTAGATGGACAGAGTAGCATCACTGTTCAGAAAGCTCTCCCCATTATCAGATCACGTCTGCATAACTTGCATAATGTCAGGATAGACCACACATTTCATTATCTTTAACCACACAATATGTAACCTTTTGGCCAAAAATATACTAAAATAAAAGCACAGTTTTTGTTTTGTTTTTTCAATTGTGTTTATTGCATTGAAAATCATGCATACTGTGATCAGGCGTACATCTCCACAATCCTGACTCTTACTTGGTAGTATGACATCAAAGTATCTATTTCCATGAATGTCCTGAAGTATGGTTTTAACTTTCCCTATCCCACCAAACCAAGTCATAATTAGAAAAACATGAAAACCTGTCATATGCTCTTCTGGCGTTCAGTTCCAAACTCAATATACTTATGTGTTGATACAAAACATTGTGCAAAGTTTTTATCTTTGCTTAGGTATTGTGCACTTTATGGGGAGCAAACCTGTCAGGCGAGCACAAATTGCAGCTGTCTCCGATGTTCAGTGGGTTGTGAAATGTGTGACTTTTAGACATTTGAGCCATAAATCTTTAAAAATACCAGAACACTGCAGCTGTTAATCATCTGTTGACAACCTTGTTAAAACCTGTCATTGGTTTGTATAAGATTGCCTCATGTGTTGCTTTTAAGATTCCATGACTATTATTATTTTATTATGCTACTTACTATTGGATATTCTGTGCTATTTCATATATACAATTTCATATTTTTCCATAATCCATCCAAACGCATTTCTCTAAGTGTCAGTATTAAGCATGAAAATTATTTGAGAGGATTGTGCTTGAGAAGGCATCTGGCTTAAAATAAAGGCAGCGGGCAAGGAGATTCTCTGAAGGGGCGTGTTGTGTAGTATCAAAATACTGCTATGTCTATCTTGCAAGGTCACAACTTGCTAGCCTTCTTTGCAAGATACATTTTTTGTGTATCCATTTTGTTGTAGTGTGTGTTGTCCATTGTGTATTGAAGTTTGCATAAAAAAACTAATGAATGATCATAGATATACATTTTTTTAAGTCCAATGGAGTTAAATTTGGGTTAACTAAAGACATTAAGATGCATGGTTTCCTGTTATGTTATAATGAAAGTCTCCATAAGAGACCAGATCGACAATGAATCAGAAATAATATTTTGAGTTAGGAGCTGGTAAGATTTTCAAATGAGATCTGTAATCTGCTAAAGAGTCAGGGCCAATTTTTGCCCTCACAATAAAGCTAAAAACAACTAGCATGCTAATGCCCACCTTCTGATTATTGGATAATAACATGTTTTGATTAGATGCAGACTCAACTGACTTTTTACCTCAAGAGCTGCTCATATCTGCACTGGGGCAAGTGTGAACCAAAGTGTCTATTATTGGCTAATACAATGGGACCTAAGCCACTGTTTCAGAATATTTCAATAAATGTCGACTATGCTAAAAATAAATGAATCAGAGCACATATTAAACCTTTAACATAAACTTTCTGAAGTCCACCCTGAAAAACGGTTATTATTTTTGGACCTCTCCAGCACCTGTCTCTGCACATGTGTTATAACTACAGCACTGAGTCTAGTCTATAATAAAGAATAGAGCTGTGTGTGCTCCCAGCTGTCAGAGGCTTTGTCCCAGAAATAAAGCAACTGCTCTGCTCTACAACTGTTTCCTTTCAAACTTATGCAAAATGGATGTTTATGTTGCTGGATTTAAATTAAACCACACACTCCTATATATGTCATATGGACCCTTTTAAATACTCGGTCATCAAATTCAACTTTTAACTGACACCAGATTTAAATGCTAAAAAAGACCATATAAAAATATAGCCAGATAATGAAACATGTCACAATATAAATGTTTAGGGTCAGGATTTTGAGAATTATTTTTTATAAATGGGTTTAAATACCTGAACTCCCCCCACAACCATATTTCAAATAGAGCTGCTAAACTGGGCAGTGTGGCATTTCTTTTTCTGTTGGTAAACCTGGATGAGTAAAGAAAAGAGTGAGGGGGAAGGAGAGATGGGATCTAGAGGAACAGTGGATTGGAACAGGAACAGCGTGACTGGTCAAACAGGTATCCTCCACACTTTCAACTTCAAACCTGTAGCTGTAAGCAAGAAAATACTGTGTGATGTCACATAGTACTTGAAATTGCCCACTAGAGGCAGCACACACTCATTTTTTTACTTTTTCTAGCAGCGCCTTTATATTTTATCATTTGGATCAATCATATGTATTGACTTTTGTAGCTGGGGCTCTTTTAGGTCACAAAATCACACTTTATGATTTCAGTTAAGTTAAACTGTAACCAAACAACAGGACTTCAGATTGTCACTGTGGTGCCATCTAAGTTTAAATTAAAAAGTCAATATTGTAAGAGTGTATCCCTTAACAGTGCTTTCATTGTGCTGTGCTTTTTTTTTACAGTATTGTAGTTTTAGAAGAGTTTTTTGGGGATAGTGCTACTTTAGGCTTATTGCATCAGTCAGTGGTATAAATTAGTGTCAGTATTCTATAAAACACGTCAGAATTTGTTCTCGTGATATGCCTATCCTCAGCTTGTGTATATATTTTGTAGTGTAACTATTTTCCTTAGAGATACTGGCTGTACCTCCTGTTTGTTCGTCTCTGCGTTGTGTTGATAGATGGGGCGGTGGGGCGTGTAGCAGAAGTTTAAATTGGCCCTGACGTGTAGCACTGTTTGGAGCTGACTCTTGCATGTTAGAGTCATTACAGAGGAATGCAGATGTGAATGTAGCGCTTAATATTACCTGTGCAAAGACTCACACTGAGAATGAGAGTGAGAATCATAAGAATGTTCATTGCCTTTGGACAAAAAGACTAGAGGAGTAGGGAGAGGGCAGGGAGGAGAGAGAAATGTAAACAAATATGTAAATTGTAAATTTTTCTCTTTTTTTTTTTTTTTGAACATTCAAAGACATTTTAAATTAAATTATTATTCAGCACATGTTTGATAATGTCTACAAGCTAGTACTCATATGTATTTATTTTGCTGTTACTGAATGTGTTAGGTGTTGTCAGTATGTTTTTTGTCATTTCCTTTTAACTTTTTTTTTTATCCTTGGTAAATATAATAATGTCTTGGTTATTATGACTCATTGCTGCTCCTTGTGAAGGTCATGAAAACCTCATTGAAGTTTGTAGCACTTAAATGAAATCCCTGCTCTGCTGTTTGTCTGGCCAGTGTCGACATCTCAGTGCTGTGATCAGCTGCAGAGGGAGAAGGAGGAGGTGAGACTCGGGCTGGAGGCGGCTCTGGGCAAACTACAGCAGCAGCACAAGGAGGAGCTGGAGCAACTGGAGAACAGGTGAGCACAACAAATATACATTACAAAAATACCTCTGCAAGATTGTAAACAGGTGAATGCACACATGACTGACTCAAAAGGCGCCAATTCAGAATATGTCTCTGTAGATCTCACACTGCATCACTAACCTGGTCAGCAAGATGAATTCTCATGATATTTGTGAGTTCACAAACTCATGAGAATCCATCTGGCTCAGCTCCCAAAAAACTATTTTGTTTGTGGAAAAACGTGTAGAAGGTAAGCTCTTTGTGCATTTGTGGATAGGGAAGATGTCTGTGCTTCACCTTTTCCTGATCACTTTCACAAGAGTCATTCCAGATAAATGTGTAGAGCAGAATTCAGAGAGCTACATTATATCAATCTGGAGTTATATGTTCATGTGACACAATAAAATAGCAGCGAACACAGTTAATTGCTAATCTGAATCAAACCCAGATACCTTGTAGCTGTGAGGCAAGAGTGCTAACCACATGCATCTAATATTGTCAACAGGCTGCGCAGCTTCTATCAGAATGAATGGGACAAGGCTCAGCAGATGTACCAGGAGGAGGCCGACAAGTACAGAGAGCTGATGGAGAAACAGGTGAGGGGACACACTCTGATTTCTACACGCCTATTCTAATGTCTAAACATTGAATGACTGTGATTGTTTATGGTTCAGGTGAAGGATCTGAGGAATCGACAGGAAGCTGAGCAAAAGAAACAGGAAGAGATGCACAACCAAAACATGGAGTCTCTCAAACAGCAGCATGAGACCGCTCTACAAGGTCAGGACTGGTTTATTATCAAAGAATTTGGTTTGTAATTTGGTGCGTACATTATTATAGCACATGTAATTAGGCATGGGACAATTTTGAAATTTTGTGTCACATTTATCTTGGCCAAATAAAATAAAATGAATGATAATATTACAATATAACATACAGTATAAGGCATATTTCCCTCTGAGACAATAAAGGCAATTCTGAAATAACAGTTAAAATTTTTGACGGTTTAAAAATATTGTGTTCGCTTAAAAAGACAATAACACTGACTGACTGACTAAGTTCCATGTTTTAGAAGCTATTATACAATTGTACTTTGTTATAAATTAGAAAGAGAAAATCAGGGGAAAGAAAAGAAAGAAAGAAGGAAAAAAAAAAATTCTGTTGTCGATTATCACGATAATACAAAATGCACCACAATCTTTTTTATGATCCTTTTATATCACAGTTTGTGCCATTATTATTTCTTATTATTATGTCGTGTTTGTGTTCAGAGCTGAAGGCTGCACAACAGGCAGAAGTGGAAAACCTAGAGAAGACTCTGAAAGAGACTGAAGCTTCTCTCTCTGTAAGAATTCCTCTGTTCACATCAAAACTAAACCTAAAACTCACTGTCTCTGCTTTGAACAAACAAGAGTTGTTTACTCAGCTGCTGCACCACTACACAGCTTTCTCCCTCACACATCTTTCCCTCATCAAACAGGTCACTTAATGATTCCATTTCATCATTTTGAAGAGAATTTAAGTAAAGAAATACCCTTTATATTGAAATGACGTTTGTTTGATTAAAAAATAACATTTTAATGGAGAGCTCATGTTGTTAATATGTAGAAAGTGTAAGGCATGAAATCCATACTAAAATGTAATAATAAACAGTGCATTCTTCACAGCTGGCAAAGAACATTTTGTCCTAATCTATTGTTCTAAACTCTGATTACATTGAATTCAGTGGGTGATTGTAAGCTTCTTATTTTTTCAGGAGAAAGTGTTACAGTTGACAGCACAGAAGGACGCTTTGACTGAGAAACTGAACGCTGAAGAGGAGAGGAGGAAGAGGATTCTCAACGACAAGAGCCTGGTACAGTCAAATATGTCACAGCTTAACACAACTCCCCCCTGCTGGACAAAAAAAGCTATGTACATAGGTTTATTGATCCACAAGGAAAATTACTTGAGTATAAACTTTATATTGACAGACTAATATAGTTTAATGAGAAAATAGTTTATAACTAATCTAAATCAGGTCTAAACCAAGTCTGAAAAAGAAATTAACCATGATTTAAAGGTGCAGTATGTACATTTTTGTCTGGAGAATCCGTCACATGCTTGTATACATGGAGACAATATTTACCAGAAATGTTACAGTATGTTACAGAGTATGTGAATTGTTTTAGTAACTAAGAAGAAATTAGCATTATAATTGTTATCAGTAAAAGTTATATAGGCTATTTCATTTGAACATGTCTAACTCACATCTGGGACACAGATAGTCATGTTTGTCTTTTTTTTTATATTTAGATCTACATCAAACACAGTCCCTTTTAAGCATAAACTACAAATGAACCTATTTTAAAATGTCTGATGGTTTGTTTGTTTTGTTTTTTGTTTTTCAGAAGGACTCCCACACGCTGTACTTAGAGCAGGAACTGGAGAGTCTCAAAGTGGTTTTGGAAATCAAGAACAACCAGCTGCATCAGAAAGACAAGAAACTCATGGACATGGACAAACTGGTATGATAATTTTGCATTTGGCCATAATAATCGACTTTCTCATTCGTGTTTTAAATCTATAACCTTAATACCAGGTTAAAACATTTGAATATTGAATTTTAGTTTAATTTTTTAGTATTTTTAGTAGTGGGTTTAGTAGATGCATTCTGCTGTGTGTCCTGCAGGTGGAGTCCAACATTAAACTGGAGGAGTGTCTGAAAAAAGTGCAGCAGGAGAATGAGGATTACAAAGCAAGAATGGACCGCCACGCTGCTCTCTCCAAGTACGTTTGGTTTTATGAAATATTATTTATTATTCAAGTGGGGGTATTCAGGTATTAATTGCTAACTTATACACTTAAATGCTGTTTAAGTGTGTTTGAAAATGTAAAATTACCAAATTACTCAAACATGCATGGAGGAAATATAAAACCTCTTCAGGCATGGTTTTAATGAGGTAACAACACATTATAACTGGGGAGAAAGCTCCAGGAAGTTGATTTTATGTAATACTGTTCTTGTATAGATAACATGTGCTGAGAAAGAAAATAATGCAAAAATATGCTGCTAGAGGTCAGAGCATCTGCAAAAATGTAGTTTAAACACATTTTCAAACTATCAAGTATTGTTGCAGTAAAAATAAATACATCTCAAAACTTAATATAAGTTCAAGCCATGTAACTTTAACAATAAATTTAACAGCGAACATGTTTTGATGGGAGAGTATGTTAATAACTAGTATAAAAAGTAGTTGGAAAAAGCAAATACTCAGTGCCTGAATTCTGCAAAACAGTTATATTTTCATACAATTGTCATTTTGTCATTTCCAACATAAAATAATAGTTCTTTTATGGGCCAACACAATTCAAAACTATCAGTTTTGTAATGATTAGTATTTGCATATTCATTTTTGGACAACTTTGTAGGCATTTACTTTAAAAACGTATTATGTTAATCTTGCTTATCTAGTGGTTTTTCCCAGGCACTATTCAAACCCTCCTTTCACTTTTAATTTGTCATTTTTGGTGAATACAGAATTTTCAAACCAACAAAATTAAATATCTCATGTTTTAGTAATTACTACCTCATAGAAATGTAATACCCTGTTTTTAACAATGAACATTTTTTACACGAGAATAGGACCAAACCAAGTCTACATCAGAACAAAACTAAAATAAATACACCTTAAATAAATGTCATCGTAAAAGTGTCTAAGAATCTCCCCTCTATGTCGCCCCCTGCAGGCAGCTGTCAAGCGAGCAGGCCATTCTGCAACAGACGTTACAGAAGGAGTCAAAGGTCAACAAGCGCCTGTCTATGGAGAACGAGGAGTTGCTATGGAAACTACACAACGGGGACCTGCTCGCCAGTCCACGCCGCCTCTCGCCCACCTCACCGTTTGGCTCTCCAAGAAACTCTGCCGCATTCACCACAACAGCCCCATTGTCCCCGAGATAGCCCCCAAACAGCACCCCCTACAGACACTCAAAGGGACAGTACAGGCTTTTGTACAATGGAGGAGGTCCCGGATGATGTGCTTATTTCTGAGGGATATAATAATAAAAGGCAGCATCTTATATAATCATTAGACAGTCTAAAATTCAATTTGCAAAGTGCTGTGTTGTGTTGGAACTATATTAACCATGATTCGTTGCTCAGTTTTTCTTCTGAATTGAATTTATCAAATTGAATCTGTCAGTAATTCAAAAAGGCAGAGATTAAGGGATTTAGAGATTAGATTACTATTATAGCTTCAGCCTTCCCACATCATTATAATAACTATGAAACTTTATTTGTTTACTTTATTTTATTTATGATATTGTTACATCCCTTCTTTGTAAGCACTGAATCCCTGCATACCACATTGACAAAATACTGAGCTTACCCCTTTAAAATCCCAGTGAAAAAGCTATCTCCTGCATTGTGGATTTGAACGGCTCAAACAAACGTGTACATTTGGAGTCATTCGCTTTTAAAGACTTTTATTTTGAAAGAGACACTGAACTGGCACCAATGCACTTAAACAGGGGACTGGCCATGCATTTTGAACAGTGTCTATCAAAATAAAGCCTGATTTTTCTTCTTTTTACGAAGGAAACTTTAAAATTCAGACTTCACTCAGGGTTTGTACATAGCTTCTTGTAGAAACTGTAATTTTTTTTGTTCTAATGAATTTTGTCATGCTGAGAGAGGACACCATGAACTTTTAAAGAACTCAAAAATGTTTGAGTTAAAAATGGTTACAAGGCGGGTACTACACTGCAAAATAAATGAATATACATATATTTAAATGACTTGAATTCAAAATAATTCAAAATATTGGTAAGTGCTATTGATTATTTCTTTCAGTAACAGTGAATCTCCCTAGAGTAAACAAGTATAGACCAGTCAAAACTACTTAAATCAAGATAATTATTCTGAATTCAAGTCTTTTTTTTTTTACTTATGTAGACTGTCATTTTGCAGTGTTCTGGATGGATTTGCATGGAACATTTTTTAACTGCATTTTTTCCAAAGAGCGTCGCCCAATCACCGATCTGCTTTGGACATCTGCAAGAAAGGAAGGAACTTTTTGGATTTCAATAGTTTTAATCATAAGTTTTCACTCCGCAATGTAAAGCAAAGAGACAAACATTATGACACATGTTAAAGCCAGAGTAGTGCATAATAGGACCTATATCCTAATGTACAGTGTTGAATGTACTTAACCTTTGGATGTTTAACCTGAACAGGCCTTTTAGTGTCATATTACATCATCAAAACAATGCAGCCACATGTCCACTCCACTTTTACCCTTAAAACCTGTACCACAACTGACCCAAAGACTTGAAATAAACAAAAATGGACCTGCTGTCTTTCTGTGTACTGCAATAAGGGAATTTCTGCATTTTGGCTGCATTCACACTACTTGTGGTTTGGTGCTGATGTAGACTAGGTTGGACCTGGTATAGCCCTGGTTTAGTCTTAGTTCAGTCCAGATTTAGTTCCAATTTTGATATAGTGGTTGAACGCAGTCTAAGTAAAAATCATCTGACATTATTTAACTGGCCTTAGCACATGTTTGTATTTTAGCGACTTTATCTGGCATTGGAATGAGAACATTTGAAAATGAAATAAAAATTTTCAAATTCAAGTCAGAAGTCCTATACTACAATCCCATTTTTATTGATGCTCAAATAAATCAATAAAATAAGTAAAATAATATTGTGAACTAAAGCAGATCTTCCCTTTTGCAGTGTTGTTATAAACATTATGAAGCCCATCCCATGCCTGAACACTCCGCTCTCTCTTGTACCAAATGTGTCTGTGTAAATCTTAAATGTACCCAAATGCCTCATTGTAAAATATTTTATTTTGAACAAGAATAAACACTATACGAGATAAGGTTATAACATGGATTTATTTCAAATGTGACAATATGAAGAAACGTGAAGCATGTGATTTTCCTGGACAACCATGAACTAACATAGAAGTGGAATTAACTAAAGGCAAATTATATTTCAAGAAATACAGATTTTTTTGTTTTTAATCCTAATTGTGTAGTGTTCTCAGAAGGTCTACACTACAGCAGTAAGGATTACACACTTTAAAGTTCTGACCACTCATAGAACGTAAGTTCATTTATAAGAAAAACAGGTATATAAAGGCAATTTTAAACACACAGTAGGTACAATTTTAAATTTACATTCTTCTTACTGATGACAATTGTACCGCTGAGTTATTCTTCATCACAAAAACACTGGACATGATGTCCCATTTACTGTATTTATGTTATGATTATGTTTTGTTCTCAATACAGTTATCCAACCAGTAAGCAGAGCCTCACACGAGTCCAAATGAGAGATTCGTGTGATGCTCAAAAATGCCACTGATCTGAATGGTTAAAACCTAAACCCCAGTACCTGCAGCCAATCATCGGTGCTAGTGCAGCCTCTGCAGCTCATTGAGGAAATTCTGGAGGATCTGAGCTTTGTGACCTGTCCATATACTGAAAAAACTTGTATGTGTTTAGGCACTGATAACCATGTTCAGTTTTGATTTTTTATAACTCTGGGCAGTCCCTGCTCAGAGCCTCGTTGTTGTTGTTGTTGTTGTTGTTGTTGTTGATTTGCTTGTTGAAGGTCTGTGGCTCGTACCATCATCACCACAGACTTTATGGAGTACCACCAGCCCCTCCAGGTGTACCATACCACCCCATCATCGGTCTGTGCTTGGTACGGTCCACTGTAGTAATGACCATTCAAATTACCTGCACCACACCTGCACAAAAGATTACAGAAAAAAATTATAGTGTCATTTGCATGTTCTCCCTGTTGTCTGGGTGAGTATCTTTCTCATTACCTCCTAATACAGACATTTTCATACAATTTACTTAAAATATGTGCTATGTAACTTGCACAACTTGCAAAGTAGATGTACTGTGTAGCTTGTTGAAAACGGAGTCCACTACCTGCTTGCCCTCTTGAAGTTTTATTGCTTCATCTAGAATGTTCCACAGTATGGCATTAAACTTATCCATCTTGCATTACTGAATTACAGGTATTAATGTGGCTCCAAAAAATCTCCAAAACATTGCTCCAAAAAAAACTTTAAAAACGGCACTATTTAATTTTCCTGGTGGGGCTTCTGCATGTACTCTTCATGTAAATTTAACGCACTCAACGCTGCAGTGTGAACACACAATAAGAATCCATGTTTTTCAAGGTATTTTGGCAAAAAAAAAAAAAAAAAATTGAAAATACCTGTGATGGAAAAAGACAAGATAGATAGGTTTATACTATGGAACATTCCAGGCAAAGCAATAACATCTCCATGTAACCAGCAGGTGGCGAACCCTGCCTTAGAAAAGTTACACAGAGCACCATTAAGTAATAGTAAAAGTATGGTGTAACAAATGTAACTGTGACTTCCTGACCTGCTGAACCACCATCCCGCTCTGTTGTGTCCGATGCACTGTGCGTCTTCATCTGAGGTTAAAGTGGGATGATCAAACGTGCTGAATTTAAGCACAGACGGACCAAAAGCGTCTCCTGCGTTTCCACTGTACTCCCCCACATGCAGCTGGTACGCATCCTGGACAAATTAAAGGTCATTTAAAAAAATAGTTTGATTGTATCAGTAAACATTAACTTTTACTAGTGCAAATCTAGGGAAAGGAAATACGCATAAGACCTAGCTAACAGGTCTAAAACAGGATTGAAACAGCTCTAAACCAAGTGGATGGACCGGGGGCAAAACCAGCTAACTTTTTTTAGATTCAAAACTAAACCAGTACTAAACTAGAATTTTTAAAAGGGGACTTCTACTTAAATGAGGACAAATTTGCTTGGCCTAAACTGATAAAACTAATTTCACATTACAGCTATTACAAAAAATACATAATTGCCAAAGTAAAATGAAACTGCAGTTTTGTCTTCATATTTCAGCAGTATAGAATAACTGTCATAGCCACAGATAAGCCTGAATGCAAACATAGACAGCCTTGAGGAATAGTCCAAATACATGGACTCATGGCATAAATAATAAAAGTATTATCAAAACACGTAGTACCTTTTCACCGTCCACTTTAAAATTCTTGTATTCTGCAAAACGTTGGTTGTTCTCAAAATCCTCCATGTTGATGCGCAGTTCATATTGTCCTAAAATAAATCATTAATCATAAATTGTGAACATTACAATTTTATGGTTTAATAGTTTTTTACCAGTCCGGGTAAATGTCTGCTTTACTGTTGTTGCTGAGGTAGTTGTGGATTAATCCTGGTTTAGTTACAGTTTAGTCTGCCTTTACTTCTGGTCCTGGTTTAAGCCCTGTTTAGTCCTCGTTGAGACTTTGTTTAGACCTGGTTTAGTCCAGCTCTATGTCTGGTTTAGCCCTAGTTATTCATCAATCAATCATATTTTCAGTAGCATGCTTCACATGCAACAGAAAAAGTTCGATTATCAACACATTAAAATAAAAGTTATTCAAAATGTTATAACTGGTTTGAGCTCAGTTTAGTCCTGATGTCAACTTTTCATCCTTAGGTCCAGTTACTAATTTTGATGTGGTTTGTGAACATGTTAGTCTTGGTTTTGTATTGGTTCAGTCCTTTTTAAACCCTGCTTTAATCTTAGTGTAATCCTGTTCAGATCTGATTTAATTCAAGTATAGATCTGCTATCTAACATTTTAAGGGTGCACTATGTCACTTTTCTGATAGGGGATCCGCCACCTGCTTTAGTCCATGGAGATAAATGCCATACTGTGGAAAACTGCAGGAAAAGCAATAATTCCGCCAAGGAGTCAAGCACAAGATGGGTCCTCCACTACAAAAGTGACATAATGCACCTTTAAATCCAGATTATTCTGACCAAATTTAATAAAACTCCACACTGACCCTGTGAGGTGAGGTGATGCAGAGGATCGTTGCCAAGCCAGAACTCTCCACCAGCTGAAAACAGGTCCCCAAATCCCTGTTTGTACTCCACCCAGGCCCTGCACACCACAACCATAAGATAAATTTTTGTCTTTCATAGACAACTGGAGAGTTTTTTTTTCTGATTTTGTAATCAAAAACCCCAAAACATGCACAGCAGGAAGGAATCCAACAGAAACTAACTCAAGGATTGTTCAAATGCAAAGGACACATTTCACCACAGGGACCAGAGTACCTTAATCTTGAATAAAAGCAATTGCCCACCAGAAGTTGTCAACAAACTTTCAAGTGGGTACATCTTGATTAAAAATAAATCAATCAATAAAATCTGCAAATGCAATTATAATTTAATTTATTTTTCATTATTTCCCAATTGCAAAGTATTCATGATTTGTTCAGATGATTCATTCTGCCAACATTTATCATCAAGTATTTTGTTAAGTTGGGGCTGCAGCGAAGAGTTTAAATTTCAGTCTATTGTGGTTTGAAAAATGGTGGAGATTAGTTAGCACAGATTTTAACTAGCTGTCATTTAAAAAGGCCATATGGACATTTTAGGTCACAATAATTACAGTGACATTGGTCCATATATTTACCTATCAAAGCTCTCCGTTCCATCTCTCCTCCTCTGAAACACAGTCCAGCCTCCTCCATCGCTCATGTCACAGTACACAGTCAGGGCAGAGGGGACGCCATCGGGTCGAATCACGTACAAACCACTGGCCACGTTCCCATCCTCAAAAATCTCTGAGCAATCTACAAAATACAAAAACAGATCATCTCTAAATAAGTAATACAAAATGAATGCTTCAATTCAAGGAGCAGGTCAGAGGCAGCATCCAGCTCAGAAGTACCAAGCTAGTTCCACAATGGAGAAAGAACACACAAGAAGAACACGCAAACTGTACATAGAAAGGAAAAAATGAAACAATATTGATGATCAAATAAAAAGTTTAAAAGAATTCATTGGTTGCTGATTACTATTATGATAAATTGCCATTATAATATGTACATAATTCTATTTTATTATTACATTTTATATTTAGAGAGCAATATTTTTACTGATTCATAATCACCTTATTGTATTGTCAAAAGAAAAGTGCACATGGGACTTTTTCCTTAAAGTTAAACTTACAAATTTTTAACCTTGTCACAGTGTTGTTACGTCATCAAAAACATACATGGAGGTGTGTTTTGTTTCATGTTTAACTAATCCTTTGTTATTAGTCTGTCTACATCTCCAAAGCTCAAAATGCTCTGTTCCACCTTGTGACGTCATTAAGTTGTAGTTTTCAAGTTAACAGCTACATTTTACCTGTTGTTCAGTAAAGACGAATCCAATGGCAATTCCGGGGCTGAAATCATCCAAATGATGCTCGTGAACAGTGGCATTTCTTGTATTACCACATGATATCACAAGTTTTTTCAGTCTGAGAAAAGAACTCTAGCCTAAATATGCAAGATATGTGTGAATGAAACAAAACACAACTCCAGGTATGTTTTTGATGTGAAACTACATTATAACATAGATCAGAAAATTGCATAATATTGGCCCTTTAATGAAGAATGATTGCTTTTCTAGTCATATAATAATTAACGTGGCATTTCTTTAAGCAGTTACTAAAGCTCCTAAGAGATTTACCATATTTTATCATAAGAACAATAGCTACCATTCAAACAAACTAAGATCGCTATACTCATACCTCTATATATATTCCCAGTCCCCATGAATGAGTTGGGGACACCTTGCAGCTGTGTGGTCTGTGAACGGTGGAGCTCTTGGATGTATCTATGCTGTTCTCTGACGATCTCCATCAAACCTTCAAGCTCTGCCTCCAGACGAGACACCACCTCAGCACATGGCACTGGGACCTTGAACACACAGGGGGAAGGAAGAAGGACATAGGTTGAGGTCATGCGCTAGACTCGGTGCAGTACATCACAATATTGTAGAATCCTGATAACTGAAACTGAGCTGTAGAACAGGTCAGAATTCTATGGTAGAATTTGTTGTTTAAAGGTCCTATGTTATGCAAAAACTGACTCCAGGGCGTTTTCACACCACTAGTTCAATTTTTTGGTAAGCACCAGGCAATAAAATTGTTATTATGTGGCATATAGACTCCAGTGTGGTCTGCTTTCACACCGGCAAACGTGCCTCTGTTTCCCAGGAGAACAGTGATATCTCCAATTACCCATACCGATGTTCCCTGTTAATACCATGGGGAACATCGGTATTGGTAATTGGTCTCGGTCTCAAGATATCATCATGAACTCATAAAACAGCAGCATGTAGCCTATAACTGTACGCAACTCACCGCACATCAGCCCGGAGTAGAAGCACTGAGTTCGGGAAACAGCGGTAAAGACACAGGGCCAGTCACCGTAAAGCGCAGTCCCTCAGGACGGGGCTGGGGGTCTGGTCCTTGGTCTTGTGCCGTCCTCGGAGCGGTTGATGGGTCTGGAGGCTCCGTCCTCCATGTGCTGGTTCCATACGGTGGCGAGCAAGACAAGTGCGCAATGGATTGGGTTCCGTGCCGTCCTCTGCGCGCTGAGAATGCGCTGTGGACAACAGATCCGGGCGGGCTGCTCCTGTCCTCCGCACTTGGCTGGACCGAGGTGGTGCAAAACATCCAGACAGAAGCGCGAATCCCGTTTGATTCGTCATAATATGTTGTTCTGAGTGGTCTGTCCTCCGGGCACTTGTTTCTTCCCGGGGAAAGCGCTTCTCAGGCCGAGGCATCACTCCCCGTCCCAGCTCATCAGCCCGGCCACTCCTGGTTCAGGAGTCTGGTTTGGATCTAGTCTGGCTGTAGCATTTCTCACACAGGCTAAAAGCAAGGCAGTTTTGAAGTTGAATCAATTGAATAGGCTATTGCCTATTGCCATAAATTTATTTGGTTAATTAATTAACAAATGCTGGTTGTTACGTAAACACGGGGAACACCGGGGCCTCTCTGTGCGCTCAGGTCCCGGTGTTCGAACACAGGTACGTACCCTCAATTTTGACTCACTATAGAGCCACATGTTCACACATTGGTACTTGCTTTGATCTTCGTTTATTATATTATATATATTGGCCATTGTTAGCAAAGTATCCAATTCGGAAATGAGTCGAGGCTGCGTCTGGACAACAGTTTCTTAGTGCTCTGGAGTCGCCGAAGGCGTATAGAGCGTCATTTCAGGCAGAGGAGACGCGTATCCCCTCCCGCGATGCATTTCGAATAGTTCATTTGGACCTACTGTCTGTGGTCTGGACCCGAGTTCGCGTTCACACCAGAAGAGGCGGTCTCGGATTCAAGCGACCCAAGACCGCCTTGACCGCCGGTCCACTTGATTTAGTGCGGGTTCGAGTCCGATTGATGCTTTCACACCAACGAAAACGAACTGAACTAAGAGTTTTTAGTTCGAATGGATCGGGTGGTGCGAACCAACTGCTGTCAGTGTGAAAGCACGTTATTACTGCATCAAAAACATACCTGGAGTTGCATTTTGTTTCGTTCACACATGTTTGAGTGATCCTGCATTATTAGTCTGTCTACATCTCCAAAAATGTGTGTTAACTGAGAAGGCATTGAACTTTGTGCCAGTGTTTTTGTTTTGTGAGGATAGCGACATTAATTATAGAGATATTAACCATAAACACACAAATTCAGTCACATAATTCTGACCTCCTCAATTTTAAACTTTAGGGATTCAAGAAAGATGTGTTGTCATGTTTACATAGAATTTGTTTAACTTTCAAAAAGCAGATTTTTTTTTTTTTTTACCTGGTTTGTGGTTAATCGATACTAAAATATAGCACTGGTCTATTAAACATACACATTTATATAAGATTAATAAATAGTTCTTACTGCCACTGAAGTTGCAGAATGAAGTAAAACAGACACAAAAAATGTCAGCATTTTCTCTTGTGTTCTCCAGATGCCCCTCTCTCCACTGAGGTGAAATGTTTTGAAACAGTCTCATGGCTTCTCTGTGTTTTAATCTGCCGTCCTGGTGGCAACAAAGCAGAGCAGATGCCATCTTGTGGTCCTTAAGAATGGAGCTTCTTGCTCCATTGAAGCTTCTTGTTCCATTCTTATACCCTAAAAGAGAAATGATACAAGATACAATTACAAGAATAAGATACTAACATTCATTTTCTTGGTAATTTAACTTTATTTAACTTCATCATTACTGCCACTGTTTAAGACAAGACATCATAGACTGTATACCATTGACACTTTGCAGTTGATGTGACCAGCATTCCTTGGGGGTTTGACACTAATGTAGACCCTACATTAGCTCCACAAGAAGAAGTTGAACTTTTTTCCAATTTTTATTAAATATGCCCAATAATTACACAGATATGAATAATAAACCTAGTCAACAAGTCTGCAGTCTAACAGTTAAACAGCAAATTTCACCACAGAATCCTGACCTGTCCTCCATCTCAGTCTAAACTATAGAGATTCTAGACTGTTTTGATAGATAAATAAATCAATATGCAGACAGACGGAAACCACTGGAGAAAGATTTAAGTTTAACTATTTCTGGGGACCCTATGCGCTTGTATTCAATTCATTGTAAAGCAACGATCGAATAGAATATTAATTTGTTCTTTTCACGGACTTCTTCACGGGAAAAAAACTCAAAAATGCGACTCCGGTGGGACTCGAACCCACAACCTTTGAATCACTGCTCAAGTGTATACTAGAAGTCCAATGCGCTATCCATTGCGCCACGGAGCCACCTGTTGAACGCGTCAACAGGTAAAAAGATAAAGGTAAACAAAAACATGTTGTGAGATGTGTGTAAAAAATCTAAATTTTGCTTGTTTTGGCGCACAGTTGCTGTACCATGTTCAATGTACCAAGGTAGTACACCATCCACGCATCGGTAAGAAGTGGATAGCGCAACATTTGCAGTAACATTTTTCTAATATATAGATTAAACCCCACATACCATTATTCTTAGAATAAAACACATTATCAAAAATGTAAATGACCACGATTTTATGATAGCTTACTTACCGTGACCAGGTGCAAATCTTGAACACTAAATCTGTCGACGTCGGCATTTCAAGATAAATATGTCTACAGTTATTGAGTGATAACATAACAGCTGCAAAAATTTTAAAAACATAATATTTTGCTGGTACTGCAAGATTATTTTTGAGACGATCCATGATTATCCTAGAGAATTCATGGATCTGCAGTACCCAAACGTCCGGCTTGCATTTCAGAATAAAATGACAAAGGTGAACATTGTCTACTTTTAGAATGTAAGATATCGTGACTCTGAATGAGGTAATATTAATACTGTTAGTAGTAGGCATTGAGACACAGAGAAATTAAGTGTATTTTGATTGTGTTGGAATGACTGTGCCGTGCATATGTGTGTTTGTCTTCATAACTGGACTGGAAACCGTCCTGTTCAGAGCCCGGATAGCTCAGTCGGTAGAGCATCAGACTTTTAATCTGAGGGTCCAGGGTTCAAGTCCCTGTTCGGGCGATATCATTTTTGGACATTTTTACAAAAATTTACTGTTATTTACAAAGCTTGCTACACAAGACTCTCAAGCCTTATATCACTGTAAATACTACAACATGTAAATATGCATTGTCTTTCTACTTACAGATTATTCCAAGAGAATCCGAGAGTCCGCCTTGCACACTGTTTAGAAAAACATAAACCATCCATTCAGTGTTAAAACTACACCATTATTTAAAATTGCTGTATGATTGGTCTAGAACTCTGGGTATGTTAAATGTATGAGTACTTCAAGAGAGTGTGGTTTATATGTTTATGCAACTAACATGTGAATATATGAATATCATAAACATTTAACAACTGATGTTTCCTTCTTGTCTCCAAGTAGGCCTAAATGTGATTTATTTGTTCGCTTTTGCAAAGCAATAACATCTACAGGGAGACAACCAAGTGGTGGTCTTTATAAGATTTATAAGATCTAGCTTTATAAGATTTATAAGATCTTTACGAAAATATTTTTGGATACACTCAACTGTTCAATTGATCTCCATTTGACCTTTATTTACATTGCTGACATGCAATGGTGAGTGACCCTCCTAAACTGGAGGTGGCGCAAATTTGTACAAATTAAACAGGAAACGACCGCGGTGTCCCCGTGCTGTTACTTTCACCGTAAGTAGAAATCTAGTAACTTTACCAGAATAAACATGTTTTAAGAGCCGCGCAATGGATGAGCTGAGGCTGGCTCTGTGCGCGCTCGGTGCTGCTCTGTTGTTGGAGGGAGAACAGAGAAGAGGACATTCACCCATCCGAGACGGGGACAGTGCCCCGAGTCCAGGTAGCCCAAGCAGGGATACCCCGAGCCCAATAAGACGACATGCCCGCAGCGCAAATGGTTCACGCCTCGTCAGAAAGCCCCGGTCTCTATTCTCCAAACGCGCCTCCTCCGCGCAGAGGCGAAAGGTCCCAAATCCCCGTCCCCGTAAAACCGACATCAAGAGAAAACGACGACAGTGGGTTCGGTCCTGGAACCAGCAGAGGCCCACGTATGGTGAACATTACCCGGCTCTGGGCAGCGGGGACGAGGCGGGACAGCCCCCGGATTTCAAGCACTTTTCTCGCATGTTCCCTGAGCAGTTTGAGGCTTTGGTGGAGAAGGTAGCGCCCATTATTCACAGAAGAAACACGAGCTTTCGAGCGAGTATTTCTGTGGAAGAAAGACTCATTGTGACGCTGCATTACCTCGCGACAGGTACGATATCTACTAACTAATACTAAACTACCCAAATATGACAAATGAGCAGTTGCGTAATTAATGTGGGCTATTATTAAATGTCCAAGTGCGATCAGATCTACGGGGATAAAAGAATGTATAAGTTTTAGGCTAACCTATCATTCATTTGTAGATGATCGTGATTAGTTTAAGTGGCTAGATATAATTTTTTCCCATGTTCATCTCCCACAGCTGTTGAAGTATGTTACTATTTCATTTTGTTTGTTGTTTGAATAATAATTTTAGCTTGGATCATACAGTTACTGTGTTTTATCCTGATTTTTTGTGGTTGTGTTGTGATTCCAGGTGAAGGCTTTAAAAGTCTGTCACTTCTTCCACATGGGAAACACCACGGTTCGTTTGTTCGTACCTGAAACTCTTCGAGCCATTTACCAAGTGTTGAAGGACAAATATTTCAAAGTATGTTTTTGTTTAGTTTAACAGTAAAATAATATCTGCCAGCAATAGTGATTTTTAGATAATACAGAATACAATATGAGAGTATTTACCTATTATCAATATATTGAACTTACTCTGTGATATATCACATTTTTTTTATAGAACCAAATGCATTTTAACAACTGCATTTCTTTGTTAAACCTCTATCTGCACAAAATGAATATGACATACATTACACCCATTTCAATCATAAACAACACAACAATTTTAGCACATTTTCCAACAGCCACTCCATAAGTAAGAAGAGATATATATCGTCGCGAGTGCAGCTCAGGACCCCATTCAGCCTTACATCTCCATCTCAAAGCCACCAACAATGCAGTAACAATAAATTATGTACCATTTTTCCCAGTGCCCAGTGACAGCAGAGGAGTGGAAGGTCGTGGCCAAAGGCTTCCAGTCTCAGTGGGATTTTCCAAACTGTGTTGGTGCTTTAGACGGGAGACTCTTAAATATCTCCCCTCCACCTGAAAACACAGGGTCCACTCCCACCAAAGAGGTGTCTGTGGCTCTGATGGCTCTGGTAGACAGTAATCACGTGTTTCAGTACATGGATGTAGCGTGTAATGGGCGGATTTCTAACAGTGCTGAGTTTAATGGATGCTTTCTTGGGGACGCACTGGAAAAAAGACTGGCCCACCTCCCTTATCCTACAGTGCTCCCAGGTAAAAGTGAACCAAGTCATTAATTTAATATAGTTTACCTTACAGGCTGCATAAGAGGCCATTCATTTAGGGCTGTGCAGTGAATCAAAGTCATAATCCTGATTAGTTATAGTTCTAGTCATTTATGCAAATGTCCTTTTCTGATTTTTAATTCTGTGTGAAGCACAATTGCAACAAAGGGTCACATACATTTTGGGGCATGTGCATATCTTTATAACAGTTTTTCAGGAGGAACACTTATACAATACACTTTCTCATGGGGAAAACAAAATAAGAAAAAAGTTGGATATTTCAACTTTAATTGAAATTAGTTTTAGTTCGTTTTAATTCAAATTATAACCATACTTTTACCATGATCAAAGAATAAAATACTTCAGTCATAATAGTAAAACTTTTTTGTGTGTATTATGTCTGTTATAAATTATGTACAGATCTTTTCACATTCTCATGGACTTAATTCTTTTTCTTGTCTCCTCCCATCATCCAGGTTCAAACCGCCTGTGTCCTCACTTTGTTGTAGCAGATAAGGCATTTCCATTGAAAGAATACCTTATGAAACCATATCTCCGCCATCTGTCCTCTGAACAACAAATATTCAACTACAGACTGTCCCGCGCATCTGGAGTCGCCAGTGATGCCTTCAATGTTTTGGCTGACCGCTTTCGTATTTTGCAAAACACTTTTAACTTGAACGGTCACGGCGTTAAGATTGAAGATATTGTCATGGCGTGCTGTGCTCTACATAATTTTCTGTCTATTGAAGCAAAAGAAAAATATCTGGGAGACATTTTGGACCAGAAAGGAAAAAATAATAATAGTAATTTGTTTCAAGCTGCGTTACCCCAAAACACCAATGTACTAATCAAAACCAAAGAGACAAGAGATGGGCTGTGTAAGTATTTTATGTCCCAGGCCGGTGCAGTGCCCTCCCAGTATGACGTATTGAACTAAACAGCGGCTCTACTCTTTGCTCCTCCCTTGTGACCTAGCACCTCACCCAATCTCTAAGGGAGCCCCCAGCCACCCTGCAGAGGAAACCCATTTGGACCACTTGTATCCACGATCTCGCCCTTTTGGTCATTGCCCAGAGCTCATGACCATAAATGACCTATGGTCATGATATTGAACTATTGTTGAACAGATTGTTTTAAATTGTGTGTTGTTAATCTTTGTGAATAAAATCAAGTTTTAAAATGTGAGCATGCAATTTCAATTAATGATAATGTTGGTAAGAGGTAAAGTGAAAACATCAGTTTGTGTAGTATTGCACAAACTGTGACATAATGACCCACAGCTGTAAAAAAAAAAAAAAAAAGTATTTGGGAAAACTACTACTCAGATGAGAGTAACTGTCTGGACATCAGATTTTATAATCGTAAATTATTGTTCTTATAATTAGGCTACAAAACATTAAATGATACAAAATATCTAACATTTTCTAGGCCGAGAGAAAAAAAAAAACCAAAATCATATCTGAATGAGTGGTGCAAGAAACAAAAATAATTACAATTATTTAATATTCAACAAAAAGCTTTTTCAAACCAAAGTGTTTCCACAAGTAAGCGCATTATTACACTGTAAATAGCAATAGCATATTAGGATAGGAGTTTTTTTTTATACTGTAACTGAGTAGTCCAAATATCCACCTCGAAGAAAACGCATAGCAGAGGATGGTTTCGATCCATCGACCTCTGGGTTATGGGCCCAGCACGCTTCCGCTGCGCCACTCTGCTGTTGAGCATGCACGAACCAGACATGGATAAATGTATCAGATATTTATATGGGTAAGTACTAAATCTGATCTTATTTTGGTAAAAAGTAAAACTTGAACAAAACAGGATGAGAACAGGAATCGTTTTAGCTCAGAAAACGCATAAGAATCGTTCGGATATAACAGTAGAGAGACATTCGTTTGTTGTTGGTCGCCACAAGAGGGCGCGCTTAATTCATTTACAGTCACACTAAATCCACTTTCTGAAGCCAGATTAAAACAATTGAGATAATAAAATACAACGTATAAAATAAATTCAAATAAATAAATAGGCTACAAGAATAGAACCACAGGCCCATAATTAAGATAAAACTGTGACTGAAAAAATAGGGAGACAGCTGACTAATACATTTAGTCTTTCAGTTTAGACCCCCGCACAGCGATCAGTTTCCTTCTGCTCAGAAGGAAACACGAACTATAGTTGCATTTTTTAAATAAAATGGTTCTAAGCTAGGGGCCATAGCCCTTCCAATCAAACCTCTATACAATCAAGTAATCATTTATCCCTCCCAGTGGACGCAGTCACTATGGTGGGAAAAGTGTCTTGCCAAAGAACACAACAATGGTCAGAGTTGGGAGTCCCCAACTTTGGGACAGTACACTTTGAGCTACTGTCACCTTTAACTTAAGAGTCAAGGACTAGGCCTCATTAAAGGCCCTGCATCCAATTTTTCCCCCATGTATCTGAGCTGAGCTCTTGAGGTAAAAATCTTTCCTGTTTATAATCAGGAAGTACAGGTGATAGTTGTTAGCTTTACAAGAAATGGCAGAACTCTGCTCTGGTCTCTGAAAGTTGTGAAAAGTGCTTATAAACCCATCACAATGAATAATTAGGATGATCCTTATGAACTGGGTAAGCGACAAATTACTTTGGACAACTGCAAACTATTAAAAATTAATTTGTCATTTTTTCACATTTTTAAGACAGTAAAAAACAGGTAGCGTCTCTTATAATATATATTACTACTATACATCAACATACAATCTCCACTTCTTTTGCATATTCCACTATTGTCCCTTGTTCAACTTTAATGTCTTTTTCAACATAACTTTTCCCATTTTCCTCAAAATGTTCACAGTTTTTTGGTTCATTGTCATCTTTTGTGGGTTCTCCATGGATTTCTGTGCATTCCTCTGCATTTATGTCCTTCTTCTTCCTTTTATCTCTCAACGCACAGGGTAGACAATTTGCCAAAAACAAAATCGTAAACAGGCAAATTAGAGACAACACTGCTCCTAACCCAACTTCCAAATCAAATTCTCCTTCTATTTCAGCTTCCCAATGCTCTTTCTCTTGACTTGGTGCAAAAAAGACCATTCCCTCTTCCTGGCTGGGCATTAGAATAGCCTTTTCTAAATTATTACTTTGAATTATGTCACTGCTACTTGATTTTGGATTGTATTTTCTTACAAATTCTTTCTTTTCTTCCTCAAGATTAGCTGTGTACAGGTTGCCGTCTAAAGTATCGCCAAATTCAAACTCAAATTCTTCTGGGTTAAATGTTGGGGGATAGTCCATATCCAAATTGACACGAATCCATCCAGAACCTCCTGCAAGTCTCCTCAAACCTCCTGAATTTTCCTGGTCGTCTTCGGTGAGCAGATTTGAAGTTAGCGGGCGATTTTGGCAAGTGGCAACCATTAGCTCGGTGCGTAAAAGCGGCCCGCCCCCGTCCCCTGTGGCGAAAATGCGTTGTCTGGAGCCTGGGGAGACTATGATGACAGAATCAGCGAGAGAAGAGAGGCGGAGGAAAGAGGGAACGTCACTGAAGGAGGAGAGGAGGGCGGAGGAGTCATCATCAAACTGGAGCCACACGCTGATAGAAGCCTCCTGAGAGAGAAGAGACAATGGAAATTAAAGGTGCGCACTGCAACTTTTCTGATAGAGGGTCCGCCACCTGATCGTCTCCATATGTTATTGCTTTGCATAGAATAGCCTATAGTTTCCTGTTCCAAAGTCGAGGCTGGTGGGTGACTGAGCTTTTTTGGTCTGGGCACCTTGACTTTAGAATGACCTGCCTGAGAAGATGAGGATTTTATCATCAGTATCATCTTTTAAATCAATTCTTAAAACTCACTTTTTTCGCCGTTTAAGGAAATGTCTTCTATTTTTACATGTGCATTTTATCTTTGTGTTTCTATGTTTTTGTATTGTGTCTTTTGGGCATCACCCACAGTATTGATACTTTTCAGCTGATGTCATCAACATTCAGTCAGATCAAATCAAATTTATTTGTATAGCACATTTAAAACAGTCAAAGCTTACCAAAGTGCTGAACAGTGAAATAAAACATACAAAAGGCAAATTAAACATAATAATAATAATAATAATAATAATAATAATAATAATAATAATAATAATAATAGCAAGGTGCCAAGGTGTCTCTTCCTAATTCTATGCAAATGCCAAGGAGAAAATGTTTGTTTTGAGAAAGAATTTAAGTTGTTCCAGTGATTGTGCAGTTCTAATGTGCAACAGCAAGTGTTCCACAGTCGTGGACTGACTATAGAGCTGACCCTATCTCCTCTGGTCCTCAGCCAGGAGGTGCTGATCTGCAAAGCGCAGCCCTCTGGATGGGACATGGGGCTGAAGGAGTTCAAATAAACAGGAAGGTGCCATGCCATTAAGACTCTTAAAAACAATCATTAAAATGTTTTAATTCATTCTAAAATGTACAAAGTCTAAAGTTAAAGTGTAAAAAATCTTCTGCTTATTTAAACTAAGAAAGTTTAACTGCATTCATTCCTGAACCTCCTTTAAGAAATTCACCAGCACTTGTACAGAGCAGCTGGTCTGAATTGGCAGGTAGATTTGCACATCATCAGCATTGCAGTGATAAGTAACATGGTGCCTTTCAAATATTGATCCCAAAGGAAGTATATAAAGGCCAAATAAAGCAGGGCCCAATATACGTCCTTGGGGCACTGCACACTTTAACTTGGACACTACAGAGGTGAACTGCCCTAACTGTACAGAAAAGGTCCTGTCTGTTAGATAAGACTTGGAACCATTTCAGTGCAGTGCCCCTGATGCCCACTTGTTCTAGATGAGCTAAGAGGATGGCATGGTCCACTTTATCAAAAGCTACAGTTAAATCCAAAAGGAGTAGTGCAGAAGGTTGGCCAGAAATGGGGAGGGTAAAGCTAACTAGACGCACTGCTCTGTCTGAAGCTCTGTTCCTCAAGTTAGATGTTAATATGAGTTGTTGTTTTAACACAATCTGACTATAAAGAACTGACTTATGATGGGTTTCAGGCATGAGAATTCCTTTGTGGTTTCAAGAATTTGGCATGTCAACAGTCGTTTATTGTTATAGCAATTTAAATCAAAATATTTTATCTTTTGAATGGGGAAAGATCATTACAAAATCCTTCAAATCAGGAAGGAAACCCATAAATAGTTTCAGCCATGTTCCAACTGTAAAATTCTGTGCAAGAACTAATTTAAACTGTTGTATCTGAAATGCAATTCTTCCATCTCGAAAAATAAACATAACTTAGCATTGGAGCCTAGGCTACGATTAGACTTTTAAACTTCTTTTCTGTACATTGACTCTTACCTCTCTTAACTCTTTTAACTCTTTTACCTGGTGATAGTTGTAGAAGATGTTGTAAGGGGTGATTGTTGCCGTGACAATGGCTGGATGTGATTGGCTGGAGCTAAGCGTCATCCCGAGTCCACTCACGACCTGCACCGAGAGGTCACCGGGGGCAACGAGGTCAGGGGTCACCATGAGGTCACAGCCACCCAGAGTCCCATCCCACTGTGCCGACACCACCTGGAAATCACACATAACATTTTAACATCTCCTCTGCATCATCTGCTCCATCTGACCCTCTCCTCTGCTCCATCTGACCCTCTCCACTGCTCCATTTAACCCTCTCCTCTGCATCATCTGCTCCATCTAACCCTCTTCTCTGCACCATCTAACCCTCTTCTCTGCTCCATCTGACCCTTTGCTCCATCTATCTCCTCTGCTCCATCTGACACTCTCCTCTGCATCATCTGCTCCATCTAACCCTCTCCTCTGCTCCATCTGACCCTTTGCTCCATCTGACCCTCTCCTTTGCTCCATCTGACCCTCTCTTCTACATCCTCTGCTCCATCTGACTCTCCATCAGACTGTCCCTACAGCATTCCTTCTCTGTACCATATATTCACATGAGCAAAGACAACAGAAGCCTTTGCACAAGTTTCTTACATATATTGTAGTTTTTCCAGGATGATGTCCAATTACGCTGTTTCCTTTGCCTAATGATGCAACTCGAGGGTCTTCACTTCTCAGCCAATCACGGACGAGATCTGTAACGTCCACCAACCAATCAGAAGAGCTCAGAAAGTGTTTGGTTTTGCCTTGAGAGTCCAGAGCCTGAAACTGGGTCAGAACCTGGACTGATGTGCGCTGGTAGACTGGTTCACAGCTAGAACAGAAGGTGACAAAAATGAGAAGTAAAACAGCTGGTCCAACTTTAAGTTAAAAAAAAGTTTTATAAACCAGAAATAAGTACAGAGCAGTGGTAGAGCTAGGTGGAAACATACATTTTCTGAGCACTCAAGCCTCAAATGCAGGAGAATAAAGGATTAAACACATGAACGAATTGAAATGCATTTTTACACAATATTAATGTCAGAAAACTGCAGACTGTTAGGCAACTACTTGAGAACAACATTGAGCAGTTTCTACCACCATTCATAATTATTATTATTCTGCTTCAAGGAGTACTTTTTTACTTCGTCATGATAATAGTTTAAAAAAAAAACCCACAAAAGTTGATTTTACACACATGTTTCATTTGAATAAACCTTACCCTTTGTCAGTGTAGTAGTCCCAGCCCTGGATGGAGTTGAGCACAGGGTCTGCCAGGGAGACTTGCAGGGGCACAGAGGGTGCCCACACCTGCAGACAGAGGGTGCCCCTGAGTGTGCCCAGGGAGAATTGCACCTGTGCACATGTGTGGCCCTCTCCAGACTCACTGCCGTCGACAAACACAGAGGAGCAGTCAGAGGAGACCTGGAGAGAACAAGAGAGAGGATTAACATGGTCTAGTCCCAGTTTGATCCAGGTTTAGTTTAGGTTTAGTTTGGCAAATACAGATCATGATCATTTCAGTGTTATCACAATTCAACACAGTCTATCTGCTGCCTTTAAGAAGTAAATAAAGAGGTATTAATTTATTCTTATTTGATTTATATCTTCTTTTTTCATGAAAGAATTAACTTGAAAGAATTCTGTTCTTTATTTACTTATAATTTGTTGCCATTGTGCAAATTCTGAACTCTTGGTCATGGGATTTTGTACCTTGATAATGTTGTTGTTTTCTGAGTGACAGGAGACTGCAGAGGTGATGTCAGACACTTTTCCACTTCGGCTCACGGCCAAAACGATGATGGGCTGAGACACAGGGAGGCTAGTCAAGATGGCTGTGTTCAGGATGTTCTTACTCTGCACAGACAAGACGCAGAGGAGAGGGTCAGATGGAGCAGAGGATGAAGAGGAGAGGGTCAGATGGAGCAGAGAATGAAGAGGATTCACCTCGGTGATGGGAGCGATGCCGATGATTGGTCGATCAGTGAAAGTGAACACGCTCTCTCCTGCCCCGTGTGGTGGAGGTAGGGAGTGCCCAGAGTATTCCACCCACCACTGCGCAGTAACAGACATTGCAACACCAAAACTCCTTCTCAGCCCATCCACAGAAAAGCACACCACCTGCTGGAGTGACATGGAACTGCAACCCAATAGAGCTGGGGTTAGCAAAAACAGCTGAAGTTAAAATGGTTTGCCCATGGAACGAAAGACAAAATGCACTTGATGGAGCAAGAATCAACTCAAGATTTAAGAAGTTATTACCAAAGAGCATGACCATAGGTGAGACTGAGAAGAGACAATATTTTCAATCGACACAAGTGTCATGCATCGGTAAACAGTAAACCACAGTTGCTAACGTGTGCCTGCATTTCTTTTCTAAGTTTTGCCAAGCATATCAGCTCAACATGTAAATTGGCATTACCCCTTATGGCCTGATACAGTTCATTTAAACAGTGGAGACACTTTCAGACTGTACCAATTGTCTCCTAAGCAAACCTAAGCAACAAACCTCATTAGTCCACTAGTACTCACTCTGTCTTGTGTTTGGCTGGGCTTTGTTTGTGGCAGAGGATGGAGATGACATCATGGTCTGGTCCCTGAGTCTTCTCCAGAGTCACGGCCCAGAGGTCGGAGGTCAAAGTGCGTTGAGCCATGAGAGACACCAGGCCCTTTGGTACCTTCATCCTGAGAGAGGAGAAGGAGAGGGGAGAATGGGGATGAAATCAGGACATTTGAAGTGTGTTTGACAGATCAAACTGATACTTGAAAAGTTGGCTTGACTCCTTCTGCCTGACAGCATCCCTTCCTTCCAGCATCCACCACCAGGTTCTAGGATTGCCACTTGAGGCAAGGACCCCCCACTCATCTAGGGAGGTCAAGCCAACTTTTTCCGTTCGAGAACCATGGCCCTGAATTTAGAAGGGCCGATTATCATCCCGGCTGCGACACACTCGGCTGCAAACTGCCCCAGTGCATGTTGCAAGTTTGACAAATCCATCAGGATGTCATCTGTAGACCACAGAGATGAGATTCTGTGGTCTCCACTGGTTCTGTTCATTCTTTGATAAAAAAAGAATGATAAAAAGAATGAACAGAACTGGTGACAAAGGGCATCCTTGAGTCCAGCATGCACTGGGAATAGATCTGGCTTCTTGCAGAGAACACAGCTCCTGCTCTGGTCGTACTCCTGGAGCACCCCCCAAGGATACCATGAGGGACACGACAAATGCCGTTTTCAGATCCACAAAGCACATGTGCACTGGTTGGACAAACTTCCATGAGCCCCTTGCTCCTTCTGAATCCGAGGTTTGACTATCGGTTGAATTGTCCTCTTCAGTACCCCTGGAATAGACCTTACTGGGGAGATTGAGTGTGATCTCCACATACACCCTCCACGTGTCACGTGACATGTGTCAGCCACGACTGACCTACAACATTCAGGGAACAGATCAGAACGAACCTTTTCCACCCCTAGAGTCTTGCTACCGATTAACTTGCAAACAACCTCAGTGACCTCAAATTGGATGATGGCTCAGTAGGACTCCTTCTGCCTGACAGCATCCCTTCCTTCCAGCATCTACCACCAGGTTTTGGGATTGCCACTGCAGCAAACACCAGATACCGCAAGTACAGGAGCAGGATGAGGTATTTCAGCCACATCAATACAGAAATCTGAAATCACACTATACAGGCCAAGGTGTGCATCCCCCCAGAGGCAGCTAACTAGCACAGAAGTCCAATAGCAAAAGACTGTTTGTGTTCAGATGAAGAAGCACCGTGGGCAAAGTGTACACAAATTCCTCCACCACCGTATGTGCCAGTTCAAGTTCAGTAGTCTATACACCGAATACATTTTGTGTACTATTACCTGATGATGACAAACTCCTGGCTGAAGTTTGCTCGCAGATTCACGGACACTCTGATTGGCTGTCCAATCAACGCCGGCCCTCTGTGGTAGCCAATCACAACGTGGGAGTCCAAGTTAAGCTCCTCCTCCCGTAGACCATTCAGACAGGAGCGCTCCTCTTTGGTCTGGTCTGGTCCTTGGTCTGCTTTTTCCTTTAGAATGACCGATTTGAGAAAAAACAGCTGCCTCTGGGACTGCAGCTGCTGGTCCTCCTCACAGTTAAGGGTGCTTTGAGAAAGAAACACCAATCCATATGAGAAAGGGCACCGGCACTTACATTTGGATACCTAATAGTAATATTAATCATTGTTTTTGTACATAATAGAGGACAAGATTGTCTCATGATCTGTTTCTCTATTGTTTTCAGTTGCCTATGTTTCCCACAAAAAATAGATAAATATGCAATCATCAAAACAATAGGTGAAAAATGTCATTTTAACAATACAGTAAACAAATGTTTGACATTTCATGAACTTTGGCTCATTTGGAGGAGAGGTGAAGAGGAGAAAATGAAAAGGAAGGCTGGCAGTGAAGATGGGATGGATGAGGGGTGGAGCTGAAATTACTCAGTGATGGAGGGGAGAGAGAGTGCATTTGTATATAAATATATTGAAAGGTGAGGTGACAGTTTGACAGACTTGAGTGGATATACCTAGAGGAGAACTTGAGATGGGGGCTTTCCACAGTGGAGTAGTAAAGCTGGACCTGGTTTTTTGGTGGATGTTGAAATCTTAGTCCCTCTGGATTTTGAAAGTCATCTTCTTCACTTTCATCATCAAGTCTGAAAGGAAGAAAAAAATCATCAGGCACAAAAAATGTGTTCATGTCACAGTGACATCACAATATCCTAGAACGCCAACAGTTTAAAACTGAGCTGGAGGACAGGGCAGAGTTCTGTGGTGAAATTTTCTGTTTTACTGTCAAAACTGTTAAAATGTACAAGTTTGGTCCTGGTTCATATTTCTGTAGTTAATAGGCTCATCAACATGAAACAGCAGTTATTCATATTCAAACTGTGTTAAAACAAAGCTAAGATTAAAGTCTAATAAGAGTAACAGAGCTTCATACAGAGCAGTGCCTCTAGTTAGCTTCACCCTCCAAGGAATGCCAATGGCACCATTTGAAAGGTAGTAGTAAGAGTTTTTTGTTTAGATCCACTTAAATGAATTAGATTTTTACCTCAGTGTTTGTAAAGGTCGGTGTCTCAGTCTGCCCTCGTGTCCACGCCTCTGTCTTGTTCTGTTTTTTAGTCGGCGATAAGAAGAGGCACGACTCTGCAGCTCTGCTGTTCTGTCATCTGATTGATCACCCTCTCGATCCTTGAACCAATCACTGGGCAGTGTCAGCGTGACTACACAAAAACCCAAAGGCGGCTGAAAGAAACAAAACAGTTTAAGAACTTGGTACAGACATATTATGCATATTAAATTAGCATAGTACTGTCCCATATGTTGTGTTTAATGCATTTTCAGTGGGAGATTTAACATCACAAACATCACAAACCTTGAAAAAGTGTTTTATTTGAACTTATAACCACATGTGAGTAACACCTGAGTCTTGTTAGAAATCATTACACTGTGTAGTTGTGTTTTGTGTACTTTATTTTACAACGGCCAATTTGGTTTCTGTCAGTGGTCAAAATGTTCCATTTTGCTGTTCATTAAATTAATGGGATGAAATGTATATATCAGTAACATTCTCTGCAATTATTTTAAACTCGTCACTCCTATCTGAACTTATCAAGCAGCAGCAGAACTAGCCTCCTCAGCCTCTCCATCTCCTGCTCTTCACTACCACTGGTGCCTAGAGATTAACTGTAATTCAATCACTGACAATGCTGTCAATCTATGTGCCAAAGTCTATCCCTTCTCGTCTCCTCCTCACCTGTGTAACACATGAGGCCTTTCTCTCCTCTGTCTCTCTGAAGGCGTGCAGACTGACACAGGTCCCACTGGAGCCTGGACTCTGGTGGAACAGGACCCGGACTCTGAACTGGTCTTGGCCTTGCTCGTCCTCCTCTTTCTGCACATGCTCAGAGAGGAGAGAGGCAGACAGAGAGGGGGGAGAGGGGGAGGGGAGGAAGGAGAGGGACTGGAGAGTGGGGGGATTCAAGAAAACTAAAATTTTTAAAACTATATATTGGAATATTTAGATGTATTAGTATTGAAGAAAATAAGTTGATGCGCTTTCAACCTTGTTACAATATACTAGTAGTTCCCTCATCTCAAACACACCTAGGGTACCAAATAATGCTACAGCAAGTATTGCAATATTTATCTGATATCGATGAAATGTTGAAACACCTCTACTATTTGATCTTGAATTTGATCTTGTTGAAGCAGTCTAAGCAAATGTTTTTGTATAACTTGGAGTCTGAATTGGTGGAATATGAAGAGTATATATTAAACTTCAAACCTTTTTACAAGACAGTTTGCAGCACAAGTAAGGACACTGCAGGATTACTCAAACATGCATGAATGAATTTAAAGGGCCCATATTACATTATTTTCTGCACTGTTGTTGTTTTGTTATAATGTTGTTTCCTTATCAAAAACATACCCGGAATTGTGTTTTGTTTCATTCACACATGTTTAACACACAAACCCTGCATAATTACACTATTTTCTCAAACAAAAAAAACTCTATTTCACCTTGTGATGTCATGTGGTAATACAGGAAGTGTTATGCTGTGTTTTTAAACTCCATACACCTTCACTAAAATAATTTAGGTAATTTCAACCCTGGAATTGCTCATCTCTACTGAACAAAAGGTAAAAGGAGTTGTTAACTTGAAAACTACAGCTTTGTGAGATCATAAGGTGGAACAGAGCATTCTGAGCTTCGGAGATTTAGACAGACTAATAATAAAGGGTTACACAAACGTGTGAGTGTGAATGAAGCAAAACACAACTCCAGATATGTTTTTGATAAGGTAACATTATAACATGATTTAAAGCTCACAAGAGTCAATTTTGTGTAATATAAGCCCTTTAAATACTTCTCTGGGTAGCTCATGACGAGGGAAATGTAGCAATTCCTTTAAATATGGCTGTAAAAGTCAAAAGTGTCTCTTACCTGAGTGACAGAGTATGGGCCAAAGGAAGCGTGCAGCTCTGGAGGTGGAGCCCTGGCTGAGGGGGGCATCAGGAGCAGGCTGTGAGAGGACGAGAAGGGGCTCGAGTTTGAGAAAACCTGCCCCAAATCTGACTGCACCAGGGGTAAGTACTGCCAAGAGGGGGTGCTCAGGGACAGGTGCAGGGGGAGGGAGAGGGGGGCAGGCTGGGAGTGAACTGAAAGAGGGGATGGAAGAAAAGAGGATGCAAGAAAGGTTAGTGTGAGAGGAGGAGAGAGAATGAGAAGAGGAGTGAAAATGGTGGAGGTAAATAGGTAAAGGTAGAGGTAGAGATAGAAAAAAAATATGGCTTTTAAGTGTCATTGTCATTGTAAAAGTAATCAGAGTGTTTAAAGTTCATGTGTTGAAAGAGGGGGTATTACACTTCTATGGTTATTAGTTGATCACACATAACATATTTAGATCACCATGTTACTTTTGTTGGTTTGAAAATGCTATACTCACAGAAAATAATATATTAAATGTTTAATTAATTTCAGTGTGTTTTTGAGGCGGAGAGGGTCCATGTGGTGATAGCATGAGAAGAATTACAGAGAGCTTCCTGGTTACTTAGGCTTGTCGGTTGACCCTTAAATAAAATGCCTGGTCACTCAAACATGCACAAATGACTTCACCACTTCACTCGTGTTTTTGATGAGGGAACATTATGACATGGTAGAAAAAAGAGGATTAAAACTTTAAACATCTCATACACTATACCTTGCACAGAGACCCAGAGCAGCAGCAGTGTCTTCATGTTTTCACTTCACAGCTGTGTCTGTGAAAAAGGTCAAAATCTTTAGTTCAGTTGCTTTTACTTTTTAACTAATTCTAGATGGAGATGGCAAATGCAGAATGGTGTCTATGTAATCACTTTGTTGTGAATGTGTAGCCACCTATCCAAGAGGCTTCTTCACTTCTGACAGGGTTCTGTAGAACACTGCCTTATATCTGTCAAAACTCATATTTGTAAGGAATGTTTTGGTCCAGTTAATAATTTACATTTTCTTTTGCTATGCAGATGTGTAAAACACATTATATAGTCAAATGCTCAAAACTGTTTTACAAAATAGCACTTAAACTGACCTTAGACTCCTGTAACACAGGTTGAGACTCGATCAAGGAAAGGAACAAAAAACACTAAACCAAAACTTAAAGATGCACCATGTAACTTTTCAGGTGGAAGGTCCACTCGCCTGAAATGCTCCACAGTATGGCATTAAACTGATCTATCTCCATCGAAACATGCAGGTGTCACCATGCAACCACACCAAGTTATAGATCAGTTCTGTGGAGAGGAGATCTTCCACATTAAGAATGCATGTTTTCAATACATTTTTCACCAATAAAACCACCGGTAACTGAATGCAGGATATACAAGCAGGTGGTGAACCCCTCACTTGAAAAGTTACATAGCGCATCTTTAAATGGACTCCTATGTACCAGCAGGGGGCTCTGTATCCTCTGAGGGAGAACAAACACATTTGACCCATCTGCTGCGGGTTCAAAGTGTGGAGATGAAAGAGTGTGCAGTAGATAAATATATCCAGAGGCACGTGTGCATGTCCACACCACACTCAGGTCAACAGCACAACAATCAAACACCAAACAAACAACGGACCACTCACATGCAAACTAAACATGTGCATTTAAAGCTCCTCATGCAGCCCAGAGTCTTTCAAAGTTTAAAAAGAAACACTCAACATTTTTCGAACAAAGTACAAGTGAAATGCAATGTGTGATTTCAGTGGAGAGACTGGGATTAGCCTCCACATGTTACGAAATGAGAAAAAATATTTGTTTTTTTCTAGAATGTGATGAGGGCAAAAAATATATATATTTTTTTCTTTTGATTACATTGTGCTCATGTCATAAAATATCTAAAGGAAGGAACTGAGAGCAACAGCCTTTTATTTGTTATAGCAATAATACAAATCAATATTTAATATTTAGGATGTTTTCATAAATAATCCCAGCTATGTATAAGTAATATCAGAATAGTTATTTACTAAAATATTTATAAAGAAATGTACATTAAAGGTGCACTGTGTAACCTTTCTAGTGGCACGGCCCGCTACCCTCTTGTTTCATGAGATATTATTGTTTTGTCTGAAATGTCCCACAGTATAGCTTTAAACTTGCCCAGTTGAACAGAATGTGTTCTTACCTTTCTCTATGTCCAATCCAGTCTGTTCTTCAAACACATTTTTGATATTGTGTTGAAATCCTTCGCACCAAAACAATTATTATCCTTTAAATGTGTCGCTCCGAGCTTCTGACAGCTGCAGGCATCACCTCTATTTCTCTTTCCCTCTCTCTCACCCTCTCTCCTCCCTCCCTTTCTTTCTCTCTTCCTCCACCCTCTCTCTCTCACTCTCTCTGTTTCTCTCTCTCCCTCTCTCTCTTTTAGTCTCCTTTCCTTCTCTCTCCCTCTCTTTCTCGCCTCAAATAAAGGATTATCTTATCTCTCTTCACCCCCTCTCCTTCCTTTCACTCCCTTTCTCCCTCTTTCTCTCTCTTTGTCCTCCCTGCTCCCCTTCCTTTCTCTCCTCCCCTATGTATCCCCCCCTCTCTTTGTCCTCTCTCTCTTCCTTTCCTTCTCCATCTTCTTCTCTGTCTCTCTCTCTCGCTTTCTCTCTCCCTCATTTGTGTGTCCCTCTCTCTCTCTCTCTGTTTGAGCAATACGGATTTATTGGTTTAAAACGGTAAATAATCCTCCGTTCTCCTCCATCGCTCACATTTCACGATCACACATGCAGTTTAAAGCTCAGGGTTTTCACGAGGAAATATTATTGGCCATCAGAGTGTTTGTGATGTCATCTGAACTACCAACTTTTAGATTAGTGTGTACCAAAAGTATAGTAGTAGTAGTAGTGTGTGTCAAAAGTAAGACTCTGACTTCATTACAAATCATAGTACCTGTCTAGAATGTAAAGGAGATCAGGTCACAGTGCTACCAAAATAAACACATATTAAATAATTATTAATTCAAAAAGTTATCGTAAAATTATACTTTAAAATGTAATTCAATTGTTTGTGTTTTTACATGTACAGAGTGGTAATAGAGCAACAGAAGGGGATTAAAGCACAAAGAACGAGTGCTGAGAGGCTTAGCTAAATATAAAAAGAAACTGCATTTTTTAACTTATCAAAATCCTGTGAATCCTTTTATTAAAAACTATTCAAATCCAGCAATTGTACTTCAGTCCTGTAAGGCAGAGTTTCATTTGTGTTGGTTCTTACTGTGGCAGAGTGGTTACCCTGTCTCCTGTTGTCTCTCAGTATAAGGAGGAGACTACTGTAGTGACACAGGGAAGACATGCCTCTAACTTTGAGGATGCTTTCACTTTCTCCTAATGTCCCCCACACTATAAGGAGATATCATCATGAATAGACAGTCTGAGTTATCAATATATACTTACAAGGTATCAAAAAGTACACATTTTGATACTTAATTGATACTGTGTAACAAACAGGCTGGTTTGTTACCCATAAGTACACTCAGCACCTTCATCCTTCACTAAGACACTTTAAAACACTGCACTTTTGGTGGCACACAGCACTTTAAATATATTTGCACATATTACAAAAAGAAATTGCACATAATTGGTTTTAAAATTTATTTGTTGTCTTTCCTTTTACCACTTTTAATCCTGAGGCACAGTAGCACTTTAATACATGCATCACAAATTTCGGACTTCCGGTCATTACGCAATGCATACTGGGAAGCATTTTCTGAAAAAGTGAGCATCAAACCGCCATGTTTGTTTTCCCAGTGGGATGCGTCTATTGACAAAGCCAGTCTTTTCTAGTCTTTTGAAACATATCACTTTTGTTTCTGGTTCTGATAATGTCATATTTTACTTTTGTGATTTGGACATTGTAATTGTGTGATTGTTGGATGTCCTAATACAGGAAAAAGGCTCAAGAAAATTATTTGCGAACTCCATAACTGCAAAAGGGAATCAGATCTGTGTGACTGCAAACCTCTGTTCAAACTGTTTCCCTTCCCAACAAAATTGAAAAATAGTGAAAGGCGATGGGCAGGATTGATCCACAGGAAGGACAAAAAAGGTAAACTTTGACTGCCTAAATCATCCCGAGTTTGCAGTGAACATTTTTTATGTGGAGTCAATGCAAAACCCTGATCCCTCGCTCAACCTTGGTTACAAATTTAAAAAGTCAACGCCAAAGTGAAAGGCACCAGCTGTTCACCAAGAAACAACTTCCACTGCAAAGCGACCAAGACGTGATGTTGCTGTAAAGTCACAAGAACTAGAAAGTGCGAGCTCAGCCTGTTTGTCTTCTGCACCTCTCGCTTAATAAACGGGATCCCGCTTTGATGCACTCCACGTACAAAATGTTCACTGCAAACTCGGGATGATTTAGGCAGCCAAAGTTACCTTTTTCATCCTTCCTGTGGATCAATCTGGCCCATCACCTTCGACTTTCACTATTTTTCAATTTCGTTGGGAAGGAAACAGTTTGAACAGAGGTTTGCAGTCACACAGATCTGATTCCCTTTTGTTTTAATGGAGTTTGCGAACAAATTTCTCTAGCCGTTTTCCAGTGTTAGGACATCCAACAACCACACAATTACAATGTCCAAATCCCATAACAAAAATATGACAATATCAGAACCAGAAACAAAAGCGATATAGTTGAAAAGACTAGAAAAGATCGGCTTTGTCAATAGACGCATCCCAATGGGAAATCAAACTCAATTTGATGCTCACTTTTTTGGAAAATCCTTCCCAGTATGCATTGCGCAATGACCGGAAGTTCAAAATTTGTGATGCATGTATTGAAAGCTGCTTGTCCCTGGAGGAAAAGGAAACATAATTAACCAATTACATTTTAAATTGAATTAGTGCAATATATATGGTGCAATATACATGTTTTGAAATGTTTGTGTTGATGTGTGTTTTATGGTGTTTTAATGAATGGTGTGGTTCTGCTTTTTACTTACCTCCTTTTTTATCTTCTGTCCAGATCCCAAAAGAGTCCCCCCGGTAATGAGCTGCCTCTTTTAAGGTTCCAGGCTGGACCATGTGTATTATTTTGTACAGGGTTTGGAGTTTTATTGGTTTATGGGTTTTAAAGTTTCAGTTGTGTATGGTTTTTATGTATATAGTTGGGGTTTTAATAGTTATTTGGGTTTGGGTTTATTTTATAGAGGATTAGGTCAAGATTTTAAGCTATGGATCATTTTACCATCCCTGTTTTAGCTATATTGTTTTATCCAGTTAGTCAGAGCAGGATAAAAGGCACCTCAAGACATTAGGTTGTGTTCTGCTGCTAGAGAGGAAACTGCCATTTTGCACCCTGCACTTTTTGCACTTGCACTTTTTGTGATGATTGAAAACCAAAACGTAAACTGTGGACCACTGCTTCACGTCTTTGTCTGGATTTTTTAAACTTTACACAGTGAACCCCAACCCGCGGTCACGGTCAGCCTACGTCACATACTGAAATTCAGTATTTTTGATATTTGATATTTTTGTTGTACATATTTTATAAGGTGGAGTGAAAAAATAATAATAAGCCAAGGAAAAAACATAGACTGTATAAAGAAGTGGACTAAGGGAATGTGATGTCACCCTTAGCTTTCGGCTCCAGTCAAATGAAGCTCATGAGATTGGCATGGTGAACAGGTTAAAATGAACACATTAAGACTAAAATGAGGAGCAGCAGTTATGGATACAGGGGTGAGTTTTTTGTTTGTTTGTTTTTTTCAATACAAAGTGAAGTGGAGCTGGAAGCATGCCAGTGCTCACTTCCTATTTGGAACATGGTGGCTAGAGGGTTAGATATATATGTTTATTTATATATACAGTCTGTGGGTAAATTGATCCTAGTAGAAGAGTTTCAGTGCATTTTATTACACACAAATGTAATTGGACCAACTAATGAAAAAGATCAGGTTTAACATTTATGCATTTACCCTTAGATATTTCATAGCAAAGTGGTCATATTGTACTAGTTAATCAGATTTGAGCCATGATCCTGGTCAGAAGCACCTTCCTGAAGGATTAACATTCTGTGCATGTTTTATGTTGATAAGGAAACCCACGCAAATGGAGGGAGAACACGCAAACTCCACATAGAAAAGCCCTACTGTCCAGGAATCAAACCACAGACCTGCTTACCCCCACATAGCCTATATTACATTTCATTTCCCGTCTTTCTGTTGTGTCCTGACATTATAACATGTGTATTCTGTGCCTAAATATTGTGTTGGAGCGATATTCTGATTCCCTGGAGGATAATCCCTGTAATCTGCGCTCATCTGTCATTGTTTCTGTGTGGGACGTTGGCGAGTTGTGGATTAAATCATTTTATATGTGACCTGACGAGAGGGATGGGGGGGAAGCAAAGGGACAGACAGATGGAGTCTATGTGCACAGGCAGGTCTAAAAGCTAAAACAGATGAAAATGGACCAAATTATAGAAACATTTTTGTATTTGATTTGAGGAAATGGTTTAATCAACAGAGAGCACATTGAGGTAACAGTGACTTTTAGTGAATGGCCGTCATCACATCTCTGAAGCTAAACTGGGTAACATGGGCCTTGATAGTACTTGGACGGGAGACTGCTGGAAGTAGTAGGTGCCACAGTGTATCGCCAGTGAGTCCATTGCAAAATTATTGTTGTGTCTTTAGGCAAGACAATGCCTTGAATGAATGCGGTGTGTGCGCATGAGTGCTGGTGGCATAGACAGTATATAAAAATGGACATAACTAACAAACTATCTGTACCAAATAGGAAGTGTTCATGAAGGCTCTTCCGGCTCCAACTGACCCTGGGTCCCACTGACTTCCATTTGAATATCGTTGCCCCTCTCTCTGTAACTGCTGCAGTGACCCTTGTCATTTTGCTCTTAAAAGGTTCGTATTGACCAGCTCTACATGATCCTGGTGATTATATTTCTCTGTTTTGTCTGTTCATAAATTCCTTTTCCTAATTCCATACTAGGAATTTATGGCTCCAAATTTGCTCCTATAACCGGTGACATTGTGAGCTTAATTTGACTGGAGCTGAACACTATTCGTGAAGTCACACTCCCTTAGCCCTCTTCTTTATACAGTCTATGGTTGGCAGCCTTGCTTACATCAGTCTGCACCAGGCGCAACTGTGGCTACAATAGTTCCCACCTCTGAGTGTGGAGTGAATGAATAATGCTATGTAAAATACTGTGGTGTATTGAAAGGTGCCATAGAAATCCAATGTATTATTATTTTATGGTGACTGACGTGCTCAAATGGGGGGAAGTGTTCTGCTCAAGGACACAACACACAGGCACACGTGACTATACTAGTAAATTAACGTATGGTGTGTTCTCAACTGATATCTGCCCTTGCTATCCTGTTGACAAAAAAATTTAATCTTTTGACCTTTTTAGTCCCACTTTATAATGGTATGGATGTGTGTATGTATGTATGAATGCATTATTATTGCATTGTATTATTTCCAAATATATAGCATATTATCAGTGAAGTAAAATTGCCAAACATTAAAACGCAATAAACCTATTATAACATACAGTCAGCATCTCACCTGCTTGTCTATCATGGAGACATATAAGTTTAATTACTTTTTAATGACATACTGTGGAACATTCTCGGCAAAGCAATACTATCTCCTGGAGTCAAGCAGCCATCATGTCAGCACTTCCAACATTACATATAAAATCAAATGTGTATAAATATAAAAGAGGGTGGAGAGAGACAGAAATATCACAAACAGGAAGTTGGTGTAAACGATGCAGGAAACCGCTGTCTGCTCCGAAACCACTCCATCTCATGACAGAAGATAAGTCACACAGGATTTATTCACAATTATTATTATTTTTTTAAATTTCCAACAATAATACAATAATACTGGCATTATTATTACAAAAATATTTTTACAAAGTACATTCATGTGTGTTTTTATTTTAGATTTCATGTACAACAAGTTAAGATGTGTAGACATGAGTAGGTACTCCCACAATTGAGGGAGTACCTAGCCTAGCAATATTCATTTTCCCTTTTTCATTCTTTTTTTTTTTTTTTTTTTTTTTTTTTTTTTACATTTGACCAGCCGAATAATACTACTGATAATAAGTGCTACAGCATATTGTACATGTTTTACAGCATTTTACTTCAGTAGAAAAATAAACCAAGGACAAAACTGTACAAATACACATCAGCAGAGGTGGAGGAGCCAATATTATACTGAAGTAGGAGCAACAGTACTTAATATTACACAAGAGTATAAGCTCAGAGTAGTGGTCCAAGAAATTACTCAAGTAAGAGTAAAAAATATTTGGGGAAACTACTACTCAAGTAAAAATAACTTAAAGTGTAACGGTTTCGGTGTAACATTTGTTTTATAATTTGGAGTTAATGTAATTTGAAGGAAAAACCATTAATAAACCACAAAATCTGGTATTTTTTAAAGGATTTACACCAAGTGAAAAAAAACTAAATCATATCTGAAGCTGAACGGTGCAAGAAACACAAATGTTCAAATCATTTCATATTGTCAGCACAAAGTTTTGTCATTTGTACTCTTACTTACTCACAGTGGGAAGAGGAACCAAGTTTTACTCAAGTAACAGTACTGATACACTGTACAGTATATAAGAGAACTGCAAATTCAATAACCGCAAGTAGTTTGGCATAGGAGTAAAGGTATGATGCTGGAAAACTACTCTGAAGTAAACAAATCATGGTGCATACATAGACTGTATAAAAAAGTGGACTAAGCGAGTATAACGTCATCCACAGCGTTAAGCTCAGCTCAAATGAAGCTCGCTGTGCTTATGGTTACAGAGACAAATTTGGAGCCAGACTCCATATTATGAAAAGGAATTTTTAACAGACAAAATAGCAAAAAAAATAAATAAATAAAATAACACCAGAATCACATAGTGCGCGTAAATGCAAACATTTTAAGACCAAAATGATGACTGCAGCAGTTAGGAGAGAGGGGCCACAATATTCTAATGTACGTCAATGGGAGCCATGGTCAGAATGAGCCAGAAGAGCCACATGTGAACTTTCTATTCGGAATGCGGGGGCTAGCACGTTTGCTATGTCCATTTATATATACAGTCTATAGGTGCATATAAAACCACATGTATCTACAGTTTTCTTTTTGATGATGTCAGAAGTTGTAGCTGTTCCTATTGGATGGAGGGTTCCCCACCACCAGACGATCTAAAGCTGAGGAAACAAAATAACAACAATAAAACAGGACAAGTTTTAAAAAGTATGAGAAGCCCTGTTTTAGACAATATATCTTATAATGTGTAAATATTAAATTAAACTGATGTATGATTACATTCAAATATCTGAGGTAAACCAGGTCTTACCTGGGTAAGAAGAATGTTTTTGTCCATCCAGGTTTTTGTTCACTTGTCCTCGTTGGTAAGACACTGAAATACATGAAAACATGAAAAGACAATCAAATGAACTAGCGTTAAATACTTGAAAATACACACAGAACTTTATATGTAACTTTTCTAATGGAGGCTCCACCACCTGCTTGTCTCCATGGAGATACTATTGCTTTGCTTGATATGTTCCACTGTATGGCATTAAACTGTTGCACCATAATGCTGAAGCAAGTTCCTAGTTTGTGAATTTTGTTCACCGACAATGTCGATAAAACTGACTCTGATTCAGGTCTAGGCAGTGGAGGAATGTAAGAAAGTATAAGAAGTACTATACTTATACTTTAGTTTAAGTAGTGGATACTTTTAACTTTATACTTTATTTTGTGTGATACTTTTACTTGAGGTTTTTTTTTTTTTTGCTGCTATTGATATCTGTACTTGAAATCTGTTCTTGTACAGACTTGAGTACTTCTTCCACCACTGGATCTAGGGTTGTCAAAAGTATTGAAAATCAGATACTAATCAATACTAATACTAGTACTGAAACTAGATACTCATCTGAGCAAGTGTCAAAATAAAAAAGTCACATTCAGAAGACAGAAATGAACCTTTCCTGAACCTGGACGACACAGATATAACTCTAAATCATAATCTAAAAGAAAGGACTATTGTTTAATGTTGAAAATCACATCAACATTCTATCTCTATTCTCCAAGTAAATAGTGTTTTTTTGTTTGTTTGTTTGTTTGTTTTCATTGTGGTATCAGAATCAGTATTAAGTATTGAGTCTATTCCTTAGTATCAAAATCAAGTTTGAAAATGTTAGTATCATGACACTATTCAGATCTGCAACTTGACAACATCTGTTTTCCAGGTAAAGCAATAACATCTTCATGGAGACAAGCACTCTTCACTAGAAAAATGGCACAGTGCATCTTTAAATATAAACTCACCACTGTGACTCTGAGTGGGGCCGAATCCAGCGGTTCTTTCTTTTGTTTGACACTGAAAGACAAACAGCACAGCGATGTAAGAAACTTCTCCTGCCACAGCCGACCTGGGCCCGACCGACAGAAATGTGGCTGCCAGTCTGGCAAAACTAGGACAGTGGTGATGCTATAAAACTGCTCTCATTCTGTAACTCATTTTCAAACCTTAAAAGGAGGAAGTCAGTTTACAGATTAATATATTTTTCAAGTTTAGACTTGGTTTGGTGGGATAGTACCTGTGATAAATACACATTATAAATTTACATCAGTCAAGTGACAGTCTGTGAAGAAATAGAGCAAACAAAAAGTACTTTGCTGATGTCTGATTACTGTATTATTGTGTAATTTCAATAGGTTTGCTTGGTGACATACCGCTACGTATGTCATATGTGCTGAAATTAGTAGTTTAACCTGTCATATCCACTTTAAATTTGTCTTGTTCCTATCTTTGTTCTAAATTGTAAACTGATTTGAGAATGATCACTAACAATCATTATAGATTATTTATTATACATTATTTAATTCACTATTTGTGAAAACAAAGCAAAAAAAAAAAAAAACTCTGGATATCATTGACTTAAGTATACTCAAACTAATTCATAAAGCAAAATATTATTGGTAAATATTTAAAAAATAATGAAATAAGAACAAGCCACCAATCTAAAAGGAACAGGTCCAAAAAACCCAGATTCAGAATCAAGATAATGGGGTAAAGCATTGCTGTGAAAGAGTTAATTTGTCAAAAAATCATCACTAAGAAAAAGAAAAAGAAGAAGAGAACAATAATGGCATCTAAATTATACACCAGAACTACCACTTTGAGTTTGCATTATGTCAGTAATTTAAATGAATCCACAAGCCTACATCATCCAGGCCCTCACGCGACAATTCTCCATCAATGTACAAAAGCAACAACTTGAAACCTGATGCAATGTGCGGTAGTTTAATTAGCAAAACGCACTGCAATTATAATGTAATAGAGATCTGAAGGGGAGTGAGTTAGCATAGAGAGCAAATGGAGGGAGGACTCAGAGTGTCGGAAACGAAAGTGGAACTTATAAAACTTGTTAATACAATAAAAACAACATGACAACAATAAAAAGTAACGTGGTGATTTAAATATGTGTTAACAGTTAATAGGCTACCCCTAGAATTTAACACCATTGATGTCGTTCATAGCCTATACTATGAATGAAAAAATTATAAAATAATAAAATAAACAGCCTGCTAATAAATACAGCTGAAGATGGATAGAAGTGTTTTGCAGCTAAACACGATGTAATGTAAGTACTTTTTCTCATGAATATGTAATCTGATGTTTACATTTCATAATCTGTGACTTTAACCTCTAACGCCAGAGTTCAGGATTAAGATTTCTCATGATTAAAGATTATGCTTAAGACACAATGGCAGCTTAATCCAGAGAACGCTGAGAAAAACTCTATTTAAAACACAGTTTGAGATGAGTGACATGAGCAACCTATAAAATATTACATAAAAATATACTACCAGTCAAAAGTCTGGACGCATCTTCTCATTCAGTGTTTTTTTCTGTATGTTTACTACTTTTTACATTTTATATATTCATACAGAAGACATCAACTACCAGTACATGAAGTGAGATGGAATTATGCAAAGAAAAAAAAAGTTAAACAGCTTCACGAAATGTGTCACTTTTGCTTTGTCAAAAATATTGGTAGAGTAATGTAACTTTTTTAGTTTACTATATTCTTGCTTCATATATTTGATGTCTTGTATATGTATATGAGAAAGTAATAAAGAAAAAGAAAAAAAAAACATATGTGAGAGGCCAAACTTTTGACCTGTATATTTCTGTTAAGACAGTTTGAATCACTTTGGGTTGCCAGATCCTGTGACTAAAACCGCCAAAGCACTGTGATATGATGACTAGTTTTTAAAGCAATGATAGTTGCTGGTGCAGTACTCACATCTCTTCTGCAGGGCCCTGACCGTGGGTTTGCCGAAAAAGATGAGCAGCAGAAGCACCAGAGTCATACTGAGCAGAGCTGTGGCCACTCTGAAGCCCACAGGCTCCTGCACAGGCGGCAGGGGGCGCTCCACTGCACACACAGGACAAATCAGGTCAGACAATAAGGACAAGAAAGGACATATACACTATAGGAAAAGGGTTTTAAGAATTAATTTGATGAAGTCGGTCAAAAAAACAAAATTATTGTCTTCTTTTTATTATTCATTAAGATTGGTACGATAAAAACGCACTGTGCACATAAACCAAACGTGGGCTAAAAGGTTTAACTACACATCTTTATACTGTCTATGAGTTTAACAGCCCAATAGCGTAATAGTAAATGATTTGCTTGATTTAGGGCTGATTGAATTTGGAAACATAAAAAAAAAGTGATTTATTATTTAATTTTTTTGACATTTTGATTTGTGTTGCAGGCGTTGCGATTGATTCACCTGTGGAACAGCGATTTTGATTCATTTGCGTAGCTCTCGCAGCCCTAATCTGAATCTTGCTGAATTGGCTCAGATGGACTCAATATATGGCCTTACTGCCTCCAGCGTTGAAGTTCACAGTAGAGTGAGAGTGTTTTTAGAGCCAAAGTGGAACAGTGGAACAGTTTGTTTACAGCATGTGCAGTGTATCATGTATGTTTATTAGTCATTTACTGTTTTCAACTCTGAGCTTTTAACATGCCAGAATGGAAAATTGGCGTTTACACATAACACACACACAAAGAGACACAAGACAAACAAAAAACAAACTAAACAACAACAAAAAATGCACACACACTTATACATATACTACACATATTAGTCATATTATTCCTTTTACATTTTGTCTTGAGGTGGGATTGTATAAGGCAGTGTTCAAATGCCATTTAAATATAATTAATTGACCAACAGTAGTGATTATATAGTCTTCATGGTATAATATTGTTGCAGTAATGTATTGCAAGAAGTTATCATATGTATTATAATACCTATGACAGTAGATTGATAACAGTTTGGGGGCAGCGTTATTTATACAGTTATTTATATGTGAACTGGACGACTAATGTACCAAATAGTGTACAGCTTCATATCATGCCGACTACTACTTTGTGTTTCATGTAGAATGTTAATTAACATGCAGTGTCTCCACCAAATAAAACAAGTAATGATGTTAACTGTTTAAAATGTTAAAATCTATATATTTTTACCATCAAGTCTTTTTTTTTTCAGTTTTTGCTTGGCACTATAAGGCGTTTGTCATGCTAATTTTCTCAACATGCAAATTCCTCCCCTAAGTGAATTTGATCATTTATCTTGCTGTGTGATTTCCTCGTACGTCGCCGCTGTTACTGGAAACATCACTACAGTATTTAAATGCACTTTCACACGGCACAGGCTGACGGGGACAAATCACAATCAAAAAAGAGTTGGTAAATGTCAAACCACAAAAACAGACCGATTCTGAACATGTTTTATAATCGCATGACATAACCAACCTGAGATTCAGCTCTGTTGTAAAATATGATAATTTACTTTTGGTATTTTCAATAAAGCACGTGAACTTTCTTTGCATAACTGGAAGGTGTTAGGGAACCACAGAATAACCAATGAACCAAGAAAATAATCAGTAATATTCAGACAGAACACACGTCTGGATGTCTGTCATGTAGTCTTCTAATAATAGACCTGTCATAATAATATTTTTAAGTACGATATATCGATGGGAGCAATATAGACGATAAACGGTGATACTGAAACTTATTTGACAGAGTAACCCTAAAACAGGATTATCCCTTTAAAATATATATTTTAAATGCACAATAATATTAAAAAAACATGATGTGTAATAAATAAATAAATAGAAACTTTAGTAGTTAGTTTTCATCAGTACAGTGAGTAAAAGTTATTTATTCAGCTTACTATACCTCAGATCATATTGTAGTACCTAAACGCTCAAACGTTTAAACATTCTGACTGATTGTACTGTTTAGATGTACGGTGTTTGACTAGTGACTTTTGTCTTAATGCTAATGTTGTTGATGAATAGTATTTCAGAGGATAAGAATACTGATGAATTTGATAAATATACATTTTAGAGGATATTGACAATGACAATGATTTTGAGTATTTTTAGAAGATAATGATGAATTTGAAATTTTGTCCATTCATTCATTTTCTTCCACCAATCCAGGGCAATTTTGTATTTTGTAATGAATTTTGATCATTTTAAAACGTTTAATGATGAATTGGATTATGGTTATTTTAAGGAGTCACTATTATTGATGAAATGTTGTTGCTAGAGGTGGTTTAATTGGTGGTTTTATTAATTAATTATTAATTATTATTTAATATGTTTTGTACCTGCCCAAGGACTGCAGATGGAAAATAGCTTGTTGCTAAATCTGGAACAGAGCATCTTTTCTCTCTGAGATTAATGTTTTCTGTGCGCTGTCCTTGTTTCAAATAAATAAATTAAAAGTAACAAAAAGTTCCTGTCTAGTACATAGAGAAAGTACTCACGATAAATGTTGACCCCCATAAACTATTGTTCCATCTTCCATATATTGAACAATAAAATTAGAAATAAATGACCGTGATGGGCTTGTCTATACACGCAGAGCTTGGACACTGTGTACCATGTATGAAAATGGTATGTGTTGAATGATGAATTCCCCCTGGTCAATGTGACTTGTAATAAACTTCTGCATAAGACGTCCAGAATTTCTCCTGCCTTTTGGACTACTTGTAAAACTTCTATAACTCTAGAACAGGGTGTCGGTGAACAAAAAAAAAAACTAAACATTACTGCATTTTGTATGGTAAAGAAAATAACTTTGGCAGGTGCAAACATGAGATAAGGTAAATTTTAGTGAGATTTATATATTTAGATTAGAATTTTTGTTATGAGTTTGTGGCAATATTTGCTCACACACACGCAGACCAAGAATTTTATGTCCAGCTGTCTCAAAAAAAAAAGTGATATTTTTCAGAATTTTTACACATAAAATACCAAATGTTCATTTAAAAACATAAAATTCTATTAAAATGCAATCTGTTTGTTTTTGTTATATTCACATGCAGTGTCCCGCATCATTGGATTTGGAAGTCGTGTTTCTTTTTCCTCGTCTCAATATTATTGTTTATTTAAAATAACAGCTGCATTTCCATCACCTTGTTTTTAATGCGCATTTTGAAGATTCACAGGGAGGTGTCACATTTAGTTTATTCGCTCGATTCAGGTGGATTCTGATTTAAGCTCATAACAGTTAAAATACATTTTGGAAAGATACCTGAGTGATTCTTGTTATAACGTTTATTTTTGTTTAACTGTTTTTTGTTTGTTTGTTTGTTAGTTTTTTGCACGCCTTTACATATTACTATTATTCATTGTTTTATAATGCAAATGTGAATTCCAAGTTTGTGATTTTTTTAGGTTCTGAAATTTTTGAAAACATGTTTATTCTTTACCTTCACATGTGATGTTCAGAATGTCACAGTTTGTTTCATTCACTTCGTTTCCTGAAATCTCGACTCCGTTTGCTTTTTTTCCAATTGTCTCTTTCTCCTTTCCTTTGCATCCCTTCGTTCTGCTCACACACTCCACTGAGCAGATGAAAGACTCTACTTTTACTTTTGAAACAAACTGCTTTATTTGCGCGTGTGCCCACTTTTAAAACCACTGATCCTGTGCAGTTAGGGCCCCACTCCATGACAAAGAAGCCCAGTTCGCTCATGGGCTTGAGGGTGGGACAAGGCTGTGTCGTTGGAACAGTTGTGGTGATGGTTGAATTTGACGTTGTGCTATTGTTATTTTCAGATTTTACTGAATCTGGAAGAGAGAAAAATGTAATTGGTTACACAGGCTGAATGAATAATAATAAAGCAGTTCAAATAGAATGTACACTGCAATACTGAACATTTGGCATGGGTTAAAATTTGTTGAATTTAGAATATAAATTATAATTTGGTTTGTTTTGTCAAGGTTCTATAAAGTTTTTGTATTGTTTTTGTGGTTTCAAGACATTTGTAACTGTTAAAACAGAATTGATTTTAACTAGCAAAATACATTGGCCACTGGGATGAATGAAGTTTTCTTACTCCATTTTAATTTGGCTAAAAGTAAAAAAAATAAAAATAAAAATCTTGAACAAAAAAGAAAAAAGCATGTAATTTTACAGATCTATATATTTATATCTACATTTCTGAATAGCAGTTTTAAGTTTTAGTTTTTGCAGTGTTTGATCATTTAGATTTTAAAACTATCGCTGACATCATCACCCAGCGACAAAAGCAACAGAAAAGCTTGGGTATCTACAAAATGTATTCCTCCCCAAGTCAAAGTGCATGGAATTATACTGAAAAAATAGCTCTAAAGCCCAAAAAGACATGTGGATATTAACAATGTACCAACAGGTTTTTGAGAGCTACGAACAAGATTTACGTAAATACCTACTTCCTCCTTACAAAATTCAAAATCAGGTACTCCTATTTCTGATACAATATAAAAATACAATATTTTCAGTACATTTTATTGAGTCTCTCCTGCCGATGACAATCTGAGTAAAAATCTAAAGTAAAAAGTATAGGTTTGGATCATTTTTAAACCACATTTTATTGCAATTTTGATGGCTGACATTTCAATTGTAAGTTGCGTTTTAAAATTTGAGAGAAGACTGAAATATAAACTGCTAAATTAATACAAAAATCCCATGCCTTTCAGAACGTGTTTGTAAAGTACAGGATTAGCAGCTTTTACACAGAATAAGACCCGGAGGAGAGGCAGGGAGGGCATCTGACACACAGGGACTCTTCAGATCATGTTTGTAGAGGCCTAAACTACAGAATCAGCAGATTTTACACACAAGAAGACACAGGGACACGGTGGGGGGTAAGTCAACTGATTGTCTCCATGGAGATGTTAGTTATGTCTGGAATGTTTGGCATATGTTTCAATTACAGGTCTTGTATTACTCAAAAAGACAATGAAAAGCAAGATCCCACCTCCAGAGATCTGGCCTGTAAATTGGTTTGACTGTGCAACCCGTGTGTCTTTAAGGATACATGTAAGTTTAATGCCATACTGTGGAGTATTCCAGGCAAAAACAAAACAATATAAATATACATGAAGACAATCAGATGGCAGACCCTCCACCAGAAAAGCTAGTGTACTTTTAATCATATTGGATTCACTAGTTCAATTCTTCATATATATTTAAATACCATATTACCTATCATTCAACACTTAATTCACATTTCAGTTACAAAGGCATGATATCAATTATTGCATGTTGTACAGTAAAAAAAAAAAAAAAAACTTTTTCAGGTGCAAATAATTGAATACAGTGTATAACATGTAGCAGAAAACCCGTAACTGCGTGTAGTATGTTAGTCAATGTTTATGTCAAATATCATTATTATGATACTAAATCATATTATGAAATAAAGTATCTATATTCTAAAAGATACAAATGGCCATTCACGAAATGTATGACTCTGATCAATTGAAGCTAAATGCTGTAACTTCAAAACATGTATTGCAAACTCACCCACAGTGAAGATCAGAAGTGCGGAAACTGCTACAAACCAGAAATCCATTGGCGAAACTTCACAAATGCAAACAAAATAAATTTCATCAACAAACTGTGAGAATGAAAAGTTGAAAAGTCCGTCCAAAGTGGGTCAGGGTGCAGATGGTGTAAAGGTGTTGTATTTTCAGACACAGGTGCAGTGTAGTTGAGTTCTGGTGCAGATTTGAACTATGGGGCAGAAGTTTTGCAGATTTCCTCAGTTCAAAGAGACGGAGGAGAGAGAGGAGCAGGAAGAGGTGGGAGGAGGAACTCTTAGAAAACACCACTTTATACTCTTTTTGAAACTGTGAGAGATCTGAGTTAAATAAAGCTCATTCTGGAACATTAGAAACAGGCACATTGCAATGGTCAAATATAATGATGCACAAAACAGGTGCTTGTCTTAAAAACAGGAGGTTGATGTTCACTCCTCAAACTGCACTGACTCAGGATGTGATGACCTTCACTGTTGACCTGCACTGAGGGGATTTCTATTACTGTTGTGTTTGCTTAATTTGCCCCTCGGGTTTACATAAAGTGATACTGATTGATAAAGTTGCATAGTGCACCTTTAAATTTGAACTGCACCACGTCTGACTCCTGTTCACACACTTAAAGGTGCTTTGTGCAGTTTTTCTGGTGGAGGGTTCGTCACCTGCTTGTCTCCATGGAGACATTATTGTTTTGCCTGGAATGTTTTATGGTATGACATTTTAAACACATCTCTTTAGCATTTCTTCATTACAAGTGTTTTTATTGCTCAAAAATACAATCATTCTCTCTGTGAGGAGGGTTGCCACTCCACAGATCTGACCTGTACTGTAGTTTACAGTTGTCCCGTGGAACATTGTAGACAGAGCAATAACTATCTACATGGAGACAAGCGGGCGATGGACCCTCCATCAGAAAAGTTTCGCAATGCACATTTAACATTTGCATAATGAAGTGAGTAATTGACAGATATGATTCTCTTGAAGTCAAATAAACAAAGAACTACACTATACCTTTTACTCAATATTTTCATTTTAAACAGAATAAAGATTCTATAATATTATCATTTTTATCTTTGTGTTTAGGTTTTACTGACAACTCTATGACGATGCCTTTCCGCTCCTCTCTTCAGACCCACGGCCTGTAGGAGCACATGTGCCTGTAGGAGCACACTGTCACACTTTTAAGTAGGCCTACATCTAAATACATATATATCTATATATGTGTTTGCCGTTTTTCCCTCTCTTTTGAGCCCTGACTCACAACAACGGGGTTGAGGGTTCGATTTTCACTTTGTCTCATTCGTGTGGTGGGTTTTACGGAGTCATGAAAAACAAAAACCCCAAAAGACTTTCGCCTCCTACTGCTCAGAGCGGGGCCACATTAACCCATGAGGGAGAGGAACGAAATACGGGGTCAGACATAGCTCTAGAAGTTTGAAAAAGAAGTGATATCACTTGAGTATAAGTACATTTAAAATCAAATAGAATTACAATAAGGTATTATTATAAATACACCTTAAATAGCCTTAACAGAGACTAGACCTGTAATGCAAAATGTAACTTTTTTAGAGCTTTTACCTTTTCGCTTGCCCCATCAAAGTTGTTTTTAGTGTGATTCATTCATGTTTGAGTGATCTTTATTTTCCTGCATTCAAAACGTCATTGCTCCAATCTGCCCACTACTGTGTACTTACTTTGCCATGTACAGCTGTGTACTTACTTTGTTCTCCAGTTTTATTTTCTTATTCTGTGATACACAAAGATTTCAGTCGCATAGTCAGTTTGGCCCCCAAAAAAAATTTTAAATCTGCTGCTCATTAGTGTGCTTTGCAAATCCTGATCCAGCAGAGCAGAGGGGCACTTTGTTAAGATGAAGTTTACGGCGATGTACTCCAAAAAGTTATGTGGGAATTTTTCAAGTCAGCGGACTTGTTTCTTTAACAAAATTTCATCAGCAAAATCAGTATTGCAATTTAAAATGCCCAAATGATAACATAATGATATATAGAGGAAGAATCTTCTTAAATAAAGCATGAATAAAGAAGAACAGTTAATTAGTATTAGTAAATTAGTAACTCTTAACCCTATATTACCCATGAATGAAGAACTTAGTAAACCTGAACAATTTCTAAGAAACTCTTTAAGTGCCATACATTTCTAGGCAAAGCAATAGAAATGTCGAGACATGGAGAAAAGCAAATGGAATTAAGAGTGAAACTTTAACATAAATTACTTAAATAGAACAAGGTATGTAGCAAATATGATCATTTTATTTAATGTAATCTGCCAATAAAAATGGAACAAACTAGACAATACTATACTGTATTTTGGATAAATACATTGTGAATGATATAGACATAATTTGAATTAATATATAAATTACAATTTAATTTTACAAAGGCAGCCCAGAACACCAGTCTCTTTGAACAAGATAGACCCAAGCAAACCACCTTTGTATCTTAAATGTAGAGCAACAGATGAGACTTGTGTCCAAATTCTGGTTATATATGACTAAAGTAATAAGCAGGATATTGTAATGTAAATTTTGTAAGGCTCAGGGTCAGTTTCTGTTGGGGCTGCACTCTTTAAACAACATGTCACACCAAAGTCAGTTAACGTTGTTGGGTAGATGATTATTTCTGGCCCAAAAATGTGTACTATTTAACAGGATAAATAAGAAGCTACTGAGTGTCACCCTGTGGTATAAAAACATTTTTAGAGTTTTACCAAGGAAAGACTGTAAAATTGGTAATGATGATGTCTTTATGGATCTCTTGCTGCCTCTGCCTGAGCACTTGCTCGATGATGTCAGTGACATTATAAAGAGTTTCTTGTTTGACCAATTCAAATATGAATTAAATTCGGCAAACATCTTTGTCAGAATCACTATATTTGAAGTTTTATTCTCTGAGCTGAAAGTCTGTGTACCTTTTACTACTACTTCTTACTCTTTAAGCACATTTTTGAATAAGTTGACTTTTTCATGTGATTTTAATTTTTTACTTTTACTTGAGTGTTTTTTGCTCTTTGCTTTACTTTTACTTAAGTAACAAAATTGAGTATTTCTTCGACCACTGCTGCAGCTCATGCAGGTGATGGTATTGGTATAATGAGGAGAACTGGTTTGTGCTCAAACTGCTCTGTGTTTTGTTTTGTGTGTTGTATTAAAGTATTAAAACACGTAATCAAATTTGTTCAAAGATAATAATATATTAAAAATAAATAAATTATGATGGAGTTGTAAGACATTTTCAAGAAGTTGTTTTCATAGAATATTTCTGATAAAGGTTTAAAATATTACAGTCTGGCTGGCAGTTTATTCATATCTTTAAAATCTCTGTCATCATGCATATGTAAAAAAAAAACATTCAAAATAAAATATCATTATGTGTCCCATTTCTTTACTTTAAATATTTGCTTTACAGCCCTAAACTGAAACAAACTCAAAGCCTTTCACCTCCTACAGCTCTGCGGCGCGACAAGAAATTTTTCAAGAAAATGTCACGAAATGTCGGCAGGAAGCAAGAATACAAAGTACAGGTGAGGAATTCATTTGAATGTGAAGATAATACTGATTGCATTTTTGTGTAATGTGGAAATATGAACGCAATTAATAGCCAGAAAATCCTTCACTCAAATAAAGTTAAAACCATAACTGTTGACTTTTTCAATAGAAGAGAAGCACCCAAGAACTGTTTAAAAAGCTCATATTACACTATTTTCTGATTTATGTTATCATGTTGTTCATCACAAACAGACCTGGAGTTGTGTTTTGTTTCGTTTACACATGTTTAACACACAAACCCTGCAGATTTAGGCTGAGTTCTTCTCTAAAACAGAAAACACACTGTTTCACCTTGTGATGTCATGTGGTGATACATGAAGTCTCATCAGAATCAGTTTCATCAGAATCATTTGGATGATTTCAGCCAAGGAATCAACCCTAACCCCAATCTTTACTGAACTAAAGGTAAAAGGTAGCTGAAAACTTGAAAACTACTGCTTCATGACATCACAAGGTGGAACAGAGCATTTTGAGCTTGGGAGATGTAGACAGACTAATAATAAAGAATTACTCAGACATGTGTGAATGAAACACAACTCCAGGTATGTTTTTGATGACGTAATATCAAACATTCTAACATAGTTAAAAGCTCACAAAATAAATAGTACATTTTGCAGAATGTAGGACTTTTTTTTTTTTTTTTTTGGCAGATACTTGTGTGTTTTACAAGTTTACAAACCCAATATTAAACATTTTAGGTGTCTCATTAAGGATCAATAATTTAAAGATGCACAACATAACTTTTCATAAATTGATATAAATTTTGCTGTGTGTTCCATAGTATGGCATTAAACTTATCTATCTCCTGGATACGAGCAAGTGATAATTGGAAGCTGCAAATCTGAGTGTGGAGTGACTGAATTATGAACTGTAAGCGCTTTGGGTATCTTGAAAGGCGCTATATGCAATCAATCAGTCAAATCAGATCTATGGAGAGGCACTATCTGTATTTAAATAAATGCAAGATAGATAAGTATAATGCCATACTGTGGAACATTCCAAGCAAAGCAATAGCATCTTCATGTACAAGCAGCACACCTCACTTGTTCCTCTGCTTAGTCCATGTTTCACTTTATGACCTTTAGTGAAAAAAACCTTTGAACATCATAAACATCTAACTTTCATTTCTTCAATTACAAATCTTTTAATCGTCAAAATACTACTGCTTGTCCTCAAAGTTTTATGCCATTTTGTGAAACATATGAAGCAAAATAACATGAGAAAAGTAAAGGTTTCAGAGCCTCTACTCAAAAATACCCGTTTAATTATGACAAGTTTGAATGTGCTACTCCCAGGTGAACACAGATACATAAGAAATGACACTTTGAAATCCATGTGGGTGTTTTACTTCATATGTGCAAAATCTTTCTGTTGAGGGGCCTGCCGACTGCTTGTTTCCGTGGGGATGTTATCGTGTTGTCTGTAGTGTTCCACAGTATGGCATTAAACTTCAGGTGATTAAATATACTTACTGTGAACAGAATCACTTCTTAACAGAGCTAACAGGCATCATCGTCTCATCTCCATGAAGACAGATAAGATTAATGCATTAGTATTAACAAAGAAATAACATCGCCATGGAGACAAGCAGGTGGCGGACCCTATATGAAAAAGTTACACAGTGCACCTTTTAAGAGCCGATATTCTGATCATTGTTATAGTGTCATTTCCTCATCAAAAACGTATCTGGATATCTGCATATTTAGGAGTTTTTCTCACAAACTAAAAACACTCTGTTCCACCTTGTGATGTCATGTCAGAGGTGCTCCACTGTGTTTTGAAACTCCACACCCCTTTACTAGAGTTATTTGGATAATTTTAGCCATGGAATTTTCAATCTCTACTAAGAACAAAAGGTAAAAGGTAATAACTTGAAAACTACCACTTCATGACATCACAAGGTGGAATCAAGTATTTTGAGATTTGGAAATGTAGACAAACTGGATGCTGGATTACTCAAACGTGTGAATGAAACAAAACACAGCTCCAGGTATGTTTTTGAAGAGGTTACAGCATTATAACATGGCTTAAAGGTCACAAGAGTCAGTTTTGGTTATTATAGGACATTTAATTATAAGGCTTTAAATGACGACACCCACAAATTTACTTTAAAATCAACTGCTTTTTATTTTTTTCTCAACCCCAAAAAGCAAAAACAAGAAAAAAGAGAATTCATTTAACAATCTACAGTCATCACACCTTTAAATTTCCTCCATTCTCGAGGATTCACTGTCCACTTGAAAACGTTTTCATTTCATTATTATAAATTCTTAATCCTAAGTCACACTTATGTATGTCCCTTGTGCTTGGTTATAAACGCCTGGATTTCAGAGGCTGGGCAGTTTTAAGTGAAGAAATACTCAAACCAGTCTATTGTCTACACCTGCTCTAATGATTTTCAGTATGGATAGGCAAATTATATTGACGTCAATTTAAGTGTTTAGTAACAAACTGGCAGCTGTGCACAACTTTAAAATTGACAAAAACAATATATATAGTGTCAGTTTTTTGGACCCATGTTCTGTCCACTATTTTACAGTTTAAATAGCATCATAAGGAGACTGTATTGTTCTAAGAAAAAAATATTCATACATAGGTAATTAAGTTTCCAAATATTACCTTTAGATATGTATAAATCCCTTTTTTTTTTTCAAGGATAGATCTAACAGCCAATCTTGTTAAAATATTAGACAAAATATGGAACATTCTTTCATTTGTCATTAATTTTGTGATTCTCAACAGGTCAAAAGACGTAAAAGTGTTCGCGCATGTTATTTACATTAGAAACAATGTGTGTGTGAAATACCATTAGAATAGGTGTAGCTAAATAGTCAGTTGATTTCTTCCTGTTATTTTGTATACTTTAGATAAAAGACTTAAAAATACTTTAAGAACTGAGAGTAAATTTTTCAATGACATATTGAAATATAGGCAACTTTGATGGTAAAATTCCTTGGCTTGACAATTTTAATGCACAGAAAATCTGATTTAAAAAGTAATAATAATAAAGCAACACTCCAAAAAATGAAATGTCAACTTTATTTTCCAACTAAACATTTTATGTTAATTGAAAGAATAAAATTTAATCTAATTCACTTAAAAATCCTCAATTTTGTCTCAACTTCAGAAAATGGATAAAGGAGACTAAATACATTTATATAAAGTAAACGCTTTGTTTTAAGCTGTGAAAACATGATACGTTTTGATTGACAGTAGTAAGCAGCGCTCTGCTAGCTTGCACAACAATCCCTTAAATTTCCTATGCACTAGTTCTGTATCTTGGTTAGCAACAGCAAATGCTTTGCTAACTTGTAGCTTTAGCTTTTGCACACCATTGCAGTGAAGTTTCCATTCGTGTTACAGGGTTGGGTCAGTACGATGTGTTTAGATTTGGGTAACCACCAGATTTGCAGAAGAGGCTGCAAACTTCACTATCAAAGTCTTAACTGCACTGCACAAGTTTCCTACCTGTTGTTTTTTTGGACTCTTGTGTGAACTTTAAGGGCAAAAACTGATCAAAAACAGTCAACGGTATGTCAAATACAGCTTCAATCAAATTGCTGTTACTTTAAACTGTAAACATTTAAAGGTCCTACATTATGCTAAATCAGTCTCATGTGCTTTTATACCTGTGATCATTTCCTTATCAAAAACATATGTGAAGTTTTGTAATGGCAGGACGATGTGACACGTATTACTGATCACTCCTGATTTTGTTTTGATTTATAATCTTATTTCGTCTCATTAAAAACGCAATTTCCTGAACATAAACAATAATACAAACACAAAATATAAAAAAATCCACCTCCAAGTTTAGAACTTCAAACTACTCACTTTTACTGACAGAGACCATTAAAAACACCCCAGATTATCATTGACAGGCTCATACATTATCAAACATCTGTCTCAAAGGCAAAAGAAATCCCGAAAATCCTTCTATCATTTAGATTCAATGCACCTTCTTTCACCTGAGTGAGAAAAAGTCAAGAGTTTGCAACACTGAATTATTTTACAATTTGTTGCTACACAATTCCATACATCTTGCATCATATATTTGATGTCTTCTGTCGAATGTTTGACTGGTAATGTATAGAGATGACTTGTTGTTTCTGCTTTATCACTTGTTGTTTCTGCTTTATCACTGGTGTTTTGTATGCTAGGACTGCAAGATTAATAGCAATCAAACGAAAATCACAATTTGAATGTACACAACTAGAAAATCGCAAAAGCTACAGCTTTTCAAGTAAAAGAATTTCCTCCACAAAAAAACTAAATGTCTGTCTTATTCTGCCTAAACCTGCTAACTCTGTATTTTAGATGTATACAAACTGAAATATGAAATGTGACTCTTGTATTAGTTTGTCTGTCCATATTTCAGCGGTGAATTTTTTTGTGAACTTTGAACAGAATCCTACTATTAAATAAGAAAAATCACATTTGGATGTTTTTCGCAAATTGTTCAGCTCCTATTCATACTTTTAAAAATGTAAAATATGAACGTCCAGATGCCCCAAAGTTCTTCTGAGCAGATGAGAGCATAATATAGGACCTTTAAATGACTGTAACCTGCCCACGCAGCCTCCTGTTTCAGTGAACTTTAATAAACAAATTGATTCAGACTTTTCCAAACACTTAAGGACAGTTCTGTTCAGCTTGCGAAACAGTGTTGGCACTTAGATATGATTTGAATCAGTTGAATTTCAAAGATGCTCTATATAACTGGAGATTGCTTTGCCTAAAATGTTCCACAGTATGATATTAAACTTAGCTCCACACAGAAACAAGCAGGTGACACCACCAAGGCAAGATACAGGTCAGATCTGTGGAGAGGCGAAAGCACTCACATAAATAAAAATGCATTTTCAATTTTTTTCATCACTAAATTCTTCAAATTAATTAGTGTAATTATAGTTTATTTACATATTGAATGTCATGCTGTGAAATATTCTAGGCAAAGCAATATCATCTCCATGGATACAAGCAGGAAAGTTACATAGTGCAGCATTTAATTTAAGTCACCTATTTTGCTCCTTTACAAAAAAGACTGGGGGAATCAGATTTTATTTTGCAAACTGGTCTGTAAAGGTCTTGATGAAGGTTAAATTATGATGTGTGCTGCCAAAAAGCACAGACACATTTTACAATTTGTTCAATCCTAGAGCAAAGGAGTAAAATAGACAACTTTACATTGATAATACCCAAATATTCCAACCGTATTAAGTAATCCTATAGTTCAACAAATTAAGAAAATGTCCTAAATTCAATTGCACACACTTCCTTTGTTTACAATACAATATCCCATTTTTCACACTTACAAGAATTATCCAAAAGAGAGACTACCTTATATGCACCATAGTCTGTCCATGACCCCTGTATTATTTAACTATACAAAGCACATATATTTTCAATGATAGTGACAACTTATAGAAATAAAAACTATTTTCATCTGTGATCATTGTCAAGCATTTGAGTCCATGTTTTAACAAGCAAAAAGTCAAAGAAGAGGAAGGGAAAAAGGAGATAGGAGAAAAGACAGACAAAATGGAGGACAAATAGTGAAAAATGTGCATGGATTTAATTAGAGACTCAAGTATAATATCATTGTCTCATTTGAAAACATGGGAGCCTAAACTGCATGGAGTTGATACCACACAGACCCGGTTTAACCCTTTTAAAGAAACATGGTTTATTTTGATTAATTGTTTCTTAATTATGAAAGCTAAATTTGCACATTTATGTAAATATGCTACAAAAATATTGGTATGTTGGTGTATATGACTGAAAGGATTTTATTCCGCTCTTCTATTTTAAAACTACAGTGTGTAACTCACTGGAGATATTACGTCACCTGCAAGATTCCATGAAAATAAAAAAAAATTAAACCATATTTCGGAACATTCTCTGTGCCACTGTGGAATATTACAGCCAAAAGCGAAACATTTCCATGGAAACAGGTAATAAGAGTGAGGTTCGTAAAGATGCAAGCCCACTCGCAAGTTTTTTAGAGCAATAAACACAACTTAAAATATTGTTTTATTTTATGATATTTTTTCCCTAAAGAGTTACACACTGTGGCTTTAAAGTTCATTTTATAATAGAATTTGGTTTTAATTTGGTTGTATTTTCAATTACTTTATTCTGTAAAGCCCTTTAAAATTATGTTGTGTACGAATTGTTGCCTTAAAAGATTGTAAATAAGATTGGAAATTACCTTGATACAATATTCAATAGGGCATTATTGTCAAAATGGACATTCAGCCATATTATCTCTTGTAAATACATGTACCAACTCTGACGTAACTATTTTGATATGGGATTATGGACAATGAATTTTGAATATCTATGATTCACTTTGAAGTCTAGCTTTTTATTGACTTAACTGACAGCACCATCATCAGAATAAGCTTATATTGTTAGGTGACTATTTTAATCTGACCTCAACTAAAATGAAAACTCTGATGCTTCCTCGTGGAACAGAAAGGGTACTTTTAATGAATCTTTGCTTCCCCCAAGTGACCAAAAATACAACTACAACTGTCAGCCTCTTAACAATTAAAGTGCGTAAGACAGGTTACACTATATAATTTATTAATCAAAATTTTGCTAAAAATCATGTCCAGTTTTCCCTAGCTTGTTGGGTAATTATTTTTTGACTTCTTGGTTGAACACAGGCAGCAGAAACGACATAAGAAGAGGTAATCCCATGACTTAAAAATGTGTTCTTTGTGTGTGAATTGTCCCTGCTATTTGGATGAAATTTTGTGTATTGATGAGACAGATATGGAAGTTCATTTATACAACTCCACTTCCAGAAATGTTCTATTTTTTCAAACTTTTTTTACCACTTGACAAAATATGCTTAACATTTAACAAAGGTATCCCAGCTATAAAGCAATAACTAGAGAAACTAGAAAACCTGTCATATGCACTTTAAATTTGTACTCACAGCAGTGCTTCCCTTTGTAACACCCCAATCATTAGCACCAGTGTATTTAGATATAGGTATGCACTTCGCATTGACTTTTTTTCCAAGCAATTACAACTTTCTTTGGTTTAAAACTAAAATCAAAAGAAAATAAAAATGTTTTGGATGCTATCTTGGGTTCTTGGCAGTATTTTTCAACAATAGTAAAGTAAAGTCATGCAAAATGAGTAGATTAGATACTGATATGGCCAAGACAATGATATGGGTTCATACAATATTTGTGTTTTTTGGATATGATGGGCATTCCAGTCAGTGCATATGTTTAGAACAGATTTGCCAGATAACTAGTCTTTTTTATTGAAATGATGACAGAGGTACGAGAAGTACAGCATGGTCTCAAGTATAAAATGTTAGATTCAACAAAAAATTATGAATTAAAAGCTTATACGTCTATTTGTAGAAGATATTTAAGTTTTAGGAAAAAAAAGATTGTTTAAGTTTTGGAGAAAAGTTAATTCAGAATGGTCTGGCAGCTGTCTTTTTGATATATTAATCTGATTCTTAATCTATTAAGAATTAGTTCAGAAACAGTTCTTACACATTGGGTCAAACTTTTATTTATTCCACCAGAGGACCCACATAAAAACTATTTTTACATGTATATGAGCAACATTTGTCTTGGCCCAGTACAGATATTTTGACATCATGAGTCGCTACAAGATAAGTCAGCTGCATACTGTCTGCAATCAAATTGTTTTACTGTCCAATAATCAGTAAGTGCACAGTTAGCATGCCAATTGTTGTTAGCATGTTAGCTGTGATGGGAAAAAATGTGCTCTGAGAGTTGTAAAAAAGTGACTGTAAACTTATCACACCAAATAATTAGGATGCTTTGAATGCAGGTAACTGAGGAATATCTTTGGACCACTACAAACGATTTAAAATGAACCTGATGTGTTTTTCACTTTATATTGAGTTAAGACCATGCCGTACTTCCCGAGCCTGCACCATAGCACTCAAATAGAAAGATTAGACATAAGATGCGGTGGATATTGTGATATACAGAGAAAGGGTTCAGATACCATATGTTTTTTCATACTTTTACACAACGCGACGACCTGAGACTAGTGAGGGATTGGGGCGAACATTTTGAACTGACAGACGTTACGAATCAGGGGATAGTGCAACATAGAGAGAAGTAAAGCGAAAGACCTCTTCAATCAAAGAAGTGGGGAATTATACACTGCAAAAAATAATATCAAATGACTTAAGATAAATTGAGTAGCAGTTTTTAAATATAGTTTTCCTATTTCAAGCAAAATTTTAGGCACTGGAGCATTATTTCCTAATTAACTTGGGTCTAACTTAGTTAATACATCATAAAGAATGCACACTTTATGTTATTAAAAATCTTGATCATTATTTAATATCCTTATTTAGTATTTTTCTACCATTTTCTTTGAAGAAAATTTAGCTTGAAATTTGGGGTTTAAGATTCCCACCCATCCTCCTGTATCCCTGTAGTGCAATCTTCTCATGAAAAAAACATGTACATAAAAACATAACACCGGCAATATCAGAAAGGGACATCAACAATTCAGAACTGAAATTCAGAACTAAAAACTGAAACTACTACAAACATCTGGTCAAACAAGTAAATGTATTTAAATTAGTCAAAGTGATCAAATCAAGATTGTGAATTGAAATAATTTAATTGTTTAGATATTTATTTTTTGCAGTGCAGGGGTAACATATTTAAGATTCTGAGAGAGAGAAAAGAGTAGTGCTTTTTAATTTTCAGGAGTAGGGCTGTGGTACTCCATATCCGGGTCTGTACATGGGTCTTCCTGTGGGGGACTGGGTGTTGTTGTAGGCCGGCCCGGCTGGATAACTGTACCCACCGTAGGAGTAGGACGCTGGGTAGGGTGCTGGGGCGTTACTGGGAGTATACTGCCCGAACGCAGAGCCAGGATGCGGGCCGGTGAACGCAGATGGCTGGGTGGGATATGGACAAGCACCCCCGGAATGCGAAGGCTGAGAAGGAGGAGGGATGGGCCCAAACGCCGGTCGGGGTGGCCCACCGGAGTAGCCTGCCGCTGGGGTGAATGACGAGCCGGCGCTGGGGTACGGTGGAAACTGCGCTGGAGGGTTGGATGGGCCAGATGCTGCAGCCACGGCAACAGGTACGGGGGCGGGGTTGGGAGGGGACACGGGATAAGGGGAGTAGGGGAGGCCGCTCGGGGGTCCTGGAGGAGGAGCTGGTTGTTTGGGGAGGGGCAGGTTGTTGGAGGTGGTGGGGTGGGCCGTGGAGGAGGGGGCGGGGTCAGGTTTGTCGGTTGCCGTGGAGGAGGCGGAGGTTCTCTGGCGGAGTACTTCCTGGAGTTTTTCTATCCGCACACGGCGTTTGTGGGCGAGGGAACGTAAAGACAGAAAGCCGTCCAAGAAGGAGTCCAGTGCCAACGAGCCCTCCAGGAACTCATCTGCCAAAGACTAGAACAACAAGAGGACCAGAAAAACAAGAGTTATTAATGAAGATAAAATAAGGTATCACGTTTAGTCTTTGTGAAGAAATATGTTCACTGCTTTTGACCCATCCTTCAAAGCAGCTGGGGATAAACCTATCGGGACTCATCTCTAGATGTTCTAGGTCAGGAATAACTATGGCAGGGTACTTTTCAGTTTTTCTTAGGAAACAAAACTTAAACATTACCTTAATTGGCCTCCTTCTGCTCATTTCCATGGAAATGTTATTGCTTTGGATATAATATTCCACAGTATGGCATAAAACCTATCCATCTCCACGGAGAATGTTCTAAACTATGGTTTTAAGTTAACTTTCTATTTCTGGAATCGTGCAAGTGATGTGCCAGCTCGAGAAAGTTACATACTGTACATACTTTTACATACTTTTTCTGCACTGTACTGGTACAGTGCTCAGTCCTATTAATATCCACTAAACTGGAGAATTAACCTATCAGGCATGTTTTAGGTCATTTGGGGTAAATGTAATAGCCAAAGAAAACCCACTTGAAACATTGCACAGAAATGTAGGATGTCCCATCTTAACATGACACCTTTTCTAATAGGCAAATTTCTGCTCATTCATCCCAAGAACATAAATATACCCCATACTACAGCACAGCTCCACTGATATATTCTACCAGTAAATGTTGTTTTCAAAGGGAGTGGCACTCTAAAGCCTGGTTTCAGTGTAATTTGTTTATACTTGCTCTGGAGATCTTAATCTTATTTTTGCTTTGAGTTTAACCATCCATTAAAAGTTGGGTTCAGAGAAGATCTTGATTTCTGCTATACACATATAACACGCTTAGATACTTTTTGTTTACAATTTGTTCATTTTAAAACTTGATTTTCTACCTATGTTAGCAGAAGCTCAAAGTAGCGACCACTGCCAATATGGCTATGTAACCCTACTAAAAAATCTGGTTTCCTACCCCACCAACCCAAAGCATGTGCCATAGGTCAAATCCTCCAGCTAAGGCTTAGTCCTGACCAAGACTAACTCAACATCTGAAGATGGGTCCCCACTAATCCGTGTATCATTCGTTTCGTTTTTCAATATAAAACCAAAAATAAGAAAACGAAAAAACAACAGTTTTCTTCGTTATTTGTCTCCAAAACCAAAATGAAAAAACGGATAACGATTCGTTTTTTCAGTTTTCGATTTTGTGTTTAAATGAAGAATGGAAAAAACGGATAACGGCCGTTTCCCGTTTACGTGACTTCCGTGTCTGCGATGCCGAACTTTTGCACCGCATACGGACTGAACCGGGACTGATCCAGGTCCGAGACCAGAGCGAGACCAGAGCGGGACTGAGACCGGGACCAGACCGGGACCAGAGCGGGACTGAGACCGGGACCAGGGCGGACTCTGAGCTTTGACTCCGAGCCTCTGCGAGGTCCGAGCCTCAGCTTCGAGCTCCGGCTCTGCCGTGGGCTCTGAGCCTCCGCTCTGGTCCCGGTCTGGTCCCAGTCTCAGTAGCGCTCTGGTCCCGGTCTGGTCCCGGACCTGGTCCATTTGAACCAAAAGCTCTTAGTTCGATTCATTTTCATTGGTGTGTATGCGTCAGTCGGAGGCTTTGCTCCACCTCGGAACCAGCCGCGGTTCTTGAGCGCGGAGAACTGGAGCAGCTCTGTCTGGTCTCAGTCCCGCTCTGGTCTCGGTCTGGTCTCGGACCTGGATCCGTCCTGATTCAGTCCGTATGCGGTGAGACTGGGACCAGACCGGGACCGGGACCAGACCGGGACCAGACCGGAGGCTCAGAGCCCACGGCAGGGCCGGAGCTCGAAGCTGAGGCTCGGACCCCGTGGAGGCTTGGAGTCAAAGCTCGGAGTCCGCCCTGGTCCCGGTCTGGTCCCGGTCTCAGTCCCGCTCTGGTCCCGGTCTGGTCCTGGTCTCAGTCCCGCTCTGCTCTCGGACCTGGATCCGTCCTGGTTCAGTCCGTATGCGGTGCAAAAGTTTGGCATCGCAGACACGGAAGTCACGTAAACGGGAAACGGCCGTTATCCGTTTTTTCCATTCTTCATTTAAACACAAAATCGAAAACTGAAAAAACGAATCGTTATCCGTTTTTTCATTTTGGTTTTGGAGACAAATAACGAAGAAAACTGTTGTTTTTTCGTTTTCTTATTTTTGGTTTTATATTGAAAAACGAATGAACGAATGATACACGGATTCCCACTGCTCCCGACAGGGTGCCTCAGCTGCACAGAAGGGTGGGTTAAAAGTTGAGAATTAATTTCCTTCATAAGGGATTAATAAAATGAATCTCTTGATATTGTGTACCATCATATTATCAGTTTTCCGTGACCTACCTCAGACTCCTCCTCTGTTTTGGAGCTCTCCACCTGAAGTCTGTTAAACAAGGCCTCTGGAGACACCTGACCCGCCATTCCATCTGAGAGAAGGAGAGGGGGGAGGAAAGCGTTAGCAAGGTAAATAATATTAACACAGGACAAACAGGTTCTGTTTAGCGTTACAGATATCATAGGGATTAGAGTTCACATTCCAAACACTCAGTGACCCACACAGTTGAAAACACGTGTGTGGAGCTAATCCTTAAGAAACAATGACAATTTCTTTCAAAAACAGTGAATAAAGGCCCCTGTCCTCCATCTGAGACAACGACATCATCAAATTCTGGACAATGACTGTTTGTGACATTTTGAGCCAAATGTTCCAAAGCGTTCAGTCTATGAGTCACAAGCTTTCTGCTGCAGATTCAACACCCACACTCTTACTCTTTAATTTACATGTACAGCGAAATCGGACTGCGCAAAATAATCTAATTCAAATTGTCACTGCCCCAAAACCCGTGAGAGCACTCTTGTCCAAGTCTACCTGCAAGTCAAAGGAAAGAATAGGTGCAAACAGCGGTGTCTAATTTAGCATTAGCACTAAGTCTTTGCAACTATAATTACCAATAAAAACAGCTATCATATATCTGCACTTTTGTAAGAAATAGATAAGTGACATCTCAAAGTTGAGCTTTTTATTTTTTATAGATGCTGGGATCTGTATTAGAGCCCGACCGATATATCGGCTGGCCGATATTATCGGCTGATATTGGCACCTCGAGGCATATTGGCTATCGGCCGATATGCTTGCTGATAGGGGCCGATATTTCACGTGGGCATGTAATACGTCGTTAAAAATCTTAGACTCTCTACATTATGTTAATTTAATCCAATTTACAGACAGATAAATGTCCTAATATGTGGCTCCACATCAATATTTATCTACGGAGTCATTTACCCGTGCGTGTGTCCGTATTGTCCCTGAACACACCACAGAGTCGCGTCACTCACGTGTGTTTGTTTACACCCGCAGACATAGATCCAAACACTGAGATTATATTCTTTTTACGGACAATCGGTTTGAGTCTGAATTAAAAGGACATTTATTAGTGCAGATTTGTGATGTGAGAGGAGCCTGTATGAGCGGTGAGTGTTGGAAATATGTCGACTTTGAAGCTAGTTTTAGTCATTTGTTATGGGTTAGCTGCTGTAGCTCCCGCACATAAACAGGCTGTTTTCTATTGGTCTATTGTAAAGTGACTACATTGGCCGTATATTTGTTACTGGACCAGCACTGATATGGAAATGAGCTGTGAATAGACGTGTGAATTATGACATTTGCGCATATAATTAATTACCGCGGCGCGCAGCATTTACGGCTAAAGGCTAATAGCGCTAGTTTCTTTACTAGTTATGGGTCCGTCGCGAACGAAATGACTCTTCGAGCCGGCTCTTTGAAGCGAACGACGGGAGCCTGATCCTTATTGGGAGCCGTGTTTTCTCTTTCTCTCACTTTTTTCCTGTTCACGCCGCGTGCAGACTCGTGGTTTGACAGCGGCAGCGGCTCAAAACGAAACTTTGAGAATTTTGCGTGTACATAGGATAAAAAATAAATAAATAAAATAAAATAAAACGAGCATATTTGGCTGTAGTTTAGCATAAAATAAATAAGTCCTGGTTTAGACCTTTTTCAGTCCTGGTTTAGACCTGGTTCAGTCCTGATTCAGTCCTGCTTTAGACGTGCTTTAGATCTGCTTGCAACAAAACAATCTGAAGAGCCGCTTGGGAGCCAAAAGAACCAGCAGCTTTTAGTGAGCCGAGCCAAAAGAGCCAGTTCTCTAAAAAGAACTGGAATACCCATCACTAGTGTCTAGAATGTGATGCAAAAATGCCATTAAGCCAACCTACTGTCTGTAAATATGATGTAAAGAGGCAGAATAACAATAAATGTTGCCTAAATAAACCCAATTTAAAATCCACCAGAGCCAAACCTAAGTTTTTTAAACCATTCAACATTTACAGTGAATTTTTACGTCACTAAATATATCGGCGATTATATCGGCTATCGGCAGCTCCAACTTCCATTATATGGGTTTCATATCGGCCACAGCAAAATCCATATCGGTCGGGCTCTAATCTGTATTACCCATCCATCCATCCATCCATTTTCGTCCGCTTATCCGGGGCCGGGTCGCGGGGGCAGCAGCCTAAGCAGGGACTCCCAGACTTCCTTCACCCCAGACACGTCCTCCAGCTCCTCCGGGGGGACCCCGAGGCGTTCCCAGGCCAGCCGAGAGACATAGTCCCTCCAGCGTGTCCTGGGTCTTCCCCGGGGCCTCCTCCCGGCGGGACATGCCCGGAACACCTCCCGAGGGAGGCGCCCAGGAGGCATCCGGAACAGATGCCCGAGCCACCTCAACTGGCTCCTCTCGACGTGGAGGAGCAGCGGCTCTACTACTCCGAGCTCCTCCCGTGTGACTGAGCTCCTCACCCTATCTCTAAGGGAGCGCCCAGCCACCCTGCGGAGGAAACTCATTTCGAGCGCTTGTATCCGCGATCTCGTCCTTTCGGTCACTACCCAGAGCTCATGACCATAGGTGAGAGTAGGAACGAAGACTGACCGGTAAATCGAGAGCTTCGCCTTTCGACTCAGCTCCCTCTTCACCACAACGGTCCGATACAGCGACCGCATCACTGCCGAAGCTGCACCGATCCGCCTGTCAATCTCACGTTCCGTCCTTCCCTCACTCGTGAACAAGACCCCGAGATACTTGAACTCCTCCACTTGAGGCAAAGACTCCCCACCCACCCGGAGAGGGCAAGCCACCTTTTTCCGGTCGAGAACCATGGCCTCGGACTTGGAAGAGCTGATGATCTTCATCCCAGCCGCTTCACACTCGGCTGCAAACCGCCCCAGTGCACATTGCAGGTCCTGGTTCGATGAAGCCAACAGGACAACATCGTCCGCAAACAGCAGAGATGAAATCCTGTGGTCCCCAAACCGGACCCCCTCCGGCCCCTGACTGCGCCTAGAAATTCTGTCCATAAATACAATGAACAGAACCGGTGACAAAGGGCAGCCCTGGCGGAGTCCAACATGCACCGGGAACAGGTCTGACTTACTGCCGGCAATGCGAACACAGCTCCTGCTCCGGTCATACAGGGACCGGACAGCCCTTAGCAAAGGGCCCCGGACCCCATACTCCCAGAGCACCCCCCACAGGACACCACGAGGGACACGGTCGAATGCCTTCTCCAGATCCACAAAACACATGTGGACTGGTTGGGCAAACTCCCATGAACCCTCGAGCACCCTATGGAGAGTGTAGAGCTGGTCCAGTGTTCCACGGCCAGGACGAAAACCACACTGCTCCTCCTGAATCCGAGGTTCGACTATCGGCCGGATTCTCCTCTCCAGTACCCTGGCATAGACCTTACCGGGAAGGCTGAGAAGTGTGATCCCCCTATAGTTGGAACACACCCTCCGGTCCCCCTTCTTATACAGAGGGACCACCACCCCGGTTTGCCAGTCCAGAGGTACTGTCCCCGACCGCCACGCGATGTTGAAGAGGCGTGTCAGCCAAGACAGCCCCACAACATCCAGAGACTTCAGGTACTCAGGACGGATCTCATCCAACCCCGGAGCCTTGCCACCAAGGAGCTTGCCAACCACCTCAGTGACTTCGGCAGGGTGATGGATGAGTCCGCCTCCGAGTCCCCAGCCTCGGCCTCCTCCTCGGAGGACGTGACGGTGGGATTGAGGAGATCCTCAAAGTATTCCTTCCACCGCCGGACAACGTCCCCAGTCGAGGTCAACAGCTCTCCCCCCGCACTGTAAACAGTGTTGGTGAAGAACTGCTTTCCCCTCCTGAGGCGCCGGACGGTTTGCCAGAATCTCTTTGAGGCCGTCCGATAGTCCTTCTCCATGGCCTCCCCGAACTCCTCCCAGCTCCGAGTTTTTGCCTCCGCGACCACACGGGCTGCAGCACGCTTGGCCCGCCGGTACCTGTCAGCTGCCTCAGGAGTCCCCCGAGCCAGCAAGGCCCGATAGGACTCCTTCTTCAGCTTGACAGCATCCCTTACTTCCGGTGTCCACCACCGGGTTCTGGGGTTGCCGCCGCGACAGGCACCACAGACCTTACGCCCACAGCTCCGAGCAGCTGCATTGACAATAGAGGCCGAGAATGAAGCCCACTCGGACTCCATATCTCCAGCCTCCCCCGGAATCCGGGAGAAGTCCTCCCGGAGGTGCGAGTTGAAGGTCCCTCTGACAGAGGGCTCCGCCAGACGTTCCCAACAGACCCTCACTACACGCTTGGGCCTGCCAGGTCTTTCCGGCTTCCTCCTCCGCCAGCGAACCCAACTCACGACCAGGTGGTGATCAGTTGACAGCTCAGCCCCTCTCTTCACCCGAGTGTCCAAGACACGCGGCCGGAGATCAGATGACACGACGACAAAGTCGATCATCGACCTCCGGCCTAGGGTGTCCTGGTGCCACGTGCACTTATGGACACCCTTGTGCTCGAACATGGTGTTTGTTATGGACAAACTGTGACTAGCACAGAAGTCCAATAACAAAACACCACTCGGGTTCAGATCGGGGAGGCCGTTCCTCCCAATCACCCCTCTCCAAGTGTCACTGTCGTTGCCCACGTGGGCGTTGAAGTCCCCCAGGAGAACAACGGAGTCCCCGGTCGGTGCACTGTCTAGTACCCCTCCCAAGGACTCCAAGAAGGCCGGGTACTCAGCACTGCTGTTCGGCCCGTAGGCCGACACCACAGTGAGAGACCTGTCCCCGACCCGAAGGCGCAGGGACGCGACCCTCTCGTTCACCGGGGTGAACTCCAACACACAGCGGCTGAGCTGTGGGGCAATGAGCAGGCCCACACCAGCCCGCCGCCGCTCCCCGCGGCCAACGCCAGAGAAATGGAGAGTCCAGCCCCTCTCAAGGAGTTGGGTTCCAGAGCCCAAACTGTGCGTGGAGGTGAGGCCGACTATATCTAGTCGGTAACGCTCAACCTCCCGCACAAGCTCAGGCTCCTTCCCCCCCAGCGAGGTGACATTCCATGTCCCCAGAGCTAGTCTCCATGTCCGGAGATCCGGTCGCCGAGGCCCCCGCCGTCGACTGCTGCCCAGATCTCTCTGCACCGGCCCCATATGGATCCTCCTGCGGGTGGTGGGCCCACGTGAGGACGGCCCCACGTCGCTCCTTCGGGCTGAGCCCGGCCGAGCCCCGTGGGGGGAGGCTCGGCCACCAGGCGCTCGCTGGCGAGCACCCACCCCAGGCCTGGCTCCAGGGTGAGGCCCCGGTGACGCCAATCCGGGCGACGTAACTGGCCTTGCTCGTACACTCATCATAGGGGCTTCTGAACAGAAGCCCCTGTATTACCCACTCAAGTTATTTGCTCTCCATGGTACGATTATATATGGTGAAGCTCTGATAAGTTTCATTTTCACTTTAATGTAGCGGACCAAACCAAAGCAAGTGTTCAGTGGGTGCTCTGAGAAGAGGCTGTGGTTTGTCATCACTGCTGATCTAAAATGAGTCCAAACATATGTCTAATATTTTCCTGGATGTTTCTTACCCTGTACAGTGAAGACATCAGTAAGTCTGTACCTAATTTAAATCGGACTGAGTGGTTACATGCAGAGGTTTCCAAGTACATCTCCCTCAGATGTGTCATTGGGATCTTTGAGATTCCATTAACAAAGCCTCAGTTGTAGTTCCCTGGTTTACTTGCATTTAGAAACATTTGTGGATCATACGTTTGGATATTTCATTCAATATAGGTGAATCTCCCAAAGAGTTATATAGGACCCTGCTCTCCATCTGAGATTATGACATCATCAATTCTGGACAATTTCACTTTGTGACATTTTTGGCCAAATGTTTCACAGTGTTTAGTCTGAGTCAGAGATGTTTTGCTTCAAATTTAACTCCCACTTTCTCACTGACACCTGCTACAATTTTGGACAACATTCAGTATTTACTGTATGTATACAGGGACTGTATGTAAGCTGCAATATTACTGATTTAAGAAAAGGTACTAAAATAACAAGTGAACCTGGATTAGGGCTAGTACTGAATTGATTGACTGCAGGGACTCTTCATTTAGTTGCAAGTAAGTCAGTCTTTTTAGTTTTTTCTCACAACATAATATATAAAGATTCTTTTTTTCAGACCTAGAGTGTTATTTCATACCTGACAGTTTAGACTGCTCACTAGCGTCTTCCTCAGAGTGGTCACGTGTTGTTGCTGTGACGTGTCTGGTCACAGCAACATCGCGTGACCACTCTGAGGAAGACGCTAGTGAGCAGTCTAAACTGTCAGGTATGAAATAACACTCTAGGTCTGAAAAAAAGAACCCAATAACATAGAATATCGGAAGACCAAATGAATCTCATTGGACTATAATATATAAAGATATCAACACTTTGCACGGATTCTAGGCATATATTATTGCAACAGCCAGGAGTGTTTTGCCCAAGGACACCACAGCAGCATCCCAGACTCGTACCTCTCTGTGAGCAATGCTCTCTGTACTTCTGCTGCACAGCCTCCAGTTGCAGGTATCGGCTCACTAGCGCCTCCTTCTGTGATTCCAGGTATGGCTTTCGGTCCAGGTTCTGTTCAGCCAGACTTCTGTTAGCGGCCAGAGCCATCTCCCTCTCCAGCTGGATATTCTGGATCTATAAAAAAAAAAAGCTTTTTATTAGAAACTGTCAGACTGTGGTAATTGTGTTGGCTAATATACAGTATTATTTATGTTGTATGGTGATTATTTTGAAATGGAAACTTCTCGAAGGCATTTAAGGCATTTTTATCAATAAAAACACCTATGGAGGTGGCAGACCCTCATACATAGTGCACCTTTATCTGCATGTGAAGAAACAAGAGAAGAAGAATTAGCATGTTTATTTTACCCTTTGTGCCACAAATCATTAATTCACAACTGACTCGATTTGCTCCTGATATAGGGTTAGGTTTGGTCTTGGTGTAATCCTACTTTTGTCTTGGTTTAGATCTCTGTTAATAAATACCAACTGAGATCAAATAATTCCTGACAGACTACTTGGAATGACAAGACCTAAACAACCACCAGCATTTTTTTAAGTTACCTCAATCTATTCTTAGCTTATTATTCTGCTCCTTTAAAGACATTTTATCATGCTCTTGATATCACACTGACAGAGTGTGCGGAAAGTGTCAGATAAGAATACATTGTTTTTTGTTAAATAGAAGATAGGATAACATTGTTCTTCTCGTGGCCCATTACAATAGTGCTAACTTAAATGTCAGTCAATAGAGATCAGTGTTAAAAAAAAGTTAAAGTCTAATTCTAAATCAACTTTTGAGCTTTCTACCATATTATAACTTTGGTCGCTCATCAAAAACATGCCTGAAGAGGTGCATGTTTGAGTGATATTACAGTGTCTCCCAGGAACTATTCGAACCCACCTTTCAGTTAGGTGTACAAGACCACGCATCTTGTCTAAGACTCAAGACCCACAGCCTCTCTCTATGCAGCCCTTCCCTCACAGAACAGCGAGACCAAGCATCAAAAACAAAAACACTCACTGCCAGCTCAGTTCTTGTTATCTTGGCCTGTGTCATCAGTATAATACTCCCTACAACATAGCCTGGACTGGAACGGATAACACTATCACAGTGTCCTGAAGGTTCATTACCTCGGGTCCTTGTCCCTATACTGATGGGGGGAAAAAAAACAAAACTCCTGCATTAGAACTCCAGCGTCATGCCTCTTCTCTTCAACTATTGGGCTACTACGTTTTTTGTAATACAACTAATTAAACTTTTTAAGCCAATGTTTTTGGTAGAATTTCATTTTCAGAATGATACAAGGTCACGTCTTGCATATAGCCCAGATATATTTTCTATTTACTGTATATGATTTTTACTTGTAAATATACACTTGCATAATTATGTCTTTTGACATCAGTCAAAAGAACTATCAGAACTATTTACATCAGACCACATGGTAACATATAGACAGTGTTTTTGTTTCGTAGAAGACAGGATGCTAACAGGATATTGTGTAAAAACTCATTTTAAAATTGTTACTGACTATAAATATAAACATGAATAAATCTGATTATTATCTGATTTCTGAATCTTAAAGATTTGTTAAATTAAAGGCAAATTAGAAAATCTGATGTGAGTAATTAATGATCTTACAACTCTGCTCTTACAACAAATATCAATTAGATTTTGAGTGTGCATGTAACTACAGCCATTGTGATTGAATTGAGCCATTGAATTTGGTATTTGTTATTGAGCTTATGCATTAGTATTGACATCAAGTTTGAAATGTTAGTATCATGATAGCACATATGGCAGACCTGCACCTATGACAGCCTCTCTTATCTGTGGCACTGAGTTGTTAATTGTTCTAACACATGTGTCAGTTTGTGCTACATCTGGGCCCTGTAATGCAAATATATACTATGCGACACAACTACATTCCAACACAAAGCAAAAATAGAATGTCTCACCTGCTCCCACAAGGCCATGTTAATTATTTTCAAATCCCATGAAAGCTCTGCTACTTTTATACTGCGAAAGAGGGATGAAGACGAAAGTCGAGTGCTGTGCAATTCATCAATATCAAGATTCAGGTACAGAGAAGTCTACAGCCAATCCTCAACAAAAGCATGTGGCTGTCTGGTTATGTGGGGTCAGGCAGCTGTGGGGGTGGGAAGGTAGAAGGAAATGTGGGATTGTTTTTAATCACTGTAAAGCACTCTGTGTTGTATTTTTTGTATGAAAAGCGCTTTATAAATAAAGTTTGACTGACTGATTGATTGATTGACTGGTTTAGAGAAAGAAATTTGACTATTTTTAGTGTTGAATGGCAATTATTAAAAGTCTGTATTTTGAATTTTTTTTAAGACAAAATAAATTGAAATTTGAGACTGATCAGTATGAAGAAGAAAAAGGGGAATATTTTTTCTTTGTCACATCACCCTGGCCTAGTTTGACATGACCTCAACTTGTTTATAGCTCACACAAAACCTGATTATTCCATACACGATTTGAGTGCATAAATGTGTGAACAGCTCTGTCAAAGGGGAAGCAAAGCAGCACTGTTGCCCCAACACTGGAGTCCCCTACTTTGCAGGTTAACCACTAGCACCCACGCAGGACTCAAAGACAGTTTATGCCTCTTGGCATCACTGAACTGCGAGAGTGCTGCACATTTCAGCTATTTTTTAAGAAATAAGTAACAAGCCCTCAGCTCATCTGGACTATTCATTTGACCTTTGAACCAACTTAGTGTTGTTATATTCATGCAGTTAACACATTTTCCCTTATTAAGTTACTGGATCATTTATTACATAACTTTAAATACATCTTTAACTATTATTTTTGCTTGATTACTATTCAAACTTATTTCTACTGTACAAGCTTTTAACCAAAATAAAGGTTTAAATATGGGGACTCTGTGACTCTATATAGGGAATATTTATGAATAAAGTCTATTATAGATGAACATTCATTTTTTTTACATTTTGATTTAAAAGCACAGCTGTCTTTGTTATAAAGTCCTTTTGTATGTGTTTAGAGTCTATAGTGTATAGTCCAGGTATCAATAATGCTTATCAAAATATAATTAAAATGATTTTAATAGTTGACTTGTAACGCTTATTCTGACTAACTTGTGATGATACCCATTTTCCTTAACCCAAAAAACTGAACAGCAACAAACAGTAATAGTACAACTAAAGCATCAGTTTGAGCACTGTCTATTCATGGGTTTCACAATGAAAAAATTAAGACTGTTGACATAGCAATTTCATAATTTCATAGAAAAAGTAAATTTCAACTAAAATATCTTTTAAATAATTCAAACTCCTGAAAATGTCGCCAGTAACTGGAAGCTGAAACCCACATATAAACATAACTAAACCCACAGCATGACTCTGCTCTTTCTCTCTTTCTCTGAAATGCAATCATTTAATCATCCATGATGGATGTGTGAATTTACCTCATCAGACTCCAGCGCCATGGCCTCCACCCTCTCGGCGTTATCCAGCAGCTCCTGGAGCTCTGATTGGCTCAGGTCCTGGAGCTTTTCCATTTGATTTGCCAGGATGGCTGTCAATCAAACATAAACCCGGAAATAACACTTAAAACATTGTTTGGGAATTACTATCAACAGACACACTCCTTATTATTAGTCCCGCTATTTGGTCGATTTTCCATGATATTGTGTTATTTAGAATGGCTTGTTTAATGTATTGTTCAAAACATTAAAAGGCAAGAATATAAATATTATCAGGAGTGAACAGTTATGACTCAGGACTTACAATATAATCGAGTTATACCAAAAATGCATTTGTTTTTGGTATTATTTACGTCTATAACGCACTGTGCGTTTTGATAATAAACAAAATAAACATTGACTGCGCCACTACGTTGTAAAAAAGTGAGGCATATGACCGTAGGCCAGACTCAGGAGAAATTGTGTATTTATATACCACTGACAGTGATTACATTTAGAGTAAGTTGTACTCACACGATGCTAGCAAACCAAACTCAAAGCAATCCTTTCTGGTGGTGACATCCAACACCACCTACTTATTTCTCCCACGGAAGCTACGACCTGCCCCGGCTAAATTTGACAAAAAACGAGACGTAATCAGTCCGTGATCCAGGCAGTTTTATGGTTATTAAAACTAAATATTGCTTTAAATATGCTCGATTTCACCTGACGAGTCCGTATACAGCGAATTTGCTGACAAAAACACTCGGAATGATCGCAATGTCAGGCACTCTAGCCAACGTCAACTTCTTCGAGGGAAGCCCAGCGAATAGGCGACAAAAAGCGGGTAAAACAATCGCACAGCTCGGTCTTAAGCCGCTGTGATTGATGTCAATGCCTTCGCAAAATCCTTACTTCACCAAACGAGCGACCACGCCTGGAAGTTCGTGAGGAAACGGGGAAAATATTTGATAAAAATAAGAAAGTTTCATTCCATAGTGACAGAAACCGCCGCCATTTTAGGAAGAGTCCATTGGTGAAGTTGTGTAGGGGTGGTAACGAGAAAGTACGGTTTACGACAACAAAATAATCCAAGAAATAGCACATTCAAAATCATGAATTATAATAAAAACATATTTCAAGTCTATATACATAATTATTGTGTATTTATGCTGGTGAATTGTGTTTTTGTAACTTGTTTTGTACAATAGGAGATAGTGGTACGGCCCATACTCAGCTGATATGGAAACCCCAAAGTGACGGTAATGTTCCATTTACTGGGCAAAGTCAGTGGCAAACCCTTTTATTGACTTTTCATAAGAGGTTTAACTATGATTTGAAAGATATATTATTCTATGTGGGTGTGTTAATATAGGCCCGCTGCTTATATAAGAATATACTAAGTGCAAATACTCAACAAATACTCAACCCAAATGTAAGATGGTTTTAGTGTTTAATGGAAATTTGAAAAGACCAATTCACAGTTTAGAAAAGCATTTCGTTTATGAGCCATATGTTGTGAAAGGCATTAGAAAGGCAAACACTTAAAAATAGCTGTTTGTAAAATATAAAAACACAACATCACACAGGTATTATTTAGATTAAATAATTTGACGTGATGCATAAAGAATACATTCAAACAACGTGATGACAACAGACATAAGCTACTGTTTGTATGCAACAGTTTTATAGGCTACACAATAAGATCAAGGCTATACTATTAATATGAGATGGAAGACAGGTAGAAATTTTAAAATAATATCTGCCACTGTGAATTGAAAATGTAGATAATTTGACCTGGTTTATGGTAAATATCTCTAATTTAGCCATGTTATAAAATATGGTTAAATTAGTTTCTTTATAGCATAAAATTGTAGACAAATTAGATTATGCTATATGGCAAGTTTATGAACCTAATCTCTACATTGTCATGCCAATTTTATGTTTTGCAATTTAGGTTAAACATAAAGTTATATAGACCCTGTCCTCCAACTGGATTTTCCAAAAAGTACAGTGAAGCAAATCAAAATATTTAAATCTTTATCCCCTTTTGAGTTCTCTGAGTGACATTACAGACAGGATAGAGTTCATAATGATGGCTCCGGCGTCGTAGAAAACCAGCAAAATCAGTATGGACATGCAATATTTCTGTAACAACATAAGAATAAGCATTAACACATAACCTCTTCTCTATCTTACCCTCTCCTCTGTGTCCTCTTCTCCATTTTACCCTCTCCTCTGCTCCATCTCACCGACTGCTCCATTTCACCCTATCCTTTGCATCTTTTGCCCCATCTGACCCTCTCCTCTGCTCCCACTGACCCTTTCCTCTGCTTCATCTCAATAAGAATACATTTGAAGAAAAAAAAAAAAAAGACATTTTGAATAAAAAATGAATTCCACTCACCATGAGCAATTCCAGTGGGCAATCTACTGATATGCAGTCCTCATCTTTTGGTATATTACTAATGCTGACACAGTAAAGACAGAAAGCTATTACTGCCCCCAACAGGCTGATGATGTTAGAGCATACACACCCTTGGAGCTAAGCAGAGAGAAGTGGAGAAGAAAAAGTGTTACTGTTACCACCAAATACTTGTATTACAGATTAGAACAAAATCAACAGATGAATGTTAAATTTACCAAATATCTGTTAGGACTGCGTTCATTGGCCATCGCTAAAGATCCTCCAGTTACAATCTGAAATAAATTCCCAACTGTTATAAAGTCACACCATACTATCTTATTGTTGTGAGGCAAGAGTGTTAACCAGTAAACCATAAAATAAATAATGGTAAATTGACATTCACCAGTATTCCAATGAAGAGCGGTAAAACAAAAAACTTGGGCATGTCAATTGGAGCAGCGTAAACCAGAGGGACAGACAGCAGCACTTGGAACAGGCCAAATAAGATTGTCACCACCTGCAAAAAAAAAAAACAGAGGTTGAGGGTTAGACTCCTGATAGCTCTGAGAGGAGTGTGTCTGTTACTGTGGCAGAGTGGTTATCCTGACTCCTCCTCTTAGTGTGCAGGTTGAGACTCCTGATCTTAGTGGAGCAGTGTTAATTGACTCAAGTATTATGTTATAGTTTTCCTGACTAAAATGAAATAAAAAGTTCTCATGATGACTCAGACTAAAATTACATACATTTTCGTTTACTAAAACTATGACTAAATGTAGATATTTCTGTAGACAAAAACTAGACTACAACTATAAATTATAATTTGACTCAACTTTGACAAAAAAAAAAGATAATAATGCATGTCAAAATAACAGTTTAATCAAATTGTTTCTAAAATAATGAGTGATTTTCAAATAAAGATAAAAATAATATCAGGTTTCTCCACTTACTGCTGCACTTTCGTGGTCGAACCATGAGGTCATGCGCTGTGTTATGGGCAAGTCAGGAGGGGGCGCTGTTCCCTCAGAAGACATGGCTCTGGAGATAGAGAAAATAAATGCAGTGGCCGAAGACTTGCTGTTATGAGTAAAATATAAATATGTATACAAGGTTAATTATACAGTCTATTTCATCCACATTGAAAAAAGTTATATTTCTTAAAGCCACATTTTTGCCAATAAACATACTTCGATAAATGCATAAATTTTCGTGATGTTTTTATTCCACTGAAAAACAAACAAAAAGTCTGCTTGATCTGTACGGGCTTGCATCACCCCAAACTGGACTCTGGCATAGACAAAGGCCTTTTGGCTATAATCCTCCACAAACTCCTCTATCTCCATTGAGAATATTCCAAAGTCTTGTTTTAATTTTGCATTTCCTATGGAATCGTACCAACTTCAGAAAGTTACCACTTTAACAAGTAAGATTTTTACTTTTACTATTTTTATTCAATTCTTGACATATTATTGTGACAGGAGTGTAGGGGTGAAGTGTCTTGCCCATAGACACAACATTCATATGTGCTCGAGATCTAAAGTACATATTGTCCCTGTATTGTTATCAGGTGTACTTGCTCTCTCTCCTTCCCAACTCCCTCTCCTTCTTCATCTCTCTGTCTCTCATCCTTGCCTCTGTTCCTCTCCTCTTTCTCCTCCTCCTTCTCACTCTCTGTTTTAGCTGTCTCTCTCTCTCTCTCTCTCTCTCTCTCTCTCTTGTCTCTCTCCATCTTACACCCCTCTCTATCCCTATATCTGTCCACCTACTCTTTCTCTTTCTTTCCCTTTCTTCTCTACATCTCACTCCTGCCTCATTCTTTATTGTCTCTCTTCTGTGTCTTGTTTCTCTGTTCTGTTTCTTTTCACTCTGTTCTGTTTCTCTTCACTTACCCCCCCCCCCCCCCCATCCCCTCTTCCTCTCACTCGCTTTCTTTCTCACTCCCCCTTGTGGATTAAATGTAGTGCAAATGTTTTTGACGGACAAAACAAATGTTTGTTAAAAATCTTAATCTGAAAAAAAACATCTCCCTTCTCTCTCACTCTCCCTCCCTCTCTTTCCTGCTCTTGTTTTCTCTCTGACTCTCCCCATCTCTTTCTTTCTCTTCCTTTCTCCCACGCTCTTGTTTTCCGTATCTCCCACTATTACTTAATTCTTTCTCTCTTCACCCCCCTCCCTTCTTTTCTCAGCTCTCTCTCTCTCTCTTTTTCTCTTGGACATCTGTTTGTGATCCAGAACATTCCTTTGGCCCTCAGAGGCAGAGCACATGTGGATTTAATGAACTCACGACACTCTCCCATAGACTCCACACTCACCGGGACACCTCTTTAGATCTCTCCTCTCTCTCTCTCTCTCTCTTTCTCCCTCCTTCACACCTTTCTCATCTCTCTCCCTCTGTCAATTTCTCCCTCTCTTTCTCCTCATGTACTTCTCCAATCTGTGTATTCTCTCTCTCGCTCATCCATGTCCACTCTCTTTCCCTCTCTCTCTCTCTCTCTGTCTCCTCTTTCTCTCTTCTCACTCCCACTCTCACTTGTCTGTCTACCGACCTCCCTCCTCATCTCGCTGTGAAAGGTGTGTGTGCTGAAAGGGGTGTCAAAGTCAAGTTCACAGAGGGCCAAAATTAAAAACTGGGCCGTGGGCCAAACAAAATATTTACTGAAAAACATCTGCATGTTTTCTCTTCTTTCGAGATATGTAATGTTAAACCTTTTCTTATTAAAATAAATGTTTAATAATAGTTTTGCTTAAACACTGAATCCAGAACAAGCATAATAAAAAATAATAACAACATTTTAAATAAATAATGTCTCTATAGCCTATTTGTAGCCGGTGGGTCAGCTCTAATACATATTTGATATGATCTCGTGGGCCAAAGATAATTATATTGTGGGCCAAATTTGGCCCCCGGGCCTGAGTTTGACATATCTGCTCTAGACCCTCCTCTTTCTGTCTCTCTCTGCCTGTCGACTAAATAATTTCTATAGCTAATTATTGGTCCAAACCCCCCTCCTTCCTCACCCGTTATCATCTCCATCTTTTCTTTCTCTCTCTCCTCCTTCCCTCTACCTTTTACTTTTCCTCAATCACTCACTATCTCTCCTATCTCCTGATCTCTCTGAGGGGAGTGCGCATGTTCTCCCTGTGTTACTGTGGCAGAGTGGGTATCCTGCCAGTGGAAGTGGTGGGTTAGATTCCTGTAGTGTCTCCTCTCTCGCACTGTAGAAGGTTGCAGCATAATCATCAGCCTGGTAAATTAAAAAAGTAGAAGTAGTAGTAGTAGTAGTAGTAGTAGTAGTAGTAGTAGTAGTAGTAGAAGACCAAGTTATGGGTTCATTACGCTTTACTAAACCAATAGCCAATGCTGAGTCATAATCAAAAATAAAATAATTGCCAGCCTTTGCACAGTACTAGGCAACTAGACTTGTATAGCCTAGTAGTAGTAGTAGTTGTAGTAGTAGTAGTAGTAGCAGTAGTAGTAGTAAGAATCCTTGTAGCATTAGCAATAGTAATAACTTAAATAGGAATGCCATATCCAAGTTTAAGAAATAGGCTAACCACTGATAGGTAGCTTCAGGTTGACACTTTGGCAAAAAAGCAAATGAGCAAAATCAACTCACACGTGGAGATGTCCGGTGCGTCCTCGCTTCTTCAACAAATGTTTACGTCGGAAAAACCCAAACGAGATGCTATTTGGAGAATGCGCAAAAACATAAGGGACAAGAGAGGAAGTGAAGGAGGAGTCCAGATTATCCGCGCTGCCAAAAAACAGGGCGAGGGGTCCCGTTGTATCGTGCGTGAAAACGTAACTTACGCACTACGCAGCGCCCCATAGACTGTAAAAAGCGACCTCTACGAAGACGGACAAATTAAACGCCCAACTACGAGATCGTGGAGAAAAGCGGATAATTATTTGGATTCGTGGTCAAGAGAAAGCGGGGTTCGGTGAGTAGTTATAACGGCGAGCATTGTGTTTCTGGAGTGATGAGCGCAGTGAAGTTGAGGGGTAGGGTCTTCTTGGACCACTACAAAAACACTTGAAGGTTGAGGTTTTGAACAGCATCGTAAAAACACTTAAATCTTAAACTTGGTGTTCCAGCCTATAGCTATTAAAAAAATAAAATACAGATGACATGTACCCAGAAGGCGAGGTTATGTTGAACACAGTATAGCTCACTGGACTGTTGTCAAGAAGCAGAGTGCAAAGACTCCACCTGCTGGGCACACTGAGGAGTGGAGATTAAATCAGGCTAAAAGGAATAGCTGCTTAGAGTGGAGTTGGTTGAAGTCATTTTGAGCTCTGAAATAACCAGAACGAGACTAGACTTTAAAAGCAAGGAGAATAAGCACATCAAGAGGTGTCCTAATTAGGCTGTTGGATTCTGAAATAAATAAATAAACAAGCATGCAATATTAACTTTTTGTTTCCAGGAAAACTTTTTGTTAACACAATAGCATATTCCTTAAAAACAATATAATAACTTGCCGCCTAACTTCAGTATTATGAAATAGACTAAACATTCATTGTGGTAGCCTATATGATATAGTCTGTCACACATCATATAGGTCTCGCCTACAGATTTGCCCGATAAATAATTATATTGATGTTCATCACTCCCCCATGGTCTGTTATTTGTGAACATAGTCAGAGTGTGATCTGAATGATCTGATGTCATGTTTTCTTCCTCAGGTGATGGCGGTGGCTGTGAACAGGGACCTGACGGTTCAGGTGTTAGCCGATACTAATGCACTGAAGTTAATGGACAGTAAACAGGCTCTGAGGGCAGCTGTACAGAGAGGGGAGCCCAAGTGTCTGGGGGTGAGTGTTGCTTTCTAACACTATAGTGCCCATATCAATGACATTTGTAGTCTCTTCACATGATGGCATATTATGCATATGCACCTTTTAAAAAGAACAAGGTCATAATGACCATAAAGACACAGTGTGTTCTGTTTTACAGTGATCACTTTGATTTGTTTGTGTTTGAGGTGAGCCAGTTGATGTTGGGTCTCCTTATCATGACTTACTCCATCCCTCTTCACCTGACAGAGCACACTGAGGTGGTGTGGATGGGGGTCCCCTGGTGGAGTGGCATCTCTGTCAGTAACTCAATATACTGTGGTTTAAATGCTATTATTATGTTTGCCTGTGACCTGTGCTATTAATGGTTTTAAATAGCATTATAATTACAATTGTAAAGAAAACTGTCAAAATTTGATGAACAACAAGCAGAACAATAAAAGCAGCATTTACAACACAATGCATTAAATCAAACTTAACCCAGAATACTATTAACTATCTTGGACACATTATATAGCCCAATAGAGAGCCCTTTTGGATTTATTGCAAACTGAATATACACATATGATTTACCAATCTAAAGTGTGGAGCTCATTCAACTTTCTGATTGGATAGTAAGATTGAAAATCAACACACAATGTAAACAACATGACACAACAAACAAACAACAAGACAAACAGTTATTTATTTATTTATTTATTATTATTATTATTATTATTTATTCTATCTTCTTCTGTCTTTGCAGTTTGTCATTGCTGGAGTTGTTGCTATACTATTGGATAAATACTGCACAATGAACAACGTAAGTCTACAAAAGCAAATAAAAAAAACTGTAGTAATTCAATGAAAGAGTGAATTTTTCTGGGCGGGTATAGACATGTGTAATAAAGAGAGAGTGTGACAGGTTACAATACAATTCCGTCTCCTCCAACAATACTGGAGGAGACAGAAAGGCTGAAGAGGCTAGTAATTCTGCTGTTGTGATAAAGATGGGGCAGAGGAGGGGAGAGAGAGTGTATTTGTATGCATGCTCATGAGGTGATTGGTTGACAGTGACTATATTTACACGCACACAAACAATCTGCTCATTATTTGATTTCTTTTCTTGTGCAAGTTTTCACAAGGAAATGCAAAGGGAAAATGTACATGGCAAAATATTGTAATTTTTTTTAATCAATACTAGTAATATTGATTAGTGTCTGGGTATCATAGACTGTACATATAAATGGACATAGCTAACGCACTAGACACAACCCAAATAGAAAGTGGTCATGGGTGCCTTCCAGCTCCATCAACTCCAACTGACTTTACACTGAAAAATTTTCACCTCTCTTTGTAAGTGCTGCAGGGAGCCTTTACATTTTGGTCTTTAAATGTTTGTATTAACCCACTCTACATGACCCTGGTGTTTTTATTTAGCTATTTTGTCAGTAAATCAATCCACTATAGAAGACGTCACACTCGCTTAGTCCACTTCTTTATGGGTATCAATTTCTCTGACAATTGTAGCTGTCAAAATAACCGCGTTTTGAGCTCACCTGTTAGCATCTTGTCTTCTCCCCTCTCCAACTTACCATGATCTTGTTTTGTTGTTTTGACTCCATTTTTAGCTCTACGCCTGTATAGCCACAAGTGTCGTCTCCACTGCCCTCTCCATCATGGCCATCATTATCTACTCTGTGGATATAGAGAGAAACCCAGAGACTCCCTGCCTCAAAGAAAAGTATGACGGCTGTGATGACTTGCACTACGTTACCGTGAGTAATCAAACTTGCACTTTTATTTAATTTGGAAATCTGTCACCTGCTTGTTTCTATGGAAATGTCATTACTCTGCCTGCGATGTTCCACAATATGACATTAAATTGGTGGTTTTCTGCTCAAAAAGAAAGCCTAGAAAAACAGGCATTCTGACTGTGAGTGAGGTTGCCCCTTCACAGATCTGACCTGTAACTTGGTCTAGTTTTGTCTCCAGGAAAATAGAAAGGTTTACCATACTGTGAAACATTCCAGACAAAGTAATAACATCTCCACCAGAAAAGTTACACCATGTACTTTTAATACATGGATTAAAAAAGAGGCAGAAGACAGGACAACCACTCTGCCCCAGCAACACAGGGAGGGCATACACACTGCACTTAGAGAAATCAGGAGTCTAACCCACAACCACCATACTGAGAGGATGAGGCAGGATAACCACTTTGCTGTCTTGTTGTTGTTTTGTGCCTGTCTGCTGTGCCTCAGTATAAATGGATCTAATTGGGTTTCTAGTGGTGACTTTGGCTGCTTTAGAACATTCCTCTGTTTATTTGAGTGGCCGAGGAGAGGGAGCTCTATTCAGATGGGACATAATGATCAGATCCAGGAAATGCAGAAAACACTGGCGTTCAGAGAGTCTGTGGCCCTATTTCACAAAGCAGATTGAATTACCCCTGAGTTTAATTCTTGACTCTACTCTGACAGGGCCAAGTCAGAGTTTCTCATTTCAGGATGGAGCAGAGTTAGACCTCGCAGAGTCTGTCCACTTTGAGTTTAGCAAAGGAGAAAAACCACAATTAATGGATCCCAGACAAGAGGATTCACCATAGCAACAGTAAAACAGGAGGCCTTCATCTTAGAGGGACAGGAAGGTTGGATATTGAAATGGGGTGTTAAGAATTATTGCATATAGTAATGATTAGTATGATGTATTAAAAGACATTATTATTTTTATTTTTCACACTTGTACTTTTGTAGCTCATTAAATAGTATTCTACAACTTAAAATAATTGTACACACCATCACTTTGCACATGTTGTACTTCAAGCTTTGATATATATTTGAGTATCTGGAGTGCAGTTCGCTAAAATGTACTTTTATATGTGACATCGTGTGTATTGAACTAAGGCAACAGTTAACAATGAATTGATCTTGCTTTAAATATTATTATAAATAATATACATTATAGTAAGCAATAAATTGTGTGATTTCAAATTACAAATTAAGACAAAATGTATAAGGTGAAAATAAATTCACTTAAATAACTGATTTGTATGTAAAAGATGTAACAGATGAGCAGCCTCTCTTCTGTCAGTCTGTTCTAAGGCATCTGACTACAGTAGTAGTTGGTGTGGAGCGAATAAAAATGAAATGAAAATGTAAAGTGAACTTCTACAATACTATACAGTCAGTTCCATTTACCACATACATTTTCTAAAGCTGAATTCTGCTTCAAATCACATGTTTTTACTGACAGTGCGTTGGCTGTAGACCTCTTAATAACTGAAGTTTTGTTATTAGAAATAACAAAACTTCTGCATAATTAATTGCAATCAAATCAAACCAAATGGACACAATTAGCAAACCACAAAGGCTTTGACGTATCTTAGTTCCCTTCACAAACAACAAAATATCTTGTCTAATTCAGCAAAAAACTGCTCACCCTGTAGTTTACATCTGCATAAACATGTTCTGAAATGTCATTCTTGTATCAGTTCAGTTTGGGGGTTTTTTCTCATTTCTTGGACAAGTTTAAAATTATGAACTTTGAACAAAATTCTATTATTATCACATAAATTGGAATTATAATCACAATCAGAATGCTTATCAGAAATATTGCCATTAGATATGTTTCCCGAATCATTAAACCCTAATGCACAAAACTGTAAAGCAGTGAGTGAAAATGTGATTTGATCATTTGATTATCTTCACTGTGTTCCTATCTGTTATATTTGATTTCATTCATAGAAGCTGAGTAAAGGCGTGAAGTCAGCCCTGCTCCTCCTCACTCTGGCTCAGACCGTCATTTCTGGAGTCCACACTTTCCTGCTCTTCAGACAGAGACGCAACTTTCAGATCTACAATGTAAAAATGCATTCAAATACACACGTCATTGGGTATAACATGTGATTTTAATAGCTTTTAGTCAGAGGTTGTGCTTGGTTATAAGTATGTGGTCAAAGTACTTTTTAAAGGGGGAGTATCCTGACATTGTATTTCAAATTTCATAAATTTGACCAGTCTCTGTCCACAAAGTACAAGAAAACATGTTCAAATCAAGTATTTCTCTCAACAGATAACATTAATACTTTACTGGCTTTTTTACTGGTTTTAGTTGTACAATCTGGCAGCCCAAGGTCAAGCTTCAGCAACTAAACTCATTCAAGATTGTCTCAAAAAAGCTAAAAGCTGTATTTTTTACATTTACTGTTCAAAATAGATTTCTGGGGCTTTCTAATGTGTTATAAAATTGTTCACTCATCAAAACATGCCTCAAGTTGTTTATTGCATGTTTGAGTAATCTTGCGATCTCTCAGGCCCTATTGAAACCCTCCTTTTGATTATCCAAGACTCAGCCCACAAGGATGTCAAAAACTACTGACATCTTAAGTAGGCCTTGGCCAGTATGGATTTTTGATGTGTAATTTCATTGTAAGTCTACATCTGACTATAAAACCGACAGGAAAACGGCATACCTGGCAACACTGCCCAAAGTGGAGGTTATTCGTCTTTTTGATTGGCTAATCTCCATGTAAAATTATTTTGTTTTTTTGCTGCTGAATCTTAACATAGAAACACTTACTCAATTTTCAGTTTATATTGGTTTGAAATCAGGTACAGGACATTTCATTTTAAAGATATTTCTTTTCTTTTTTCAGCCTCTCCACCAAGATTCCATCTCCACACAACCTGTGCTTCCTACAGATGAGAACTAACTCACCAAACTTCTTATAATTCTGTGGAGTTTGAGTGCACATATTTGTATATTCACAGTATAAGATACATATATTACACTGCCCTCCACTAATATCGTCTGTGGTCATGTGAGTAACTTTGGATTTGAATCAACCGATACACAAAATTTCCGAAATACTTCATCTTTGTTAAGTCAGTTTGAATCTTCGGTAATAATCTGTTTTTTGATGTGGTTAAAGGTGCCCAAGCTAACTGTGATGATAGTGTTTGCCACCTGCATGTCACCCTGGAAATGTTATTACTTTGATTAGAATGTTCCAAAGTATGGCACATCAGGTATTGTTTTAGCAATAGCGACAAGAAAAGTTACATAATGTTATGTGTGTTATTTTTATATGATACAACATTTAAAACTTAAAGGTCATCTTTGCTCACATATGGTTTACACATTATCATGAGGCTCCTGAACACAATTTTATTTTCACTGCTTTTTTGTACAGGGTCAAATGATCAGAATGTAAAACTGCCTTCTTGTTTGTTTTGTGTTTGTTTTGTACAGAGTGTGTGTGTTGTTATGTGGTTAAGATGTTACAAGTGACATGTAATTACAAAAAAACAACTTTTTTTCTATTCATTATCAAAACCAAATGTTCTGCATCAAACATCTGCTATTTGTTTGAAGTTGAGATTTTAACAGATTACAAAACATAAACATAAGAAACCAACTGAGAAATTGACAGTTTTGAAATCTGTTGTCAAAAAATGTTGAAATGTCTTGTATTTGAGCCAAATGTTTGAAATACAAATTCCTGAAATGTCCCTCTCTTGATTTATTGAAAACGGAAGTTGGGACACATCTCCATATTTTGTTTTGGTGGGAAAAGAGCATAACTTTTAGGTCCTGGTTAAGACCTGGTTAGGATCTGGTTTAGTTTACATTTGGATATGGTTTAGTCCTGTTTTAGACCTAGTTTCTTGAATCCTTATTCAAAACTTGGTTTAGTTTGGGTGTAGTCCCGGTCTATACCTTGTCAGGACCTGGTTTTGTCCAGTTTTAGTCCTGGTTTAATCTTGATTTGGTTTAGTTCTGGTGTAGTTATGGTCTATACCTTGTTTGGACCTGGTTTAGTCCCTGTTTAGTCTGTGCAAGGTTGTTTTTAGTACTAGTTTGGACTGGGTTTTAGGCCTGATTTCAGTTCTGATCCTGGTTTGTACTGGATCAGTTTAGACCCAGTTAAGATCTGGCTGGATCCTGATTTTTGTCATATTTTGTTGTTAAATAATAAAACAAATGTTCTGTATCTTTTGCAGAACTGAAGCAAATAGCCCCACTCTCAAATTTAAATTTCCAGCAGTAGCAATGCATAGTGTCTTAGAACTTCATCCATTTACCTGCATGAATGTGTCAGTATAGTGAAAAAGCATCATATAACACTGAAGCCATATTATTAAATGCAAAAAAAAAAAAAAAAAAAAAAAAACTAGCTCATTGCAAACATTTTGTACATTTAATGAATATTGTACAACTTTTCACACAGACATTTCAAAAGGCAATTGTTTTATGAGAGCAGCTCAAGAGGTCAACATCCAAAACAAGACACCACACAAAATATTATTTGTACATTTTTTACAGTTTTAAACACAAATGAAACAATGAACTTCAATGTACTTAAAACAATGCATTCAGATTTGTAAAGTGATTCAGGAAGCTTATGACATCAACTGACTTTATTTATTTATTTATTTTATTTTTTTGTTGGTATATTGATCAAAATATAATGTAGTCAGTCAAAAGTGCTTATTTTAAAGGGGAACAATGAAGTTTTTCAGGTGGAGGGACTGCTACCTGCTTGTCTTCATGGAGATGTTATTACTTTGCCTGTAATGCTCCATGCCACAATAGTATGAAATAAAACTTATTTATCTCCATGGAGACAGACTTACAGGTCAGAGCCATGGAGAGGTAATGCCGCTCACAGTAAGAATAGACGTTGTCAAGGTATTCTTGTAGTAATAAAAACAAGTGTAACAGAATAAAGTTGAATGCCATTTCAATTTCAGGCAAAGTTAATATAAATGCTGCTTTTTAAATGAATTGGCTGAGAATTGTTATTACTCTCAATTAGTTTAAAAAAAAAAAAAAGCAAGATGTCTTGTAAAAAAAAAAAATACTGTAGTCAGTCAGAAATATTAAAACACATAAAATAGATAAGATAAATATTGTGAATTAAAATGAGCTAATATATGACCAAAGAACATACTTATTGTTTGTTACTTAATTGGCAGAGAACCGATTATGTCCAATAAATATTTATGAAATAATTTATAATAGCCTGTGCTGAATGACTTTTAAAAACGTACTGGGTTGCCAGTGCATTAGCCTGCAGATACATACAAGTCTCAGTATATGGACGGGCCATAGCTCATGTGAAAGCTCAGAATCTCCAGAGTTCCCTCACTGAGCTGCAGAGGCTTCATTAGCACTGAGTCATCATTTGCAGGTTCTGGGGTTTAGGTAGTGACCATTCAAATCAGAGAGGCATTTTAGGTTTAAACCAACTGAATTTCAGGATTAAACCTGGCAACCCAAGTAAGTAAGTCTTTATTTATATAGTGCTTTTCACAGACATATGTCACAAAGTGACAAGTGAGTGATTCATGTGAGTTATTCTGCTTTCTGATAGTATAATTATCCTGAAAACCAAAACACAATATATTATAAACAATTTGGCCATCATGTCCAATCTTTTTGTAATTCAAAACAGATCAATATTAGACATGTTTCTATTAAAAACTAGATCTGAAACAGATCTCGTATCTGGGGACACAGCTGGGTCATGGCTGTGGAATATAAAATGCAAATTGTACATATGATTCATTTAAATGAGTAGTGTTGAACATTTTAGTGGAAACGACTGTAAACATTTGAAAAAACTATAGTGTTTTAATGAACATGTGGAACAGATTTTAGAGCTCAGAACGGTAAGGCAAATATAAAAGTATGATTGGTTTTAGTTTGTGAACCAGTTATACAAGTCAGGCCTTATATAATTAAGTCTTAATTCACTTTTATAGCACCACAAGGAACCGCATTTCAAAGCTTCAGGCACTCAAACTTCTCCACATAGGAGAAACAAAACAAAAAGGAGTCGAGCCAATTTAATTTGATCAGAACAAGGATCTCTGGCTGTGCAATTTGTCAAACAAGACACAAAGCTAGTGTGTTCTATGGGTAGATAGCACGTTTACCTCACAGCAAGAAGGTCGCTGGCTCCATTTATTACAATGTGTTGAATGGGTCAGAACAGTGTATGTTAATTAACAAATATCATATACATCCTGTAAACATGACCGATTTCAGCCATGGGGCAAATTCCATCAATTGTCTCACATTCATTCTCATTCGAGTGTGCATGGACAAAGTGTGCAAAGTGTCTTGCTCAAGGACGTAATAACAGTAATAAAGTCACTGCTGCCCTACTGTGACACCTGGGATCTTTTTCCAAGTTTTAATCAGGCCCTGCCCTGCTTATCTTCAGAGTATTTTCACAATGATATGGCTACATGTAGAGGTATATGGATGTGAAAATACTGATATTTTTATATTGAGCTGGTTCCTGTTTCACATTAAAAAAGAATATTGAATAACAAAAAGAATATTGAATAACAAAAACATGACCCGTATACAGTGGCCAACACTGTAACATCAGTTCAGGGACTAGAGACAAAAAACAGTCCTGAAGCTAAATCTAGAACATCTCAAGAAATGTTCATCAGTGTACAGTATAGTACATAATCTTGGATTATTGCATTGACATGGATTTGATTCAGAAAAGAGAGAAATTACAGTGCATGATTTATGTTGGTATGATGGGAGAACTGGTGAAGGGAGAACATACAAACTCCAAATATAAAGTGCGCAGTCTGGGAACTAAACCAAAGACCTTTTGGCTCTAAGGTTAACCAATCACCACCACTGTACCACCAAACTTGGGCTGGTCAAGAATATGTCAATATAAAACCAAGAATCTACCCACAGCCTAGAAGCAAACCCCTCTCCACACATCCCTTACATATGTTAATGATGTAAGGGGGTGTGTTAGTATGAAATATTAGGACTACTGTCATAGCAATTAACAATTCAAAACAAAACAAAACATCTTTTGAATGGTATAAAGTTCTCAAAATGTTGCCAAGATGACTTGTTCTGATTGAAGGCTTAGATTGGCAAGACTGAGACAAACCACTTAATGCAAATATAACACTGTGATATTAAAGACACAGAACACAGAACAGCACAGAGTTCATGCTTACATCAATGCACTGGAGCTTTCACTGGCAATGGGAATTTTCATTGTCATTTTCAACTGTTTAAGAATATGTACCTGAATTAAAATGACTTGAGTTGACAGAATCTTTATTTGGTTTGTTGGTTTGGCCAAGTTTACATTTGAATTTAACTTACTATAATTTAGTTTTCAACCCAATTTGCAGAAACATTTTCTTCAGATAAAAACTCAATTTTCCTAACAGATAAAAAAAAATATATATATAGGAGTTTAAAGGCATGGCTAGGGCTAATCACCTATGGGGTAACTTAATTAGAAGGCAATAATATAAAAAAAAAATAGACCCATTCAAATCTGAGAATACATCAAACTGCATTATAAGCAGGTTATTCAAAATAATTTCAGTTTCAATAAGTTATTTATTATAACCCATAATCCTACATCCAACTTTAAATTATTATGAAATATTTTTTGAAATGGAAGAAATAACATTACTTCCAAGTACCTTCCCACTATTAATAAATATTTTCCCACTAAAATGCATATACCTTCAACTTGCATCACTAGTCAAAGCAACTCACATTCTGAGCTAAAGTCATTTTAATTCATGCACATATTTATTTTAGCTGGTTTTTTGCCATTCTAGAGTCCGCACTGAGACTGCTGCCGGTGCCTTCTCACGCTGCACATCTGGCTGAAGGACTGCCCACATCTGGAGCAGCTGTATGGCTTCTCCTGCGTGTGGACCGTGCGATGCCTCTTTAAGTGACTGGACGAAATAAAACTCTTACCACAAAGCGTGCACCTGTACCTCCTCTCACCTGTGTGAATTAGCAAATGGACTCGTAGATTATTTGGTTGTGCGAATCCTTTACCACAATGCGGACAGGTGTATGGTCGTTCTCCTGAATGAGTACGTTGATGTAACTCTAATGTTGCTGCGCTGGGAAAAACCCTACCGCAAATATTACATGCTGCCGGTTCTTTTGAATTCTTATAAGAGCGCCTCTGATTGGTAGAGGCAGATGTGGGTGTAGCTTGTGGAGGAGTAGGTTGTGTTAACGTGGGGGGGTTCTGAGAGCTTGCTACAACAGCGGAGAGGTCAAAAGTAGCGGCAAACGCAGCCATTTCATGTGCAGAAGATGGGAAAATCATTGTAGGAGGGCCTTCCAAGCTATCTCCACTCGCTTGTGATTGGAAAGAGGCATGGCCAGATTCGGAATTGCCCAGTCCGAGTTGAGCAACGGCGTATGCAGCTCCCAGATGTGTCACGCGCTCTTGCATCCAGGCTAAATCCATCCCCAAATTGTTCAAACGCTCTGGGCTATTTTCCTCAGTTAAATTAGCAGGAAGTTGAGATGCTTGGTCATCCTCTCCATCATCAATGACTTGAATTTCTGGTTTAATAGGGCTTTCTGCAGTCGGAGTAGGTGTGATGCTTGCAGGATTAGCGACAGGTTTGGTTGATTTGCGCTTAGCTCTGGGTCGGCACGTTAGGTCTATGGTAGCATCGGTGGAAGTGGGTACCATTTGAGAAGTGGGGGGAGTGGTGCTATTTTCAGGTGCTGTTTCTTCATTGGATTCCAGAGCTGAAAAAGCAATACTATGATTAAAAAAGACATGTATTGCTTTTGTAGTGTATAATATTAATAGCCTATAGTAAATAATACCTATAATCTATGACCCCCATAAACCACAGTTTGATAGTCTTGTCATCTCATTCATATGTAAAAAATTTAATCTCACCATTGGACTCACCACACTCTGCTCTGATGTTCAGTTCCACTTTCAGATCCAGATTACAGTCCTCTTTATCCATTATTTCTTGTTTTACGGGAAGCTGCCAACCAATGAAAAAATATAACAAAAGGTTAAAATAAATAAATAAATAACCCATAGAATTAGGCATTAGCTAAAAAAGTGCATAAAGTAAGTAACAGGGTCCAAATTCACCAAGTGGAAATTTGTTTTTACAGACACTGTCAAAAACACATGAATACAAACAATTAAGACAAACAGACACGTAATTCCTAATAAAATTACATATGAAGAGTTTCTAGTTTGAATGCTGAAACTCTGAAAAGCACTAATTTCATCACTGCTATTGTATTGGAACTTTAAGTAGGAAATGTTCAACAAGTACTTTCGGTGACCTTTACCCTTCAGGACCATCAATGTAATTAAGATTTTCCACCATAGATTGATAGAGTCCCTACAAGCAGGCAATCTTAACTTTCCATTCACCAGTGTTCTGCAAAAGAGCCATAAGAGCCATTTCCCCAAGTATGAAACTCTTCCCCAAGTATGACAACCCTTCCAAAAAGAAACCAGTAAATTCAGATAAACTTGCCATGAGACAGAAGACACTGCTGTTTGATTTGATTTTCAATCAGCCTTTAATCTATGGATTTACCTTCAAGACCTTACGGATGCTATGCAGAACAGTGTCTCAATCTGCCTCTCTATACTAGAGAATTTCAGTTGAATTGGTAATGTTTCTCAACTTTGAGTGGTGCCCCGAAACTCTTTTTTATTCCAATTCTTTATTTCAGTTATATAAATTCTAACCAATTTTAATACTAGACATACAAGCATATGGTTTTATTTTTCTATCATTATGTCTTCTACTGTAAAGCGCATTGGGCACCATAGGTTGCTGTAAATGTGTTATATAAATAAAGATAAAAGTGAAACAATGTAGAAGAAATCAGAAATCAGTTTAATACCATGCTGGGACATTTTGGATTAGCATCATAATTATTTTAATTCATAAGCAATAGGAAATTCTTAAGTCACAGTTTTAACATTTCCATGGAGATAAGCAGGTGGCAGACCTTCCACCAGAAAAGTTACAAAATGCACCTTTAACATATTAAAAATTTTAAAGGAGTTTAAAATACAGTCAGCTATATAACTTTCTGGAGGTAGCACATCACTTGAATGATTCCATGGAAATAGAAAGTTAAAACCATCCTTTGGAACATTCCCAATGAAGTTGGATCATCTTTATTTCAGATTGTTGAATATTATAGCCAATGGAATAACATTTCCATGGAATAAAGCAGATGAAGCCAAATAAGATTCAGGTTTGTGGAGATGCAAGCCCACTCAGAGTAAGGAGTAAAAAGTTACAGACTGTATCTTAAAATATTTACCACTGAACTGTGTTGAATCTGTGTTGATTTGTCCTCTTCTCCAAGAGTAACAGGTACAATCAAGCCTTCAGACACTAAAAATGGAACATATTATATTTTGGTCAGATCATACAACATTACATTGATTTCAGGCTTACTTTATCAGCAAGCATTTTAAGCACTGATTAATATACAAATGATCTGATGCAAATAAGATTGTAGCGCATAGGGATAAAAATCAGTCAGATATAACTTGTTGCAAAAGTAGGGATAGCATATTACATTGTTATGACAGTTTCTAAAACATCCAGAAGGATACAGTGCATCACAATTAATAATGAACTTCATATTTGGCTAGATCCGGGATTAGCAAAGCCTAGACTAGTGATGCTAAATAATTACAGTGTACTTCTGATATCAGACTACGCCCACCTGGCCTACATTAATGCATACTAACGTTGTGCTAATCTGTGATTGAGATCTCATTGGAAATGACTGTTTTCGCCCAGAAATTCAAATGCAATAGACGCAAAAGCATCGAATTTAGCATCAGGCTTATAGGACTCTAAATATCATTTTACCTTCTTGTGGCATCAAATGAACAGCGTGCATGCTTGCTTCTTCTCGCTGGTTGTTGCTCCGTCTCTTCATCTTGCGCTCGTAGCTGCGCACTTTCGCGTCCATTTGGCGCAGTTTTTGCCGCAGAGCATCGTTCTCCTTCTCACTTTCCTCCCGCTCCTGCTCCATCTGGGACCGGAGCGCTGCATATCCGTCCTCCACCAGCTTACATATCTCGGCCACGGCAGAATTAGCCAAAATCTCCACGATGGATGCGATCTGAGCCTGGAAACCAACACAGTCCGCCGCCATCATAGCCCCTTTCGAGCTAGTTTTTTGTTTTTGCGCGCTGATTATGCACACAGCGGGTGGTTGGGGCAACGTTACCCGCAGAAGAGAGCTTAGATTGCTGACATAGGGGATGCAAAAGTCTGGGATTGTGCGTAAACTCGCTGTCAGTGCGTTTTGTTGTAGATAGAAATCGGAGCAGATATGTCTGCAAAAGATGGTGTGAGTGTCGCCCGGTGATGACGTCAGCGTGTTGATCAGCATCACTTCACTATGGATCTAGTCAAACAATTCACTTCACAGCAAAGGATGAGTCATAAAAGAAAAAAGAAAAACAATAAAGGATGAGAACAATCTATATTTTTTATAATTTAAAGTATTTATTGACAGTGTTTAAACCATAAACCAATACAGCAATACATTAAATTTACATAGTCTATGATTAAAGAAAAGGTTTAGATTGGGAATCCCTAACTTTGAATCCAAATATTTTAGGTCATGCAACTAACCTGGGACCCAAAAATAATAACGCCAGTGTGAAATCAAGTTTAATATAGATTATTTTAATATTGAATAGTGTGTATTATGACCTAATTCAACCAAATTCTAGTTTTCAATTTAACCATTGTGGCATTGTGCTGTGGGGACTACAGTGTAGGTCTATGAAGAAATATTCAGTAGTTACCAATGCACACATTGCAACACAGTCTGATAAGTTTTTAGACTGTCTGAAAAGTTAAGAAACATGCATTTAAACATATTTTTGGTATTCAAGGTCACATTTAGGTGTTTGATTTTCATCAGACCATAAAACTCTGCTTTAGCTGGGTTTTATGGTCTGATAGTGTAAAAACAAAGCTCAGTTGAATGTCTAAGTTTTGCAGCTGATGTCATCATGTCTTCATTCCCTGGGAATGTGTGGTTGTCAATGACACTAATACATTTTGACAAAGACATATGTGTAAGGTACCATGATAATTCTCCTTGTCTATAAGCCACAACCTCCTTACTAAGAGACAGGATAACCACTCTGCTCCGTACATAACTATCTCTATACCTTTGTATGTACTGCCTGGTGTCTTATTAGATTACTGTGAAATGCATAAGTCTTTCCACAGGTTTCACATTTAAACTTTCTCTCTCCAGTGTGAACACTTTGATGAACTTTAAGGTTATTAAAAGTTGTGAATTTCTTCCCACAATGAGCACATGGGTAGGGTCTTTCACCTGTATGCACCAATTTATGCCTCTTCAAATGACAAAAACTGACAAAAATCTTTCCACATTGATCGCACTGGTAGGGTTTTTTCGCTCGGTGAACACTTTCGTGCCACATAAGTTCCTTTTTTTGAGCGAACTGGTGCGGACAAAATGAACACAAATGAGGCAGAGCTGGAGATTCTTTAGATATAGGGCCCATTATTTGACGATTCTGAATGCTAGCTGGTGGCATAGACAGTGAGCTTGCATTTTGGTTAACATTGAATGCTAAAACCTCTCCAATTTCTTCAGTGTGGTTTTCTTTGGGCAAAACAACAGGTAGATAATCCTCATGCCTCAAATCAGAGTTTGGAATGAGGTTAGCAGATGGATAACCTTCTTGGGAATTAGAGGAGGTAGTTGAATGTTGTCTTGATGAAATGTTTTTATTTTGGGCGGTAGAATTTAGGAGTTGTTTAGACTTTGCATTATTATTTTGCCACTTTGGTGTGGGGATGGGATAAAGATGTGGTTCTCCATTAGACGGAGAAGTCTTCTTGTCATCTGAGAAAGAGGAAAAAATAAACTTTTATTAAAATGTATGATATAAATTATATTTTCAGATTATTATTTGTTTATATTGTGATTTAAAGATTTTATATTTTCTGGTGTTCCTCTGGAGAGGTTATTGCTTTCTCTACAATATTCCAGAGCATTTAACTTGTCCATCTCCATAGAGACAAGCAGGTGACAACTGTGGAGAGGCCAGCCCTACATGTTTTTCTAAGCAGTATGAACATATGTCATTGAATAAATGCAAGCCATATAAGTAACATGCCATACTGTGGAAGAATCCAAGCAACATAATAACTCCATCAATGTGCCCCTCCACAGGAAAAATTACATAGTGTACCTTTAATGGGCACTGAGTTTCTTTGAATTAATTTATGCATACCATATGCTCTAAAGATCATCTTTGTAAGGCAAGGCTGGGACTGCAATATTAATCACATTATTTAGGAAATATGCTGAAAACCCTGTACTTTAGACCTCCACAAACATGTTGTGAAGTGCATGGGATTCTTGTATTAGTTTACAAGTTTACATTTCAGTTAAATGTTCGGTAAATTAATAAACATAGATACCTCCACGTTTCACCACCTGCTCCTCAGACTTCCAAATCCTGCTTGAATTTTCCTGAGATTCTTGGCTCTGAAAAAATAAAGCATTTCATTTTCAACAATAAACCTCCATGACCAAAATGACATCACGAATGATTTTAGAAAGAGGGCAGAGGCTTATACAACTCTATAGATGTTTACTGATTTTCAATGAAATAACCAAACTAAAAATCTAGTAAAAATTGGCAATAAAATCCTAATTATGTTAACTTTAGTGAAATGAGTCTAACTTGTCATATGTATTAATATGTATTCATATGTATTCTGTAGCAAAGCAATAAATAAATACTACATGAAAACATGACAAACGTGACCAACAAAATGTAGCACTACTTTATTATTAATCCCATGCCAAAACACAAACGGAACCTGAGTCTGTAATGTAAGCAAATGGCACACTTGCTGCAAAAAGAGCAGATGAAAATATAAATAACATGAACAGTGAAATCTTTCACTAGAAATGTGTGTGGTTCCGTGTACAGTTTATTCACATTCAAACCTTAACCAGCTTTAGAAATACTAACAAATCATCATCATGATGAAACCAAAAAAGGTGAGAAATCTTAAATGTGATTAAGAATTGGTTAAAATGCTCACAGAGAGCAGTAAAAAGTATAAGGTGTGGGTTATGTCACTAGGGATACAAGGATGTAACAACTGACAAATAAATCACTCAAGTACATTTTACAGCACAGTGTCAGTTTGATGATAAGATAGAAATAATGGAAAACTAGTACTGTTTCCTGATAATTTAGAGACTTCATACTGGGTTGGGCTTCAATCATATGACCATGAAATAAACTAGACTGAGTGGCAGATGTGCCCTGGCCATTTCCATCAGTAATTATTACTTTGGAAAGTCTAAAGTAATACTGTACAGTAATTTCAATATTAATGTTAAGGTACACTTTATTGTCCCAGTAGGGGAATTTGTCCTTCACATTTGACCTATAATTCAATGCCGATGAGGCAACCATTCAGTAGTGCTGCATCTGGGGACCCATCGCCATGATATTGTTGCTAGTCTTGGTAAGGTCTAAATTAGCTGTGCAATGTTATTTTACTACTGTCATTACTGTGCTATAACACCCCAACCTTTTTTCTTTCAGTGACCAGACATACAAAACATGAAAAAGATTTTTTTTTTCCAGTACCAATATTTGTCACCCAATTTTTTGGGTAACAAATATACTAGTACCCAGCTCTTTTCAGTATATGGTATAAGGAAAAATAAAATAAAGACGTTCTATAATAGTAATCATTATAAAGACCTTGTAGAGGCAATTAACATTCCAACCATTTATTTAAAATTCAAATAGTCATTAGTAATTTAATGTAATTTTTAGAAACCTTTGTAGAAATGCAGGCTGTACAGAACCAAACCTGGACTTGACCATGACTAAACCAAACTAGAACACAACTAAACCAAGTTTTTCAGGATTCAACAGGTTTAAATCATTACCAAACCAGTGTAACTGCAGCCTAAATTAGATGTCAATCTGTGTATCATCTGTTCATTAATTTTTCAAAATAAAATCAAAAACAAGAAAATGAAAAAACAACAATTTTTTTCAACAAACAAAATGAAAAAAAATTGATAAAATTTTTTTTTTTTTCAGTTTTCAATTTTGTGTTTAAATAAATAATGGAAAAAACAGATAATGGCCAGTTCCTGTTTCATCCAATTTTGACCCTTAAGTGTTCAAGAGCCCTCATCACTTCACAGGCATTATTTATTGAGCACAAGAAACATCGATCGCAATGCCGGACTTTTGCACCTCATACGGACTGAACCCAGGACTGATCCCAGGACTGATCCCAGGACTGATCCCAGGACTGATCCCAGGACTGATCCCAGGACTGATCCCAGGACTGATCCCAGGACTGAACCAGGAGGATTGAACCAGGCCAGGCCCGGAGGTGCACCCGCGTAGACCATCGGGTGACCGCAGGCGGAAAGACCAGCACAGAGCTCCGCGTCCCACAGGGCTAAGGGCAGCTGTCATCCAGTCGCACTTTGCAGACACCGAATGAACAAATGATACATGGATTGATATCCCTCCTCTACGATGAAACACAACAAATGCTCTTTTTAACTACTTCCACTTTGATTAGATTGACCTTGCAGATGTATTCTCTTCATGTGCCGCTGCAGATTACTGGGATGTGAAAACCAGCTGTTGCACATAGAGCAGCTGAATGGCCTTGCTCCTGTGTGGACGTTTTTGTGGATTTCCAGTTGACTTCTACAGACGAATCCTTTTCCACACAGTCCACAGGTGAACTTTTGCCTCGAATGGTTGTTTAGGTGATTGGTCAATTCCAGCTCAAGGAAAAACTTTTTTGGACATTTTGAACATGCAAACGGTTTGATCCGAAGTCTGTCTTGAGAAGGCGTTGGTCCGCTTAAGTTGTTTTGGCTTGAATTCTTGATGTTTTGATTACAATTTGATTGTAATAAAGTATTTGATTCTAAGTTTGGCGTCTGCTGGTCAGTTGTAGAACTGAAAGATGTTGTAACGTTGCAAAATGTTCCAACCGTTTCATTTGTAGAAGTGGTAGACAAATTGGACATTTTGGTAGTTTTTATGTCATATATTTTTGTTTTATGACAATGAGAAAGAGGGATATTCCTGTGTGAATTCTTGGTGAGGTTTTGTGATCCACTGACCTCTGTTTGGCTGCTGGACTGGGCCTGTTGCTCAGATGTTTCGTCCAAAGAGGTGGAACTGTTCTTATTGTTATTGGTGTCTTCTGTTATTGGTGAAGCGCTGCCCTCAACCTTGACAATGATTAGATCGCTGTTCTCTTCTGGCTCTGCGAGCTGAACAAAGATAATTAGAGAGAAAATGCCATTAAAAGCAAAGAAGCAATCTTGAAACTAAACGCTTGCATAGAAAAGTGAGACAAAATATTGATACTCCAATTTATTGTGAAGCCTTATCTGATGGTACAGTATAATTCATAAAACTAAGTCATGTTGCTTGCTTGTTTGGAAAATGTAGGCATATTTATGTAATACTGCACACGTATTACAGGAATTAATGTCTTTTTCTTTTTGTTTTCCATACAGAGACAATACACAAAAACATTAACCTTAGTAAAGGTTTTAGCAAAAGTTCTCCCTCCCATACATACAGAAACACTGCTTTGAATGTGTAAAATATAAAGGCTTAGGTGTCCAAAAGTAGCTAAAATTTGCTTAAAATTAGAATAATACATCTGCATTAGCTAGCATTTAGTAATTAATACTGTACTTATATACATATACAAAAGAATTAAAACAAAAAGTGAAAATTGCATCATTTAAAAAATACTGCATGACGTTATGAATGATCGTCCTCCAATCTATTAATTAAGAACCAGTGTTTCTGTTTATACCTCTATTTTGGAACTGGTGACAACTTCCTGATTTGGGTCCTGGTCTAGATCTGTGGAAGGAGACTTTTGCTGAGGTCTGTTTAAAAACCTGGGCCTGTTCAGGAGACTGGGACCTGGAGGAAAACCACAAAGGGGAACTATATATTAGTCTGGATAACATGGCAATTGATATTAATTTTGAAAAATTAAAGAAAATAAACTGCAAGTCTTTAATCGTTTAGTAGATTATTTGGTATAAAAAAATGTGCATGCATGGACTGAAATACATGGAGTTTTGGGACTGTACTGAGAACTTATTCGATTTAATTTTACAAACAAATGGACAAAGAAAAAAAGACAGAAAGACAGAAAGAAAGGTTGGTAGGTGTCCATCAAATGAAAATACTAAGCAGAATTAATTATGATCCTCGATAATACTATTTAGCATTTCACAAGATTTACGTCCATTTTACTCGTACCAGGCGGAGTGTCCCTGCCGTGGCGGTGCTGCAGGAGCCTGACGCCGGGGAAGAGTCGCCCTGCCCCAGACCCGTCTGGAGCCTTCAGCCGCTGCTCCGCTCGGTACCGGGACACTTGGAGCTCCAGCAATTTGACCCTCCGCCGCAGACACTCGTTTTCCTTCAGGCTCCGGGTCATTTCCAGGTTAACCACGGCGTATCCGTCCTCTACTGCTTTACAGATCTCAGCCACCGCGGCATTTGCGAGGACCTCCATGACAGAGGCGATCTGCGAGTGCAAATCTGCCACCGCAGGCATTGCGAACGACGAAAACCTGGACTTTTTTTTTAACTTTAAAGTGATCACTATACGCGAGAAAAAAAGCTGTTACAATTATGCGATGATCAGGTTACATTAGCCGTTTGTAGCATAAAAAAGAAGAGAAAACTTTACGGACTTGGCACTTAGTTGTTGTTTCTGAAAGCGGAAGTGGGGATTTCTTCTTCTGTGGATTTTAACGGCGATTCACATCCAAAAAGTTTTATTATCGCCATCTAGTGCCACAAACAAAAAACACTTTCTGTATCCTCACATATAATATTACATAGTATTGTAGTGTAGTTTCCAGTACAAGAAAAATTAAAGATAGACTTCCTTCCAGATCTACTGCAACCCCATTCCAAAACAATTTTATAAATTAATTTAACCCTTGTTGTTCATGTATATGATGAAACAGTCTCTCGCTGTCTTTTGAGTAGCTTTCACAGTCTCCAGTCTCTAAGTGAATTATCACAATGTCCAGTGTGATGTATGCCCATTTTGTGCAGAATGCTGTTCTCAGTCTATATAAAATAATTTGCTCCCTTCTTCCCCCTCCATAGTGTCTAAAACAGCTGTTGAAGGGAGTGAAGATTTCTCCTTTTGCTTTTCTTGGTCTCACTCTTGGTTCCATATTTTATATATGTTTTCACAAATCACGCTTTTCCCCCTAGAAATTACTAACTGAATAACACTGTGTACAGAATATATTTCTAGTGTCCTTTTGACCTTTTGGAGGGTAAATTTAAACAACGCTTCCTCTGCTATCTGGGGAATGCATCACACAATTGATATATTACAAGAGCCTTATTATGAATTCAATCAATTGAATCATTAAATATGCAATTTCTTCATCTTCATCATCTAAATTTCCATTACAAGAAATATATTGTAACGAAAATTTAAATTGTGAAAAAAACTTATTAGATGCCTTTGTGTACATTTTCAGTCATTAACATGTGTAAAGACTCAGCAGACACTATCTCCAAGCTCCAGGATGTTCTTTGTCCTCAAGGGTAAAAACCAATAACTCATGGCTGTGAAACAAAAGTTACTGTGCTTTGATATATATGTATAAATACTCAGACTACTACTACTACCACAAAAATTTCTATTGTATTACTGTGAGCAAGGTCATCTCTCTATGGATCTGACGACTAACTTGGCCTAGTTGTGCCATCTTGTCTCCATGGAGCTAGATAACTGCTACTTCTAAGTTACATTGTACAACTTTAAGCATTTTCTATTAATTATATTTACAAATATATTTTGATATTATCGTGGTTATCTGGTTTATTATGTTTGCACAGGTAAACAAACTGCCTTACTACTGACTACTGACAGCAGAAAGCCCAGCAATGAGACCAGCAATTGATGTATTTATTTACTGAATCCCATTAGCCTTTACAAAGGTAAAGACTATTTTTCCTGGGGTCCATAGCAGCAGATTAACAACACTATACTGTCTGAGGTCCAAGCCCTTCCTGAAGTACAATTTGCATTTAGGTCAGTCTGGCTGGCCATTTGGCCCTTAGAGAGGTAACCCCTTCACATTCGCATTTGAGTACAGGCAAGGACGGTTAAACAACAGATATGTTAAATAAAACAGCAGACATGTAATTCAAAAAACAGTAACACAAAGGTACCAATAGCCACACTGTGGCTGTGAGACTGGAGGATTAGGCAAAGAATTGTGTGGCTTTTAACACTTCTTACAGTGCATCTTGGACAATAGAAAAACAATACACAAAAAATTATTACGCAAAATTGATTTTACGTATGATTCAAAAATGTCAAGAAAAACTCTGATTATGAAAGAATTAATAACTTAATTTATTTGTTACTTTAAGAAAATACATTTCACAATCTTCAAACTCAATCTCTGAGCAGCAGCCTGCAGGTATCTGATCCTGATCCACAGAACATATGTGACTAAGGGCCAGCTCTGATCTGCTAAAGAGTTAGGGACAACAAGCTTCAGTGGAAACAGACAATAGTCCAGTGATGTAAGCGTCAAACCAGTGAAGTCACACCTACACAAAGAGGAAAGTATGAATTTACAAATACTCTTTTTCAAGCATTAATAAATTTGTTTTCATTGACAAAAAGACAAAAATTAGATTAGGATTAGATTAGACTGGATTAGATCTAGCCAGATAACATTTACCTATTTTGATTCCATTTGTAGGTAATCTTGCAGCTTTACTCACCGTGAGAGAACTTGCACTGTTTGAGCGCCTCGCTGAAACCTTCACACAGACTCAGGTCACTCTGAGTCGTGGCACAGTCCAAAAACTGCTTCACCTCAAAGTGACAGGGCCCAGGCTGAGCAGGAGCTGCCCGTGGTGGCTCCTACAAGAGACAATGCAAATATATGGTCACTTCTGCCAGTTTTCCCAAATGATTACATTTTACTTTGCCGTGAAATATCCAAAAGATAAATCCACAAATGCTGAACCTTATCATTTCTATTATTGATGAGACCAATAGCTCAATAGTTTAACCATATTCATTTTAGCTGCTTCCATCAATATTGAATATTACTGGCCTATAGAATGTTGTAATGTCATCTGAAATCCAACAATAGGCTACTGTTTCTGACAATAGTTAGTAGAGAAGAAAAACATTTCTTATCTGTCTTAACTTTAATTGTTTGCAGTCAGGGTGTTGCATACCATCTTAAGAATTTTAACAAATATGTCTCTAGGTTTAGGTTTGAATCTTCCTTCCAATTTTCCTTTGGAGTGAGAACAATCAACAGATGTTGGTGCAAACATTAATGCTAAATTGACAATAACAAAACTGGGAAACAAGAAACGAATGATCATAATATACTTTTATATTTAAAACATTTCCAAGACATTTGAAAGGTTAATTTTAAAATCTACTGGTATTTTTTTCCCCCAAAAACATTCAGCCCTATTGTACGCACCTTTAATCACTTTAGTCTGGACCCTCCACTGGCACACAAACATATCAAACTGAATAAGTTTCACTTTTGACATACAGTTGCAATCAAAATTATTCAACCCCAACTGCAAATTAAGTTTATTGGTAAAATGTAATGAACTCCAAATTCAACACAAAATGCTACTTTTAATGACTACTGCAGTCTCAAAATAATTCAATCCCTTCATGACAAGCATCTGTAGTACACTTTTGCTGTTATGACCTGCTGCAAACGTGATGCATAGCCAGACACCAGCTTCTGCTAGCGTTCCTGAGAAATCTTAGCCCATTCCTCATGGGCAAAGGCCTCCAGTTCACTAATATTCTTGGGTTTGCGTGCTCCAATCGCCTTTTTCAAATCCCACCAGAGATATTTAATGGGGTTCAAGTTAGGCGACTGTGATCACTCCACTCTAGTGTCTGCCAGGACTTCTTTTGAAAGCAGGCCTTAGTGGACTTTGAGGTATGCTTGGGATCATTGTCCTGTTGAAAGGTCCAATGACGCCCAACCTTCAGTTTCCTCACAAATGCCATGATATTTTCTCCCAGGATTTCCTGATGCATGATTGAATCCATAAAGTCATGCTTCACTGAAGGCAGGGTGTTCTTTTCATTCTTCCTCCTCCAGACATACCACTGATCCACAGAACGAAAAAATTCCAATTTTGTTTCATCACTCCACGGAACAGAATCCCAACCCTCTTTGCCTTATTTATATAGTTTTCAGCATACTGGAGCTGACTTTTCTTGCGCCTTTGGGTTAGTAGTGGTATATGTCTTCAGAGTTCGGGCATGGAACCCTTGTTTGTTTAATGTTTAGTGTCAACCTTACTGAAACTGAAACCTCCATGCCTGCTGCCACCAAGTCTTGCTGCAGGTCTTTTGCAGTCAGTCGAACGTTTCTTACCATCTGCCTCCTTAGGACTCTGATGGCAGCCATTGATAGTTTCCTCTTTCTGCTACATCCAGGTAGTGTAGCTGTTCCTTTATCTTTATAATTTCAAACTATGCTTCCAACTGTAACATTCAGTGCCTTTGCTATATTTTTGTATCCTTTTCCTTGTTTGTACAGGGCAATGATCTCTTCTCTGAACTTTTTGGACAATTCTGTTGACTTAGCCATATTTCTAACATGCAGTGAAATGTCACCATCAACAGTAAAGATATTTGAGGGGTTCTATGTCAAGCACACCTGATGCAACTAATGAAGCCCTTGACTGGTTGCAAGTGGTGGGCTTGAGACCACCCGAACTCCGAAGACATACACTACGACTGACCCAAAGGCCAAAGTGTCCTCTTATGAGGAATTCAGGGGGTTGAATAATTTTGAAACTGCAGTAGTCATTAAAAGTAGCATTTTGTGTTGAAGTTGGCGAAACAACTTGTTATATTAGTTGTGTTGAGCTATTTAAACAGTTCTTGTTCACTTTCTTTTTCGTAAACAGCTGCTAGTTTGAACATTTTACCAATAAACCGAATTTGTAGTGGGGGTTGAATAATTTTGATTGCAACTATGGGTGTTGCTCATTGACTCTGGGTTATACCTGGTATGTTGGTCGGGATGGCTCTGGGCTGCTGCTGCTGCTGCTGCTGCCTCCACTGAAGGCTCCAGTGATGGCACTCCCCATCACATGCCCCACAGCCGACCCCACTGCCACTCCAGCTGCGGTAGTCGCCATCTGGGCCATAAGTCCTGGGCCCTGAGACGGAGCTGGAGCTGGTGCCAAAGAGGAGGCTGGGGGGTGAGATGGAGCGGGTGGGTGGTAAGATGGAGGAGGGCTGAGAGAGGGAGGAGAGGTTAGGTATAGATAAATAAAGTTTTATAGATAAAGAACTAATTATACTAACAGCTTTTTTGATACAGGAAAACCTCATTTGAAAGAATATATTACTTACACAAAGTAAACAGAGCTGTTGACAGGGTTTATACCATATATTTGGGGTTAGTGCCACAAAGGCAAAAAAGCAAATTTTATATAGATAATAACAGATTTTTGATGTGGTATATTAGGCTTACATGGCTAGTCTGATTACTTAGTAACAGCTGATATTTAGTGTGTGCAGTGGAACAGATAGTTAATGAACAGTACAGGTTTTAAGTGTTTAATATGAGAATTACCCTTATATGAGCTGGCACTTGCAAGTGTTATAGAAGCAATATTCCCACTTCTATATACACATAATGAATCATGGCCAAAAAAAACTGTGTATTGCAATGTAAAGAAAAGAGAATAAACAATTCCATTTTGACACTTGACCTTGCAAAGCCCCATCAATTATTTATGACGCAACTACTGGTCATCTGAGTTTTGGGTTAAAATATAGTTTTACTGTGAGGAAAATACATATGTGTCAACAGACCTCAGCGTCTTTAAAAGAGAGCATATTTTCCCTTCAACAGGATTAGAGGCTTATAGTTGCAATGTTATACCAATGTTACTTGTTTCAACTTAACTACTAGCACCCACGTTATTAGAATAACCTTACCTGGCAGGAGCAGGTGCAGAAGGACGGCTACGGCTGCCTCTTGCCATGTTCAAATCGGTCACAAATTATGCAAAAAAACCCAAAGTTGATAAAAACGCGTAGAAAATGTCCGTGGAGTTCTCTAGAAAGTGCTTCTTAAGTAGACACGACTCACATGTGTAACTGACCTTGTAATGTGGCTCATCAACAAATATCGCGAGGCTATGGCTGTAAAATGTAGCTTTGGAGTACGAAATATCGCGTGACGTTGGTACTAACATTAATGTTAACTTGACGATAACATACAGCGAAAATTTGGCAATGGCCGTAAAACTAACCAAAACAGAACAAACAACAACGGACCTATCATAATTACAGTTTATCTCACAATAAACTTATTTAAAACGCTTCCAAGATATTACGTTTTAAAACCTTTTTCCGGTAATAGTTTCAAAATAATAAAACAATTAAAGAACCATATTTTACTCAAAACGGCAGAAGGTAATTGTGTATTATTAACATTTATGTAGTAACTGTAAGTATTACATTTTGTAGACGTTACATTAGTAAAAAGTGGCAGTTTTGTTGACTTTGTTGGAGAAGTCTAAAGGTTTAAGGAGAAATTTTAAACCGGAAATAGTTTTCACATGTTTTCCATAGTCTCGCTGTGCGGTACCGCTATATAAACGCCGACCGCAAAAAGAACATACATTCTTGGAAATTTTTTTCGCCATGCCTTTCCTCGACCTCCAGAGCAACCTGCCTGCGTGCAGCTTTTCCGAGGATTTTTTAAAGAAGTTTGTGTCGGTGACTGCGGCCGCTTTGGAGAAACCAGAAGACGTAAGACAAATTAAAGGGTTTTATTTGTGATACCTTTTAAGCAATGCTGAAAGTGCCATTGTGCCAGGGGCCAAATTCTTTTTCTTGTTAATATTACGTAAGTGCAAATGTTCACGCTACTACTACCTTGTTACCACGTTATTATTTGTCAAAATTGTTCTCCAATGAATGAGATATTCTACAAAGTCAGATTTTTTTGTTTCAGTACTTACTCGATCGGATTTGTTCATATGTTCACTATGTCATACTCGTTATACTCCCAGATGGGGGGCAAGATCCAGTTTACATTGATTACATTGTACTTTGCCATGAAATATCCAAAAGATAAATCCACAAATGCTGAACCTTATCATTACTATTATTGATTAGACCCAACAACCCAGTATGTTATAAAATAAATCTGCATTTATTTAACCACATTCATTTTAGCTGCTCCCATTTATAGAATAAAAAACATATAGAATATTGTGATGCCATCTGAAGTCCAAAAATAGGCTACTGTTTCTGATAGACACTGGTTAGTAGAGAGAAGAAAAAATAATTCTTTCCTGCCTTAACTTAAAGTATTTGCAGTCAGGGTGTTGCATACCTTGTTAAGAATTTTAACAAACATTTCTCAGGTTTGACCCGGTCCCACTTTTCAAGCATATTCCTGTATAACTTGCTTTCTCAGTATTATTCATTCTCCTCTTGAGTCCCTTACCCGGAGGTAAGATCCTTCTGTAGCTACTGCTGTCCTGGGGCTAGTGGAGAGAGGCATGACTGCCAAGAGCTTCAACGACAGGGCTATTCAACTTTGGAGGGCCATGGCCACATTACTGCTGATAACATTATAATGCCAAATTGCCAAACCATCACCGATAAGACTACAAGGAAGATAAAACCGTGAGGAGGTCTTGGTTTGGTTCTTAGGCAGCAAGTTGAATAGGTCTGCTCTACAACCACAAACATGGTGTTTATTCTTTTATTCAGATCCCCATTAGCTGTCTTTTTTCCTGGGGTAATCTAAAAATTACCATTTCATAATTTATGTAAATGGTAATTATATGTAAATAGAACCTAATCTTACAGTCATTTATTGTTTGTCAAAAATGATGACCGTGAAGACATTGAACTTTATGCCAGTTTTTGTTTCATGTGGATAGGGTCAGTAATTACATTGATATTAATTATAAACCAGGTCAACAAATCTGCAGTCTGACAGTTAAATAGCAAATTCCAAATTTTGACGTGCACTCCAGCTCAGTTATAAACTATACAGATTCTAAAATGTGATTTCACATGAACACAATCTCATCTGCCTCTCAGCGTATGCATGTGGTGGTGCATCCTGGTCTCCCCCTGATGATAAAGGGATCCTGCGCACCTGGCATCATCCTCTCTGTGTCGGCCATTGGAGCCACAGACTCTGCAGAGAAGAACGCAAAACACAGCGCCAAGATCTTCAACTTCCTCACCAGCGAACTCAACCTCTCTGAAGACAGGTGAACTTTCAAAAAATTCAATCAGTGCCAATTATACAATACAGAATATAGGTTAACAGCAAGGATGTCACTGTTACAATTAATGTGAGAAGAAACATGATGTTACAGTTATTTACAATTACTAGCGTCATCAGTATTTTTTGCTATTATTACTCCCTTTAGTGGGATTTCACCTGTGGTAAATATTTATCATAGTTTCACATTTTGTGAAGAAGAAAGTTGAAACAAAGAAGGCAAAAAAATAAATGAAGTAAAAAGGAATCTTCTATCTGATCAATACACAAAAATGAATAAAAAGTCAGGGACATTTTACATACAATTAGGCATGGTACAATATTGAAATTTGGTGTCTCAGTTATCGTGGGTAAAATAATTGCAATTATCAGTTATATCACAATAATTATTAAAATTCTGGTGATAAAATGGCAATTATCTCAATTACATAAAATGTCCCATGAATGATTATTGCCTACTTTTTCATTACAATAAACAATATTATTGTTTATGAACAATGAACACAATGAACATATTTTTTTGACACTTTGCATATTATACATACATACATACAAATTATATTTCAGAAAATAAAGGCAGTGCTGTGTATTTATTTTGTCACATCTATAAACGTCAAAATTTTCAAACTAGGAATACCTCAGACCTAGGTACAATTTGCAAAAATTTTAACTATAATTGCATTAACTACTATCTAATCTGTCATATACAGTTTAATGTGACATAAAAGCCCTGAAAAAACACTTTACATCTTAGTATTTCATAGGTCTAGGTGATTATATTGTGACCACCAGACTAATCACAATTATCGATTAACCAAATAATCTTTACATCCCTAGTCCAAATTAGCTAAAATTTATATTTCTGATTCGCAAATGCAAAATTCTAACTTATTTTTTATTTTTATTCTGTTTTCTCCACTTTTATTTTTCAGGATTGGGATCATATTCAACGCTCTACAGCTTCATCAAGTGGGCAAGAAGGGAACTGTCATGAGCTTCTTATAAACATAACATTTCAAATGAGTGAATATTTAGACAGTACACATTGTTCTCGGGATAGCCACCTTAGTTTGTTAGTGCAACTTAGTTTCAGATTGGTCAAAGCCAAGGATATTTTTTTAATATTTGCACAAAATTCACAAATGGTTAACTTACCCCATTTGATAGAAGGGTGTAGGCCAGTGTAAAATTCAGTGAATGAGTGAATTCTGGAGGTTTTGAGCTCTCACACGAGCCATGGCCTGTCTATATACTGAGAATGAGAAAAACTTGCATGTTTCCTTTATATGCAGGGTAAGGCACTGACGACCTAGGTTCAGTTATGACTCTTTTTAATCCAGTAATAGAGCTACACATAAGTGCTTTGTTTTTTGCAGTTGGAAAAAAAAAATTCAGTGCAACCCACATGAAGTATATCTTTATTGTAAACACAATCCATTTGTTTTGTAATAACACAGGAAGGATTCCGGGCACATTTATTGCAGTTATCTTTTAAAGTGCAAATGACAGGTTTCATGTTTTTCAAATTATTTCTTGGTAGGGCTACAAAAATACAAGAGTTGAGTTTTGAAACAGAATACTTCTAGCCTACCTATCCTGTAATTATGATGTAGTTTCATGTAATTATGGTCTTACTATTTGACTTCTCTAATTAGGATTTTGGATAATATAACATTATCGATTCATAACTTTATCTGGTTACTGCACATGACGGAGTTGCCTGAATTACTGCACTTTTATCATCTTATTGGAATAAAGCACAGGGAAATACAGACGGTTCTTCAAGAAGATGGCTTTAAATTATAACATGAGCTTGTCAACTTTGTAAAGTCACCTTAGGGATGGGTTCACATTTGCACAACTGAACCGCTTTGGACTTTGGCACAGCCAGAAGAGGTGGGCCAAAGCACTGCAGGGTTGCTTGTGCACACTGCTGTTTCAGGAGACGTACCTATGAAAAACCCAGGGCCAAATTTCTTATCGCTTCTAGACTCTTGCGACAAACTGATGCCATATGGAATATCACTGGTTGGTAGACAGATTCTCACTAAAATGATAAAACTCACCAAAATTTAAAAAAAACAGTGGGTTGGTTAAATCGGTAGTCTAACTTGTCATATGCACTTTAAGCACATTCTCACATTTCAGTTGATGATACAGTGCAATAAACATTGCCTGGTAAATCCAGAATGATATCTCTGTATTTTTTATACAGAGGATAAAGTATTGAAGAAGTGTGTATTCTGGTTCCCAGGCAACAAAAAGCAAGTACATACCTCAATGTTTAGGTTTTTTGATGGACACTATTCTATTGTTACATTACTGTGATTTTCAGTTTGAATCTCAAATGTTCAAAAGTATCTTGAGCTGAGACAATAAGTAAATTATTAAAATGGGTTTTTATCATCTATTTTTTAAAATGAAGGTACTGTTAATGTGTAATATAGCTAAAATTATTCTCTGTAAATCTGTGACAATCCAATATCCAATGAAACATTCATTCCACTTTTACACTGTCCTTCATTCATTCTGGTTTTCTTTACCTTTGCAGAAAATTAATTTTTTTTTGTGAGAAAAATAAATAAATGAAGTTATAAAAAGATTGGCTGAGTCAACTTGAATACTATTGCCTACCATTATTTTCGATGTGTAAAAGTCATTGTAGTACAGCATCCACAGCATTAATTTAGGCTGAGGCTGAGAGAGCTGCTCTGTTTGAAGAAGCAAGGATGCTAAAAGAAAGACATGCTATCGAAGAGCAAGAACAATTAAAAAGAAGAAAAGAGCAGTTAGAGTTGGAGGCTAAATTGGCTGCTTCTGCTGCAAAAATAGCAGTGTTAGAATCATATAAAGGTGGTTCCAGAGTATCTGCTAATTCTAAAATGTTTGGTGAAGGGGAACAAAGTAAGAAAATCATAATCACGCATCTTTAGCCACATGCCAAAGAATTCAAACCAGTAATGCAGGATGAGCCTGCGGAAATAATCAGTTGGTCACCACCTCCTATATCTAGACCTTGAACAGTTGAGCCAGTGGCTGATTCTCATACCAACACCAATATTGTTCCTCCTACAGTTCAAATTGATCAGGGGATTGCTCAAAGGGATATTTGCTGTATACTTGAAAGACAGAATGAAATAACCGCTGCTCTCATTCAGCAACAACTGTTTCTGTCCTTACTAGTTAGAGACATTCCAGTATTTAATGGTAACCCTTTGTTATATATTCCCTTTTGCAGAGCTTTCAAACAGGGCGTTGAGGACAAAGGAGATAGTCTGTATTATTTGGAGCAGTTCACCTCAGGGCTCCCCAAAGAACTGGTGCATAGCTGTTTACATATGGAACCAGAGTGGCTTTTTTCAGGCTAAACAGTTACTACAGGAGCAGTTTGGGGATGAGTACAGAATTGTTTGTGCATATATGGAAAAGGTTTTCTCATGGTCGGCTATTAAATCAGAGGATTTGAACGCATTACAGTCCTATGGGTCATTCCATGCCACTTCAACAAATGGCCCACACACTTCGATATCAAAAAATTTTGAAAATATTACTAAATAGTCCCTTACTATCATGTACCAACCCTGTGAATTTTTAGTAATTTTCGATGAATACGTTTTAAGTTACAGCTCATTTAGTGAGGGGAGTATGTGTCAGTTTACGGGCCCAAAATACATGTCATTTTTCCTCAGCCGTTTTCACAGGTCACATAGGCAAGGCAAGGCAAGTTTATTTGTATAGCACAATTCGTACACAAAGTAATTCAAAGTGCTTTACAGAATAAGAAATACATTAAAATCATAATAAAAACAAATCAAAACATAAATAATCATGAAGATTAAAATTAAAAAAGAGAGACATAAATTGGAGAGAAGAGTGCGGAATAAAACCTTTTAGTTATATGCACAGTTAAACAGAAATGTTTTGAGCCTGGATTTAAACAGCATCACAGAAGAGGCCTGTCTCACATGTTCAGGAAGACTGTTCCAGGTTTTAGCTGCATGAACCTGAAACGCTGACTCCCCTTGTTTAGTCCTGACTCTGGGCACCAGCAGGAGGCCGGTCCCTGAGCTCCTCAGAGTGCGAGATGGTTCATATGACACTAACATGTCACAGATGTACTTTGGTGCTCGGCCATGGAGAGACTTGTACTCAAGCAGAGCTGCTTTAAAGTCTATTCTCTGAGGCACAGGAAGCCAGTGCAGAGACCTGAGCACAGGACTTATGTGCTCGTACTTCCTAGTTCGAGTAAGGACCCGAGCTGCAGTGTTCTGGATGTTCTGCAGCGTCTCACAGCTCGTTTGGAGAGACCAGTGAGCAGACCGTTACAGTAGTCTAACCTACTGGAGACAAACGCATGGATAAGTTTCTCCAAGTCTGCTTTAGACAGTAAACCTTTGATTTTTGCTATGTTTCTTAAATGGTAAAAGGCTGCAGATGTTATTGGTTTGATGTGGTTGTTAAAGTTCAAGTCTGAGTCCATTATTACCCCTAGATTTCTTGCCTGATTTGAAGGTTTTAGAGAGAGAGACTGGAGGTGACTGCTGACACTGTCCCTTTGTTTCTGTGGACCAAACACTATGACTTCAGTCTTGTCAGAGTTTAGCTGGAGAAAGTTGTTTTGCATCCACACACTGATCTGTTGGACGCAGTGACCAAGTGAGTCCACTGGTCCATAGTCTCCTGCTGCCAGAGAGACGTAGATCTGAGTATAGTATACTGAGTATAGTATGTGAGATACATAGTATCTCACTGTTAGGTCTGCCTAAACAATGTAAACAAGAAGAAAGACAAGAGATTAATTCAGTTTTACTCGCGAGGAGAACGGGCAGAGAGTGGGCATCAAAACCAACAGTCTCCACACGTTCTGATGTCTCAAGGCCGCTCTCCTCTTTTTATTTCATTAGGAGGCCCTAGTTACAGAACGATAATTCTCAAGGGGAAGGGGAAACAGCAAATACATAATAACAAACTGATGAAGCTATGCATAGTACAAACAGGAGGTGCCTTAGGTATGGTCAGACACCATCATAACTCTTGCATGTGTGACAGTGGGAGTTGGCTTCATGTGAGGAATCATCTCGAGGTTCACAAGAGCGATAGGTCACTGCACACAGTTGTCAAACACAAAGGGGTTATTCATTTTCATACAAGTGATTGGTACATTATAAATCAAAGAATTGTAGTTACATAAATGGTTAACTCATAGGCATAGAATGTCACACAAGTATTTAGCAAATATGGGATAATAAAATTATTCTGACACTCACATAGAGGGCTGAAATTTTGTAGTATTTTTTTTAGTAGTTTTGTAGTAAATTTTGTAACTAGGACTGTTAAAAGACATCACCAAATGTTGAAAATTTGAAATAGGTTATGTGTGAGGATCCTGTTAACAACAAGAAAATGCAACATGGTCCAATTTTCACATATAATTTATGGCATGTGGGTAGTGATAAAAAAAAAAGAATCATTTTATCCTGAAAGACCCGAAAAAGACCTTTCATACAGTACCAAACATATGTATTTTATGAAGCTCCTTCAATTTTTAATTGTATCTTGAACATTCACATTTGAGGTTTCGGTCATAGTGCAAGACACAATGACACGAGTATACAGTGACCATGTACTATGTTTTATTCCAGCAGATAACGTCACTAAACATTTAAAGACGGTTTGATAATAATTTTAATGTGACAAGGTATCTGACAAGGTGACAAGTTATCTCACATCCAAGACATAGCCGTAGATTATTTTCATATTAAAAAAACAAACATGTTCAACTATATGATTTTGTCTTCTGTTAGTTGTGCAAGGAACATGATGTTCAAAACTATGCAAACGTTACAATAGATTTTGGTACGCAAACATCCGGAAGCAGCCAAGAAGTGAGGAAACAGTTTCCTATCATGTTCAGATCGCCTGAGCAGGTAAAGAAAATCTCATGGAGCCTTAAATGGAAAGTGCTAAGGTTGTCCATTTAAGGGAAACTGCAGGATTTGTGGGAATTTATCACATATAAAAAATATATATTCTTTATTCCATGGTGGACCTATATAGTTCCAAATGCACATTTGTTTTGAAGGTGTTTTTTTTTTTTTAAGGAGAACCAGTACATGTTTGGATCACCGTGGGACCAAAACCTACTCCCAAGAAATTAATGAAGTGCACAGATGATGAAGCGCCTGATTCAAGTTACAAGGTCACATCGCAGTCAACATGGTTAACTGAACCATCTAACACCAGTCCACCAGAGATGGAAAAAGCCACCATAGGTTGAGGAGAAATCTGGTGGTCTGGTGGTGGTGACTTGTGGGGACTGTTCATGCTGCAGTGACCTCGGTCAGAAAATCCTAAAGCTTCGGGACCGACTGCAGGTTTATGAAGATGTGCCTACCAATACTGATGATGAATGAGACATACTTGTTCTGTGTTCTGTGTTTTTAGATAACTTGTAACACATCCTGTTGATTCATTCTTGTTCATTCTTCATGTTTGGGAGCTTTAGCTGCTGGAATAAAACAGTACATGGTCATTGTATTCTCGTGTCATTGTGTCAAATGTGAATGTTGAAGATACAATTAAAAATTGAAGGAGCTTCATAAGTACATATGTTTGGTACCATATGAAAGGTCATTTTTTTGTGTTTCAAGAAAAAATTATTGCAATTTTTTTCATCACTACCCACGTGCCATAAAATACATGTGAAAATCGGACCATGTTGCATTTTCTTGTTTTTCAAATTTCAAATTTTCAACATTTTTTTTTTTTTTTAACAGTCCTAGTATATATCTTGATTCTCAAAAAAAATATCAAGTGTCTCCGACACCTTTAGGCTTAAAAAGGAGCTAAAAATGATACACCACGGAAATGAACAGTTTTTTGTTTTTTTGTTTTTTTTCATTTTTAAGATCATATAAAATGACAATGAGTTGAGATACCAAATGTTCGATAGATGTTATTTGAACTCAGAGTAGAGGAGCACAAGCCTACAAAATTTCAGCCCTCTGTGTGTGATACTTATGGAGATATTGACCTGTGAAAACGGCCAGGAAAAAATGACACGCATATTGGGCCTGTAAACAAACACATACCCTCCTCATAAAATGAGCTGTAACTGAAAAACTATTGATCAAAAATGACTAAAATTTCACAGGGTTGGTACATGATAGTAAGGGGCCAGCTGGTAATTTTTTCAATTTTTTTAAAAAACATGATGCGTGAGATTTTCTGGAAATTTGATGAAATTGTGTGGAATGACCCCTATACACTTTTCCTGCTTGCACATTGCAATGTTATGATGGATTTGCACTCGTTAAAAGATTTGGATGTCACAACAAATATGAGAGCAATACTGGCTAAACTGCCCTATAGACTGATAGAGCGATGGAGGAATATAGCATATGACATAATGAATGCCACAAGTCAATGTGCCACTTTTAAAGATCTAGTGGCATTTGTGGAGAGACAAGTTAAGATTTTGTCTGATCCTTTATTTGGCAGTATTCCTGAGTCATATGCTGGTTCAGGGGGGTCTAGGTCAAGGTCCCAACCCAATACTGCCTGAGGGTCTAGTTTTGCAACCACAGTTGCACCTTCACAGGA